CAAAGAGAGTTTTGAGGTATTTGAAAGGAACAGCTGCTCATGGACTGGTTTACAAATGCTCAGGTCAGTCCAAACTTGTTCTTCAAGCTTACTGCGATGCAGATTGGGCTGGCAACTTGGATACACAACATTCAACCTCCGGAATTTGCTGCATAATTGCTGGTGCTCCGGTTTCATGGGGAAGCAAGAAGCAAACAACGGTTGCTCTTTCCAGTGCAGAAGCAGAATACGTAGCTGCCAGTACAGCAGCAAGGGAGATCATCTGGCTTCGTTGATTACTTGGAGAACTCAATCAACAGCAATCAGATGCGACCATTCTGCGTTGCGACAACAGAAGTGCAATTGCCATGTCAAAGAATCCTGTGTTTCATGCTCGTACGAAACATATAGACGTGCAGCATCACTTCATTCGCGAACATGTAGCAGCCAGAGATCTTCACCTGGAATACGTTCCTTCACAGTATCAATTGGCAGACCTTCTAACCAAGCCACTTTCGGAGCTCACATTCATCAAGCTGAGGAATCAACTTGGAGTGTCAAGCACCCTCAGCTTGAAGGGGGAGTGTAGGAATAATGATGAACACGACAAGCAGTCTGAATCGTGATCAAATCTCTGGTGATTTCCGATTTGATTGAAGTTGTATATATATACAGCCATATATGAATCAAGGCATGTGTTGAAGTGAAATCCGTTGTTCTTGCTCCGCTTTTCTTTCTCTCGTTGCTCAAAGTCGGGAAGCTGATCCACGTCGAAGCTGCCCCCGCCAGATTCAACGCGTTGGAGCCGGTTTTGACGTCGATCCTGACAATGTATGGGAAGTGCGGCAGTCTGGAGGAGGCTCATTGGATCTTCGATGCGATGCCTGAAAGACGCATGGTGTCTTGGAGTGCGATGATATCTGCATATGCACAGAGTGGTCATGGCCTGCTAGCTCTGGATCTCTTCAAGGAGATGGGTTTGGATGGAGTTGAACCGGATGGAATCACCTCCATCGCGGTGCTTTCGTCTTGTTGTCACTGGGAGCTGAAAGACGGGTGGACGTATTTTGTGAGCTTGAGAAACGACTATGGTGTTGATCCCATGGCTGAGCGTTACATCTGCATCGCTGATCATCTGGGAAGAGCAGGAAGGCTGGCTGAAGCTCAGGATTTGATTCACAGCATGCCCTTCCATCCTAGTCCCGTTGCTTGGACTCAGCTTCTTAGCGCATACAAGACTCGTGGGAATAACCAAACGAAGCTGAATGCAGATGAGCTTGCTCAACAAGTGCAGAAGTTGGATGAAACGAACTCGTCCTGTTACGTGCTGCTCTCAAACACATACGAATCTTTACTTGAAATAGGGTTTCAACATTTCAGTGAGAACTATAGTGGGAAATTTTCAAACTTATTTCCCGGACGACATGAGTTGATCAAGATAAGTCCTCTCAGATTTTCAGGACAAATGACATTAAAACTAGGATTACAAAATCTTAAATATATTATTTTGGAATCTTATTCACTTTCCATATTTAAAATTTTGTAATCTTACATCTGTTTATAGCTAACATTCTTAAAGTTAACAAGTTTTCCTATCATTCATTCATTTGTTCAATCCATTCATTCATTCATTTCCTATCATTCATTCATTCATTCATCACACAAACACTAGAGCGTAATAGCTATATGCTAATGGTTATGTTAGCGTTTTCTTCAGGTGTCATTCATCCATCAATCACAAAGATTTGAGTTTTGTTTGTTGTTAAAATTTAAATTTATAATCTTACATATACTGCAGTCATGACTTCCACAATTCATGCTGCAATCAAGCAGGACCTCCAGGCACTTCATGGCACACTGAAAGAGGACATACCCACAACCAAATTATGGACATCCCTCTATCATGTAAGCATTTGTTAAATTTTGATTTTGTGCTTCTCTATTCCTTTATTTGGCCTCTCCAAGCCCTGCAAAGTGGAGAAAGCGGAGCAAAAACTAAAACCCAGCAGTGGTCAACCCTCGACTTGAAAACGAGAACCTCTGGCTCAGCTTCGAGAGCAAGAGCTCCGATCCGCTGCACCCGTGATTTTTTCTTGGTGTTACGTAGAATCGCCACTTTTCCAAAGAGGTACCTTTAATTCCTTTATTTGTTTGGCTCCGAGGGAGTATCATGGGAGCTCTAGAAAGAATGGTATAAAAAGATCCTCCCAACTCGGGACAAAAGGTGTGCTCGTGAATGATCTCGTAGTCACTATATAGTCTGCGAAGTCTGTCAGCTCCAGCAAGTCAATGCTGAAGCTGCTGCCGCGAATCCTGTACACGTCCATAAACTCGAGAGTGAGCCGGCCCGACACTTCGAGAATGTACTCCAGTTCGGTGATCTCGCAGAACGCTCGGAGTTCTCACCCTTCCATCGTCGTCAAGCTGATTGCTGTCCAAGTAGTTTTGATGTCCCTGCGATCAGTTTCAATTCAAACGTAATTCAAGGCAAGCTCGTTGGATCTCTTACCCCAGCAGCAGCGCCACTTACCCACCTTGCACATAAGCCATCCAGACCCTGATCAAGTATTTTAAAATCCGAAAGAAACTCACTGTGAATCCAAGATATCACAGCTGTTCCTCCTTCGTGTTTTATGCGCGTGAGCTCCTCTTCGATCCGGAAGCCGACGGCGATCACCCTAGCACCAGAAATCCCCCGCCAAGAACAAGAGGACGAAATCCTGTCCTGGTCCTGGATCGATCCGCTGCTCCTACTCTGGCCACAAAACCTCGCGAAGCCACTACGCCGGCGCCAAGATCCACAGCTCCTCGCGAAATCACCACGACAAGATCAAGATTCCCGAGAATGCGCCCGCGGAGGAAGATATCCAGCGCCTCCGGCCCACTGCCGCTGGGAAGAATCCACGCCCGTACAAGAGCAGCATCGATTCCTGCCGCCAATCCGGCTCCCTGGCTGCCATCTCTGTTGGAGCTCCGGAGACGCCGTCGCGCCGCGCCACCGCGCGAGGAAAGGTAAGACGGTGGAAGCCGAATCGGAGCCATGGAAATCGAGGAGCAAGCCGCCGCGGCCAGAGCCAGTGCTGGAGCCGGCAGTGCCGACAACAAAGAAGAGCTCTTCTCCAGGGCGAGGCCTCCACAGGAGGCACAGATTGACGGCGACGAGGATGTCATGCGCGATGATCTTGCAGAGGTGCCCAAGCCCGTGGATGACACAAGTCAGCGCAGCCAGGGGGTCCCCAGCCAGGCAGCCTCGCCGCCGCCTCCAAATCGAGTGGAACCATCGGGGACCGCTTCTCCCGACGTGGATTGGCCTCGCGCTTCTCCTCTGTCGCTGTTCTCCGCCAGAAGATGGATCACGTCGCTTGGAAGGGGAGCGGGAGGCTTTAAAGGTCCAAGCTATACGAGCTTGTACCAAGGCAGCGCAGAAAATCCTGGCAGGACCTCTCTCGCAGATCTTGCTCCCGGATTGCAGCAAATTTCGGAGCAGGGCTGCCCGAGCTGACGTCCCTTTCTCTCGCGAGCGTGAACCGACGAATTACCGAGCGAGCTCATGGTGGCCATGGGGCCGAAACTAGAGGAGCTCAGTATCTCGAATTGCAGGTAACCAACCGTCTGTGGTGCTTTGGCTTCTTACTGAGATCCGCTGGACGTTTTTTGTGCAGCGTTACGGTGGCGGCTGTTGCAGCTTGCGGTTTGTTCTACTCTGAAAAGCTTTGCACTTCGAAGGCTTGGAGCTTACAGACGTCACCTTACAGCACTAGGACCTCAGGTGAATCTTTACTGCCTTTCTTCTCATCTGCTACTTACACAAGCTTTGTTTTCTTCTCAGTGACGAGGTAGTGGCGGACTTCGTCACGGCCGCTGGAAGCTCGCAAGCGTGAAAGCGTTCGTTCTTTGTCAGGCCCTTTTGCCGCAGAGCGACCGAGGACGGGTTTGGATTCCTTGTCCCAATCTCGTGGAGCTCAGACTCTTTGCTGCTCGTCTTTAAAAACTCAAATAAACAAAAAAACGCGATTCTTTAAACAATTTTTAAGAAAATTGTCCGCCATAGCCAGGGTTAGTGTGAGCAAGTTTTCCCTCCATGTAAAATCTAGGGTTCGTCGTCTCCGCAGCTTCCATGGATGTTGTGATTGTGGCGGTCGCGGGTGCTTGTGTTGTCATTGCGGCAACTTGCATTGCAACCATGCTCATCATCAACCTCCTCACCAAGAGCGTCATCACCATGGCTTCTTCAACCAGGGGAGCAGCGAAGGAGGATCTACAGGCTCTCCGTGGAGCTCTCAAGGAGGATCTACAGGCTCTCCGTGGAGTTCTCAAGGAGGACCTTCCCAGCCTCAGGCAGGTGATACAGGATTTTGGTGCCTTGAGGGAGGAACTGAGGATGCTGCGAGATGCTCTGCGAGCTGAGGCAGCCCAGGGCCAAGCTAATCCGGTAAGCATTTGTGAAGTTCTGGCTTGTGCGAATCTTGAAATTATTTGCTTGATCATCCAGTGGTGTGCAAACCGCACAGAAGTGGCGCTGCTGCTGCTGACCATGTTCAGTGATCGGTAGTTGATTCATAGAAAGCTCGACAAAACTGTTTTGTTTTTCGACAGGGAAAAATCTTCTGATTCGGATCTTCGTTTCCTCGAAATAAAATGACTCATGTCTTGAGCTTCTGATAGTAAGTCATTTCCGGGCAAGAACATAGACATGGACGTGGCCTGGCAGTGTCTAATAGTACTTTCTTGTAAGTGGATCAGTGTAACTATTTATTCAGCAGACCCGGATTTCACTGGGTACACTTCAATCGCTTTGTATGATAACGGAACACGATTCAATCAAAGCTTGGACCTGAAACCTGGAGAGCTGAACGAGGAGATTGAGGTGATCTCCATTTCTTTATCATGCATTTCCTGAGTCGCGGCCCTTGCGAGAGAGCCACTGGCCAGCTCTGGAACGAGCTCCTACAGCACAAGCTCTTGCCCCGGAGGTACCATGAATTTTTCTCCAGGAATGGGATGCCCACCGCTGATGAAAATGACGATGTTTGTCGTTCCCACTCCGCGACGTGCAAGTTGCGGAGGTACTGTGTGTCGCCAAGTCCTTTATTGGTTTTCCATGTTGACAAGAAGATGATTTGCAGGTGTAAGAACGTTGACAACAAGCTCTTGCAGCAACTGCGTGTTCGCGTGATGCGAAAGTGTCCAAGCAGTTAACTGCCGCGGACGTTCCTACTCTTTCGGGATCAGGAGCATTCTCGCTTTTGGAATGTAAGCCTTGTCTTTTCGAATCTTGCCGTTGCTGATCCGAGCAAACTACTGGCAGCGGAGCAAAGAAATGCTACAAGTATCTCTATGAAGCGAATAGAACAAATGCATTGGCAAGCTGACCACGTTCATGCTCTCGAACTTGGTGGTGAATTTGCAATGCATCGCAGTAGAAATAGGCTTCGCCTTCGTAGCTGCGGAGGTTTGGACTATGCAAGAACCTTGGTTTCGATTACTGTGCTTAAAAACCTGGCTTTTTTGTGGGAGATAGCCGATTTGTCTGTAAGTAGTTCGAACACTTTAGTTGCATCAGCTTCTAACGAGTCCTCCTGTTTTTTGTTTTGATTCGTTTTGCTTCTGCCTTTAGTGGGGATTACCAGATGGTGTTCCGGTTGCAACACTTCGTGACCACGTAACGGCCATCAAGTTTAGTCCCCGACCTGAAGACGGAACCTCTGTCAAGTTGTCTACATGCCGAAGCCGGATGTCGAGCCCGAATGTAAAGAGTCTGCCGATGTTTTTTTGGTCTTCTAAAAGCTTGTTTCCAGCTGCAGGAGCTGAGAATCGAGCACAGGCTACAAATCAGATTCAGTGCTGTGCGTTTAATGCAGATGGCTCATACTTTGTCACTGGGAGTTCGGACAAGCTTGCCAGAGTAAGCATTTAAAGTGGACTTTTTATATTTCTAACAATTGTTGGAACAGGTTTGGGACGCAAGAAAGTGGGCGGACGAGTACACCGGAAGGCCAAATCATGAGCATCCAGAAACAGATGGTTTTATCGCGGACGAGAATCCCACTGAAGCTGTTTCGTCTGACGACAAACAGGGATACATATGGAAGAAGGGGAAAGCAGCCAAGCGTGCTCGCATGCCTTATCACAGCAGCAGCAGCTCCGAAGAGGATAAACTGGTAGACGTTCCTTGTGATACCAAGAAAGGCCTTGAAGCGACTCGTGTAGAAAATGGAGACACAAAGGTGGTGGCAAGGGCGATCATTAGCGAGTCCGAGTCGGAGAGGTCTCTTTCAGCTGACTACCTTGACGAACAGCAGAGACGAGAGCAGAATCACACTCTATGAGCAATGAGTCCTTACAGAATGGAGAAGCTCCAGATGCTGACAATGACCCTGATTACCACGAAGAGGTTTCACCAGGCAGTAACAGTGAGTCGCTGGAGGATGCTTACAAGCCCGAGGAAGAGCAGGCAGGACGTGGACGATATACAAATGAAGCGCAATATGAACAAGGCCGTCTACTCAAGGAGAAGGCCTCGCAAAGTTGCGACTAAGACCGAGTGTTATGAGGCCGACGAGCACGCTTCAGGTGGCCGCAGGAGAAGTACACGGCTGGCGCAGGGTCGCGTGGTTAGTCTCTCCAACAGCAGGTCCACAAGAAGGAGGAGAAACGTCGGCCGTCCCTCACACTGGGAAGCTAGCTCGTCTTACGACGACTCGGACTGGGATAGAAGCAGCGACGACGATGGACGCCGAAAGCCCGAAAGAAGAACTTCGAGCAGACTGAAAGTGAAGCTGCAGAAGAACGTTGGGTCGAGGTACAAGGATTTCCACGTGAGGAGAAACCTCAGCACGGTGCATCGGAGTCCGAGCAACGTGTCCTGGTTACTCTTGACAGAGGTGGAGCGGACACGCTACATCCCACAGTATGGTGATGAGGTGGTGTACTTCCGGGACATCAAGAAGGGACATCAAGACTACTTAGACAACAAGCGGCTCGACGACAATGGTCCCTGGAGAAGCGTGAAAAGGGAACTGCAAGCGGTCGAGTTCTGCGAGATCACCGGACTGGAGTACATCATTCTCGAAGTGTTGAGGAACACTTGTTGCCGGCTGACTCTCGAGTTCATGGACGGGCACAGGATTCGCGGCAGCAGCTTCAGCGTCGACTTGCCGGAGCTGACAGACTTCGCCGACTTTATAGTGGAGAGAAGCCGCTACGAGGCCTTCATGGCCAGGAACTGGTCCAGTCGGGACAAGTGCCAAGTGTGGTGGAGGTCGGACGAGGAAGAAGGTGGTCGCTGGTGGGAAGGGACGATAACTCAGGTGAAGGCAAAGTCGCCCGAGTTTCCAAACAGCCCCTGGGACAGCATCAGTGTGCTGTACAAGGACGAGCCATCGACGACGAATCACTGCCCCTGGGAGCTTCACGACGTTGAGAATCCTTTAACTTGGGAGTCGCCACAGATCGAGCAGGACAAGGTGCGTGAGCTGCTCGACATCGTGGACGAGGTGCTCCACTCGAACCACGAGGAATGTTTCGGTTTTGGTCTTGGCTTGACGAGCTTTTGCTTTTCACAGGACGAGTATGGCTTGTGGAGGTTGCAGCAGGCCGTGAGCAAGGCGGATTTTCTTGACAGGCAAGTTGGAAAAATCTCTTGCGATTGAGAAAGAAGCTAAAGGTTTTCAAACAATGCAGGATTGCGCTGCCAATCTCCATGGACGTGATTCGCGAGCGGCTGGAGAACAACTATTATCGTAGCATGATGGCGGTGTCACACGATCTTAGGATACTGATCGACAACTTCCGGACATATTTTGGGAAACAGCATTCGTCGGTGCTCAAGGTGGAGCGGCTGAGAGAACGCTTCTCTGAGGCACTGCAAATGTGAGCTTTGTAAAAATTTTCTCGAGGTCTTAGTTAATGAAGAAAAGAAACATTTTCCTTACACATCCATGATCCATCTACATTGTCAAACACGAGATCAGTCCGAGGATCACTCTCAATCTTTTTATACCTGGAAAACCATGAGGACGAAAGAAGTCGAGGAGATGGAGCGCCATCCTTCTCCTCTTCCTCCTCCTCTTGTCATTGAGCCCGTGTACTGATAGAAATCGCGAGAATCCACTGATCGTGGCACAAGGAACTCGAGTTCCCGCCAGACCACTGTACGAATGGCGGTCCACCAAGAAAGTGGCCAGTGGCCCATTGTACGTAAGATAAAGCGACTGTTAGCTTAGGGTTCTTGCGAAGATAGGGCGGGCGGCTCGAACTTCTGGTAAGAGTGTCATTTGTGTCTTTCATAACTACTGTAAACTTGATTTCATTTTCGATTTTGCAAAGGCTTTGCTGCAAACCTTGCCAATGGAGTTTTTGATTGCTATAGTGCTTGTTAGCACCATTGCGATTAATGTGCTGTGCATCGTGACCACAGCTTGTGTGCTGGTGCTGGCATCTGCCATGCGTGCAGGAATGGGAGCTGTGACTGAGAATCTCAAGGTGATGGCCATTCGTGCGGCAGTGAGGGAGGATTTGCCAACAATCCATAGTGCCATAAAAGAAGACGTTGTTGCTGTGGTTCCTTCACTGTATCGTGAAGTGCTTGGAGGTCCTCCTTGATTGCAGCACGCATAGCTGCAACATTCACTGCTCTAGCCATGGCAACAATGCACCATGGATTGCTTGCAAATCCTCCTTCACTGCTGCACAAATGGATCCCATTCATGCTCCAGGATGTTATAGCAGCCCACAACCAAGTCATGATCGACTATTCCGCATCCCTCTATCAGGTAAGCATTTGTTAGATCTAGATTTTGTGCGGCTTTTAAAATACTGGATCAGGGTTTGGATGGCTTGATCCAGTCGTGTGCAAAGAGCACAGTGGTGGGTAAGTGGCGCTGCTGCTGGTTCAATGATCAGTAGTTGATTCATAGAAACGACAAAGCTGTTCTTTTTTTTTCTCAGGAAAATTTTTTCTGATTCGGATCTTCGTTCTTCGAAATAAAAAGGCTCATATGTCGTGAGCTTCTGATAGTAAGTCTTTTTCCGGCCAAGAACATACACATGAACGTGGTCTGGCATTGTCTAATTGGTACTTCCTTGTAGGTGGATGAGTGTAACTATTTATTCAGGAGGTCCTTTGGAGCTGCGGATATCGCATATAGTCACTCGGTTCAAATGCTTTGTATGGTAACGGAACATTGAATCGAAGCTTTCAAGTTTTCTGTCTTCAAGTAGACTCGGGTGCAATCTTCATGCAGCTTAGCTAACCTCTCGTGCAGACTGACTAACGTTCGTGGCTTTACGGTCTGATGTTGGAGCTGATCATCACCTGCATGAACAAGACGAGGAGATCGAGTTGCGGAAGTTATCATGCACTTCCTGAGGAGAGGCCCTTACGAGAGAGCCACTGACCAGCTCTGGAACGAGCTCCTACAGCACAAGCTCTTGCCCCGGAGGTACCATCAGGAATGGAACGCCCCCCGCCGACGAGAATGACGATGGCTTGTCGTTCCCACTCAGCTACGCGCAAGTTGCCGAGAGGTATTGTGTGTCGCTAAGTTCTTTGTTTTTTTGGTTTGTCTTGCTGACAAAAGGATGGATTTTTTTTTTTCGATTTTCAGATATAAGAACGTTGACAACAACCACTTGGTTAAGCTCTTGCAGCAACTACTTGTTCACGACAAGTCCGCGTCCTTGCTTGATGCGAAAGTTCCCAAGCAATTGACCGCCGCGGACGTTCCTACGCTTTTGGGGTCAGGAGCATTCTCGCTTTTGGAATGTAAGCCGTGTACTTTTCGAATCTTGCCGTTGCTGATCCGAGCAAACTTCATACAGCGGAGTAAAGCAATGCTACTAGTATCTCTACCAAGAGAATAGAACAAATGCGATGGCCGCATTGGCAAGCTGACCAAGTTCATGCTCTCGCGTTCCGTGAACTTGGTGGTGGATTTGCAAAGCATCACAGACCGCCATCCACACGGACTGTGAAACATGTTATCATCAAGCCTTCTGTACTGGTGAACCGAATAAGAATCATCCAGGTGCGAAGGGGTCATCGTAATGCGGTATATTGTGGTACGTGTTTCTTTTCTTTTTGATTTTCAAGACCTATTAACGAAGCGATAAACGTGCAGCCGTTTTTTATCGTACTGGACGGTATCTTGTCACTGGCTCGGACGATCGGCTTGTGAAGATATGGTCCGTAGAAAATCGACTTTGCCTTCGTAGCTGTAGAGGACACGAGGTACTATTTTCTGCATCCGTTTCGAATATTGTGCTTAAAACCTGGCTTTTGGGGGATATAACCGATTTGTCTGTAAGTAGTTCGAACACTCTAGTTGCATCAGCTTCTAACGATTCCTCCATCCGTGTTGTAAGTATTCCTTTGTTGTATTTTTGTTTCTTCTTTTGATTTATTTCGCTTCTGCCTTTAGTGGGGATTACCAGATGGTGTTCCCGTTGCAATACTTCGTGGCCACACCGCGGGCGTAACGGCCATCAAATTTAGTCCTCGACCGGGCTGTGAGCACCATCTTCTATCGTAAGTGTTAATAATTTGGTTTTTCCACTTGTATTAAAATCTCGTGGTTTCAAGTTCGTCTGAAGACGGAACATGGATGCTCGGGATTCTTCTGTCAATCCACGTGTCTACATGCCGAAGCCGGATGTCGAACCCGAATGTAAAGAGTCTGCCGATGTTTTTTTGGTCTTCTAAAAGCTTGTTTCCAGCTGCAGGAGCTGAGAAGAGCTGAGAATCGAGCACAGGCTACGAATCAGATTCAGTGCTGTGCGTTTAATGCAGATGGCTCATACTTTGTTACTGGGAGTTCGGACAAGCTTGCCAGGGTAAGCATTTAAAGTGGACTTTTTATATTTCTAACAATTGTGGAACAGGTTTGGGACGCAAGAAAGTGGGCGGACGAGTACACCGGCAGGCCAAATCATGAGCATGACATTCTTAGTGGACACGAGAATGTAGTTAACTACGTGTGGTTCAGGTTCGCCTCTTTGGCTTGGTCCTCGTTGACATCAATCGTCCTTTGTTCCAGTGGTTGTGCAGAGCCAATCAAAGTTTCTCCCGTCGACTTTTTGAAGGATGACAACGTCCCTGACAACATACCGAAGTTCAAAACAACCTGGTATACTGTGCCGCTCATTGCTATCTGGTTTTAACGTTGGTTTTGTTCAGGTTTCCTCAAGATAGCATAGTTACTTGCTCAAGAGACGGCACTGCTATTATCTGGTCTCCTCGTCCTAGAAAACAGGTGTGCATGGCCTTTCTTTCTGTGTAACTAATGCCATGACTTCTCCTCTTTCCTCCAGCTGAAGCTAGGTCGATGGGTGAAAGCTTATCATTTGAAAGTACCGCCCCCTCCGATGCCACAGCCTCCCGTTCGAACTGGTGGACCTCGACAAAAACTACTTCCGACTCCTCGAGGTGTCAATATGATAATCTGGAGTTTGGACAATCGTTTTGTACTCGCCGCGATTATGGGTAAGATACCTCACGAACTAATTTTATGGAATAACATGGATGTGCAGATTGCCGGATATGTGTCTGGAATGCGGTTGATGGCAGGCTGGTGCACTGTTTAACTGGCCATACCAAACAGGTATTGAATGGAATTTATTGATTCCATTCTTTCTTAACATCTATTATTTAGACTTACGTGCTAGATGTACATCCATGCAATCCTCGCATTGCAATGAGTGCGGGCTACGATGGCCGAGTTATTGTGTGGGATGTAAGTGTATTCGCTCAAAAAAAAGATCACGAATTTTGTTTTAGATCTGGGAGGGCCGTCCAGTAAGGACATTTGAGATGGGAGATTATAATCTTGTCGATGGCAACTTTTCACCTCATATCCATATACTGTTCTCATGTTTGCCAATTTTCAGGGATGGAACCTCATTGGTTGTTTCCGATGAGGTCGGCCAGGTCTACCTTTTTTCTACGGGAGCACCACCAAGTCAAGACGACGAAGATGCGAAATACGACCAGGTATCAGGAAGATTAGCTTCAGATCCTTCTCCTAACAGCTTTTTGTTTGTTTGTTTGTTTGGGTTTTGTTTAGTTTTTTCTTGGAGATTATCGGCCTCTTGTTCTAGATACTCATGGAAGCGTTCTCGGTCAGGTAAATAAAATGATGTAAGTGCTTTTATTTAGTTTTAGTCCTGAGTGTTGTTCTTTTCCGGTATTGTTCTTGCAAAAACTGAGTATCTTTCTTTTACAGGAAACTCAGTTGCCTCCTCATCAAAGGAATCTTCAAGATCTCTTGTGCGATGCAAGTAAGCTGGTGACTTCTTACCTCGTCCAACTTATTTTTCTGTTTCATTTTCAGGCTTGATTCCCTATCCAGAACCTTATCAAAGTTCGTACCAACAACGTCGGCTGGGACTCCTAGGTTGCAACTGGCAACCACCGTCAGTTCAGCTCGCAGTGGGAACGTTTGATGATCCAGCGTTCATTCCTCAAGATCAGCCTCAAGCAGTAGTTGCCGCTCTACAAGCAATCGAGCAAACAAACGAGCAAGGCAACAGATGGGTAGAACAACCGGCGGATGGTGAGGCAATGGACTGGGATGAAGAAGTCACTGGATTGAGTGACGATTCTGGTTCTGATTACTGCGCGAGCGAAGAAAGCTCGAGTGACGAGGATGGAAATGAAGAAAGTGGTACGATCTGTGAATCGGAAACAACCGACAAAGAAATTGACGAAATCGATTCTGATGGGGTTCGTAACCGAAGAACAAGGAAAAAGAAAAGAGAGGTACGTACGTCCAGCTTTTGCGTCTCTGATAACTTCAATGGTGATTGTCCACTACAGATACTCGCAACCTTGGTGAGGAAGCAAAAGCGCAGGCGCTTGGAGGAGTCAAACAATGCTCTTTTGATGCCTGAGGAAACGCAGAGGTTGAGGCCTAGAAAGCGGATAAGAAAGTCAAACCCGGACCATGCATTGAGGCCTATGAGGATGGCAGCTCGGAATGCGTTGACCATGTTTTCGAGCTTACATGAGTACGAAGACGACGAAGCACGCCGCCTGGCCGCTGAGGATGCCAAAAGACCTGGTACATCTGGAGAGAACGAGAACCAGAGGCTTCTACGCAACGGGAAAGTTCTTACAGAAACTCAGGAACGTGAAGACGATGAACCTCCGAAGAAGAGTCCCGCAGAGACTTCGGACGTGGGTGAATGCAGGCGGCCAAGGTCTCAGCGAAAGTTAGTACTCAAGTTGAGAAACTGTGCACAAACGTCCAACAACGAGGATACTTTTCGGAGCCTCGAAATACCAGAACAAGGCACTTCTAAGGTCCCCGTGGCCGGGGCTAATGACAGTCATCCAGAAACAGATGGTTTTATCGCGGACGAGAATCCCACTGAAGCTGTTTCGTCTGACGACAAACAGGGATACATATGGAAGAAGGGGAAAGCAGCCAAGCGTGCTCGCATGCCTTATCACAGCAGCAGCTCCGAAGAGGATAAACTGGTAGACGTTCCTTGTGATACCAAGAAAGGCCTTGAAGCGACTCGTGTAGAAAATGGAGACACAAAGGTGGTGGCAAGGGCGATCATTAGCGAGTCCGAGTCGGAGAGGTCTCTTTCAGCTGACTACCTTGACGAACAGCAGAGACGAGAGCAGAATCAAACTCTTATGAGCAATGAGTTCTTACAGAATGGAGAAGCTCCAGATGGTGACAATGACCCTGATTACCACGAAGAGGTTTCACCAGGCAGTAACAGTGAGTCGCTGGAGGATGCTTACAAGCCCGAGGAAGAGCAGGCAAGTGAGGACCTGGACGTGGACGATATACAAATGAAGCGCAATATGAACAAGGCCGTCTACTCAAGGAGAAGGCCTCGCAAAGTTGCGACTAAGACCGAGTGTTATGAGGCCGACGAGCACGCTTCAGGTGGCCGCAGGAGAAGTACACGGCTGGCGCAGGGTCGCGTGGTTAGTCTCTCCAACAGCAGGTCCACAAGAAGCAGGAGAAACGTCGGCCGTCCCTCACGCTGGGAAGCTAGCTCGTCTTACGACGACTCGGACTGGGATAGAAGCAGCGACGACGATGGACGCCGAAAGCCCGAAAGAAGAACTTCGAGCAGACTGAAAGTGAAGCTGCAGAAGAACGTTGGGTCGAGGTACAAGGATTTCCACGTCAGCACGGTGCATCGGAGTCCGAGCAACGTGTCCTGGTTACTCTTGACAGAGGTGGAGCGGACGCGCTACATCCCACAGTATGGTGATGAGGTGGTGTACTTCCGACAGGTAAGAGATCCAACGAGCTTGTCTTGAATTATGTTTTAATTGAAACTGTCGATTGCAGGGACATCAAGACTACTTAGACAACAAGCGGCTCGACGACGATGGTCCCTGGAGAAGCGTGAAAAGGAAACTGCAAGCGGTCGAGTTCTGCGAGATCACCGGACTGGAGTACATCATTCTCGAAGTGTTGGGGAACACTTGTTGCCGGCTGACTCTCGAGTTCATGGACGGGCACAGGATTCGCGGCAGCAGCTTCAGCGTCGACTTGCCGGAGCTGACAGACTTCGCCGACTTTATAGTGGAGAGAAGCCGCTACGAGGCCTCCATGGCCAGGAAGTGGTCCAGTCGGGACAAGTGCCAAGTGTGGTGGAGGTCGGACGAGGAAGAAGGTGGTCGCTGGTGGGAAGGGACGATAACTCAGGTGAAGGCAAAGTCGCCCGAGTTTCCAAACAGCCCCTGGGACAGCATCAGTGTGCTGTACAAGGACGAGCCATCGACGACGAACCACTGCCCCTGGGAGCTTCACGACGTTGAGAATCCTTTAACTTGGGAGTCGCCACAGATCGAGCAGGACAAGGTGCGTGAGCTGCTCAGGTGCTCCACTTGAACCAATCCAAGGTTTGTTTTTGTGCGATCGATCATAGACTCGAGGAATGTTTCGGTTTTGGTCTTGGCTTGACGAGCTTTTGCTTTTCACAGGACGAGTATGGCTTGTGGAGGTTGCAGCAGGCCGTGAGCAAGCCGGATTTTCTTGACAGGCAAGTTGGAAAAATCTCTTGCGATTGAGAAAGAAGCTAAAGGTTTTCAAACAATGCAGGATTGCGCTACCAATCTCCATGGACGTGATGGAGAACAACTATTATCGTAGCGTGATGGCGGTGTCACACGATCTTAGGATACTGATCGACAACTTCCGGACATATTTTGGGAAACAGCATTCGTCGGTGCTCAAGGTGGAGCGGCTGAGAGAACGCTTCTCTGAGGCACTGCAAATGTGAGCTTTGTAAAAAAATTCTCGAGGTCTTAGTTAGCGAAGAATAGAAACATTTTCCTTACACATCCATCTACATTGTCAAACACGAGATTATTCTGAGGATCACTCTCATACCTGGAAAACCATGAGGAAGAAGGAAGTCGAGGAGATGGGGCGCCATTCTTCTCCTCTTCCTCCTCCTCTTGTCATCGAGGCTGCGTACTGATGGAAATCGCGAGAATCCACTGACAAGGAACTCGAGTTCCCGCCAGACCACTGTACGAACGGTGGCCCACCAAGAAAGTGGTCAGTGGCCCATTGTACGTAACATCGCCTTTATTTCAAAAAAGGGAACCCTAGCTTAGGGTTCTTGCGAAGATAGGGCGGGTGGCTCGAAATTCTGGCAAGCGTTATTCGCATCTTGCAAAGCTGCTGCAAACCTCGTTTTTCTTGCAGCTGCAAAGCCTGATTTTATTATTGCGGACCTAGCGATGGAATTTCTGATTGCGATGGTGCTTGTTAGCACCATTGCGATCAGTGTGCTGTGCATCGTGACCACAGCTTGTGTGCTGTGCATCGTGACCACAGCTTGTGTGCTGGTGCTGGCATCTGCCATGCGTGCAAGAATGGGAGCCCTGACTGAGAATCTCCAGGTGATGGCCTCTGGCATTCGTGCGGCAGTGAGGGAGGATGTGCAAGCGATCCATGGTGCAGTGAGGGAGGATGTGCTAGCAATCCATGGTGCCATAAAGGAAGACGTTGCTGCCGTGGTTGGAGCAGGAATGGGATCCATTCGTGCAGCAGTGAGGGAAGATTTGCAAGCAATCCATGGTGCCTTGAAGGAGGACTTTGTTGCTGTGGTTGGAGCACTGAATGTTGCGGCTATGCGTGCTGCAATCAAGGAGGACCTCCAGGCACTTCATGACACAGTGAAGGAGGATGTTATAACAGCCCACAACCAAGTCATGATCGACTGTTCCACATCCCTCTATCAGGTAAGCATTTGTTAGATTTAGATTTTGTGCGGCTTTTAAAATACTGGATCAGGGTTTGGATGGCTTGATCAGGTCGTGTTCAAAGCGCAAAGTGGCGCTGCTGCTGGTTCAGTGATTCATAGAAACGACGAACTGTTCTCTTTTTTCTCAGGAATTTTTTTTCTGATTCAGATCTGCGGAAATAAAAAGGCTTATATGTCGTGAGCTTCTGATAGTAAGTCTTTTTCCGGGCAAGAACATAGACATGAACGTGGCCTGGCAGTGTCTAATTGGTACTTTCTTGTAGGTGGATGAGACCCTTTGGAGCTGCCGATAGTCACTGGGTTCAATTGCTTTGTATGGTAGAGGAACATGTGATATTTGTGCGCTTTTCGAGGATTCTCTGTAACAGTTTATTTCCGAATGGAGTTGGCTTGGTGGCTGGCTGTTCCTGTCGCTGCTGTTACCTCTGATAATGTTACCTCTGATGCGTGATCGAGGAGCTTGTTTTTTTCCTTGATGGAAGATCACGACGGCTTGTTGACTGATCTTCCGGACGATGTGTTCGGGTTGATATCCAGCCGCGTCTGTCACAGAGATCTCTGCAACCTCAGCGCCACTTCTTGCAAGCTTCGAGATGTCTGCAGCTCTGATAAGGTCTGGTTCCCGCAGTGCCAAAGGCTGGTTAGAGAAGAAGAAGCGGAGGAATACATCGACTTGAGCACTTGGAGGAATGGGCTGCAGTCGCAGGAGGCGCTGCTCAGATTCATCAACGGGGTCAGGAATCTGGTGGGTATTTGGGTGCATCAGAATCCGGAGCTGGGGAACTTAGTCTATGTCACTTGGGGATTTCTTTCGGTGGGGGGCTGCCGAATCATACCACCCCTCGAGGAATGGATTGCGGGTTGCTCTGGGCTCCGGTGTTTGAGATCTTCGGCCTTCCTGACGGATCTCTAGCGTTTTTCCTCCACGGAAGGGACAGGGACGACTACTGCTATCCCGGGAGATTTGAAGCCGCCAGGAGCAACAACTGCAACGTTCTCTTACTGGACATCACCGAGCAGAAGCAGCGTTTGCCAATCAGTCTAGACAGCACACTCATGGGTTTGATGGCGGGGAACAGCGATGGCGACGAGTGCAGCTCGAGAAGATCAGAAAGCAGGTCTGGTGCTTGTTTCGGTAGGCTCAGCTTTGGTGACAGAAGATCACTGCTGGAAGCGCTGGTCACGCAAGTTCGGATCAAAATGCCCCCCTTAGCACAGGGCCCCGTCTTCTTCAAGTCGAAGCATTCTTTTAAGAAGGAACTCAAGGCTGTGACGGAAAGGCATGCGCTGCTGTTGTGGATGTACATTTACGGGGATCCTTGCAGGATGGAAACGAAGCTTATCACAGGTTGCAAAAGTTTGTCTTTGACATTTCTATATTAATTAATATTAAGGATAATGGTCAGTTTCTATTCATCTGGTTTGTCAAACGCACCATCACAAAACATTTTCATAGCCACATGGTGGGTAGGCGACCTTGCCATGACGAAATCACAGTTCATGGCACGCCCCCTGTCAAAGTCTCGAAGATCATCATAAACCAGTCCCCTCGGCATGTAACGAACATGTATCACATTGAAGGAGAGCATCGCTTTGATCTGCCACTGGCACTCTGAGATGTCCGACTTGAAGATACAGTGGCAAATCTTTGACAGCCCAACTGCACCATGCGCCACAATGAGCTTCATCACCTCCCTGAAGTTAGCCTCTTCCCAGCCGTGACCATGCTCCAGTCCTAGGAGAATCATGGGCAGCTGTGCCACCACCATGTCTTCGAGAACCACCTCCATGATGCTTCCCTGCTCGAACACATCAATCACACAGTTCTGAAGTGTTAAAGGGCAACCGCCACAGATTTCATACACCCTCTGCTCCGACCACGAGTTGGGAGCTGTGGCACCTGCTGCTATGCGCTTGGCGACGAGGCTTGACAGGAATGCCTTGGCGTTCTTTTCACCAAAGTGCCCCACAGCAACTGGCTTCCACTTTTCAACGTATATGTGACTCTGGAACCACTGCCGAAAAAAGTCGTCGGAGGTGGACATAATCACCATAGCAGTCCGATCCTTCTTGGTTATGGCTATGAAACGTCCTAGGAGAGTGCTTACATCCTGGTCGGACCACCGCTTCAGCCTGTCAGCTTCATCGATGACAAAAATTGGCCTCCTATGCTGGTTTTCAACCACCAGGCTCATAAACCAACTCATGATAGAGCCCAAGTCCTTCACTGGCTCCGCTTTTAATAGCTCTAGAAAGCTCGATGCATCAAGGTTTACGCCCTTGAACGTCAGCTTCTTCAGATCAACATTGACACCTCCGATCATCTTCAGAAGGGCTGCTTCCACATCTTTGAGCCAAGAAGCCCAAGTTCGCATCTGTCTTGCAATCTGTGCAGCAGCCTGCTCCGGGGAACTCGCAGCCCTCATGTCGACGTAGAAGAGCGGCAACTGGGCTTTCAGTAGAGGGCTGGCATCCCACATCTTCCTGAGCTGCTTGAGTAGAGCGGACTTGCCTGAATCGTTGGGGCCCATCACTACAGCGATGCGGTTGAGGCCTCCCTCAATCTGTGTGAGCAGATCAGTCATCTCTTCGTGCCTATCAAAGAAACCCTCGTCATCGTTGAGCGATTTCTTCAGCTCCCTCACCGCTTCAGCCGCCATAGCTGCCAACCCCTAAAATGTGTTAAACCTAAAGTCGCGCGCGGTTAATAATCTGAGCTCGAAAGTTGGTAAAATAGAAGTTCCGAGTCGGAACGTGGGTCGAGGCTGCTTGAGAGGGCAGCCGCAACACGTGGTACCAAAAATGGGTCCACGTGACATTTGGTATCAGAGAGACTAGTTGACTGTTTTAATTTTCTTTAGTTTATTTTCAAACAGATGAACTGCGAAATGGGACGTCAACTCAAAACATGTTGGGATTCCTTGCTGGCTACAAGTTGTTGTAAGCTAAACGAACGCTAATCTGTAGGAAGAGTTTTTCTTCCTGGCTAACTAGAGAACCTAACTGAAACTCTGGAGAACTAATTTACCGATAGAGAGAGTTTGAAGAGCTTGAAAACCTGTAATGTGGTTTTGGAAATTCTTGGTTATTGGTAGGCTCGTAAAGGCTCTGGGTGAACTAGATAACCTTTAGTGTATGAGCTCCACAATGGAACTGAAGTTATTAGATTGTGGAAGCGTTGAAATGCAGGCATAACCGAAAGGCTTGGTGGAGTGAAACCACCTCATGTTTGGATAGAACTTGTCCCTGTGAGAGATGTGGATATCTGGTTGTCTGAGTTTTTTGATTATCTAGGATTAGTGGCTTGTGGGGGAAATAACTAACTGAACGTTAGTGAATATGCAAGTCACTGAAGGCAGCTGAAACTCTATTAGGTGGTTTTCATCAAAGAGTGTAATTTCACTTGGAGAAACAAGATGGTATGTCTTTTGGCAATGTCGGTTGACATAATGGGTGGAGTACCAGTTGTTTTAGTACCCTATTGAGAGTGGAGAGTGCTGACGCTACTAACCACTTAGTGCCAAAGGAACAAAGGAAACCTTGCAATGCGAATGCTGAGTCTATTCTGCCTGGTATCTGGTTTAGGGCATTCTGTCTGGTTTATTGGAACTTGTGTAATAAGAGTTTAAATATGACAAAATGAAATTTGTTGCTATTGAAAGAGTAATGGGACTTAGCATAGAGGTGGATGAAGTCCTCTTTTGCTTCATTGATATATTACTTAATTGTTATCTATCTTCATAGGAGCGACCTCGGTGGGTGAAGAAGTACCAAATGCAAAGGAACTCTTGGTTGGGAGGTCTTAGGCCTCAGAAAGTTGTGAAAAAAGCTAAAGGGAATGGCACTTGCAGGTCGAACAGGCAAGCAGTTACGTTGACGAGTTTATGGCCTGGTATATGAAGATGCAAGAGCTAGATATGTACCAGAGCATGTGTGAGAACAAGGAGTTCAGTGTACATTCTCAGTTATTTGAGTTCGAAAAGAATGACATTCAGGCAAGTCTTTAATTGGTTTCTTTATTTATATTTATCTATTTATGGTTTTTCAATTGGAAAAATGATGCACTCCCTGAAAATTTCGAAGAGTAGATGGATGTTGCAACATGTGGAGCAGGCTCATGTGTGACATTAGCGATTTTGAAGTGTAGTACTGTTCTTTCTGGCTGGATTTCCTTCCCGGTGGCTGTCCGGAATGGGAGATGGCCAGCTACAAGATACACAAGGATTATCGGTGAGAGCTATTGTGGAAGAACGAGAGTGCTGTGAGGAAGCTCCAGGTGAAGATGGATATCAAGTCAGCAAGATCGGCCACCAAGGGCAGCAAGGGCCAGGCTTTTTCTTCAGCCCCGTCTCCAGATCGGAAGAAGGTGATATGTTGAGGATGCTGATGCCAGAGAACGAAAACGGGAGTTGGGAAATCATTCATGCAGATTCAGGAAACCTTGCAGTCCAGTAGTACTTCAAAGCTGGGACCTTTTCCGCCAGGACTGAAGGAGCTTGAGGATTGGATTGTCAGTCACAGGTTAAGCTGAACTGTTCACTTTTTTGTGCAAAGTCTCTACCGAAATGTGTCCAGGGAGCTGTTCATCTTCTCATCATCGATTCGCCTACTAGATGCGTTGCTGAGCCGGGGGTGGTTGATCAGTATACGGAGTTCTCGGATGCTTTACTGAAGAACTTGGTGAACCCTGCTTTCGGGATACTAGACAGAGCTGGCTACATGGTGGTGTTTGTGCTATTGGATGATTTGCCGGCTTTGAATAACACTGCAGAAACTTGCAAGCTGAAGTTCCTGCAGACAAACTACGCGCACACGGCAAGGTCCTGGGGATACCGTATTTTTAGAAAGGTTATTCTGAGTTAAGTGGTGACCAGCACAAATCGTTGATGTGCTAACGTGGTGGGACTCGCTGATATGGCAGGACACGCTGATTTGGCGGGACTCACTGACACGGCAGGACTCGAGAGCAGAGGCTCTAAGAGGTAAAACAAACTCTGTGTTGAGTTAAGTAGCGGCCAACACAAATCGCTGATGTGGACTCCTGGAAAGGTAACTCATCCTTTCGAAATTGGTACTTTTTAATGTGGAAAGCATCGTTGCCATGTGTATTTTCGGTTCCCCCTACTCCAAGGTTGCAAAGAACAAGGACATCCTGAACACATGCTACACTCCTTGACGAGCCAGAAGATTTCCAGTTCCCATGGTATACTATTGTTTGTTAGCAGATAGCAGCGAAAATAGTTGAAAAGTTCAAAGTTGACGAGAGACAAATTCGCTCACGTCACTGTATAACAATGCATTCATTGACGATGAGGACTGACTGGTGGTTCATGAAACAAATTGAGAAGAGTTATGTTTATATTATAGTTTATATTTAGTTATATATATATAATTATAATTATAAATATATAAATACAAAATAATAATTATATTTTTATAAAATCCTTAAACTTGACACAATTACCGTGCACCAAAATATTCTTTGTATGGAAAAGAATATTATGTACCGATTAGAATTCCCCATACGCTCGGCAAACTGCGCTCGAGGAGGAAGATAGCAACATAGCTTGACCGCCACTCTTCGTGACAAAACATAGAGTTGACTATTTTCATAGAATTAATGTTTTTTGCAAACATTTTGTTAATTATATGTTAAATACTAACTCACGTCGCTTAACTTCACCGACAATGTCTCCCTTTACTCTGCTTCTGCTTCAATTGATTCATTCCCAGTTGCAAGAGTTTCAATGAGGCTATCTCTTTATCCCGCTGCTGCATTTACATTTGCGTTGGATCTCCTCGCGTTCGGCCTTTCAGTCGGTTCTTCGTCCACAAGTTATCATGTAAGCCGCCTTCACTTCGCCCTTGAATTCACGTTTTCTGGCTGTAGGAAACCATGATTTCATCTGATCACACCAGAATCAGATGCACTCCCAAGAGAGGAGGGGTAGCAAGCGGCTTAGCTATCGGAGCTGCCGTGTGTTTGCTTCTCGGCCAAATCACCGCCACAGCCGCCACAAAATGCACTTGCTGTTCTTCGTCGCTTCATCGACGCGGATGCAAGATTGCTGCAATTATCCTCCTCACTCTTTCCTGGTATTTTCAGCAAAAAAAAAAATTCATTTATTTAAAAAGATCAACTTTTGTGGTAATGGCAGGATCTCTTTCGTGATCGCTGAGCTCTTCTTGAACACGGCGGCCAGCCTCAGTAGTTATCAAGTGGAAAGGTTTGAAGAATCTGGTTGCAGCACTGTTCTGCAAGGCGTGAGTGTTGTGGGTGCTGCTTTTACACTCGTCACTTTGCTGCTCAGCATTGCCTACTTGTCCGTCTACATGAGCGGCATGAAGAAACCGAAGAAGAAGACGAGCACCGACGAAACAAGCCGGATTGTTGATATGGAAGTCGCAAAACCAGTTTAGATAGAAGCTGTAGGCTAGCGCTGTATAAGATCGATGATTCAGTTGACAGAGATGTGCGTTTCTAGCACCACCATCAGCCCAGCTCTGTACGTCTCGCTGCTGAAATCCTGCGCTCTTACCAGAGACTTAGCCAGAGGGAAACAACTTCACAGAGAGATCCATGCGTCCTGGCAAACAAACAACACAGTCCTCTGCAATCTGCTCGTTCAGATGTACGGGAAATGCGGGAGTTTGCCTGACGCTCGCGACGTGTTTGATAGTGTTAAATAGCGTTCACTTGGAACATCATGATCCGTGCATATACAGAGAATGGTCAGTTGCTGCAAGCGAGGATTTTGTTCGGTAAGATGCCGATCAAGAATGTGGTTTCCTGGACGATAATGCTAGAAGCCTACGGAAGAACTGGTGGTCTTGAAGAGGCTGAGGATCTGTTTGATTCGATGCCTTGTCGTGATATAGTCGCCTGGAACGTGATGATGGAAGTGTTTGCGCAGAATGGTCGTCTGCTGCATGCTAGAAGCTTGTTCGAGAGCATGGGTGATAAAGATGTGGCTTCCTGGACGACGATGATCACTGCCTACTGGCAGATGGGTGATTTAGACTCATCATAAGATTTCTTCGATCTGATGCCGTATCGAAGCGTCGTTTCCTGGAGCGCGATGCTCACGGCGTACGCTCGCAACGGCAAAGTCGAGGATTCGAGGAAGGTTTTTGAAGGAATGCCTGAGAGGAATGTTCTGGTCTGGACAGCCATGCTGGCTGCGTATTGTCAGTACGGACATTAAGACGAAGCGAAGAAGGTTTTCGAGTTGATGCCCGAGAAAGACGTCGTCTCTTGGAATGTGATGATATCTGGTTACGCTCACACGAAGCGTTTTCGCGAGGCCGAGACATTGTTCGAAGAGATGCCGAGGAGAGATCTGGTTTCGTGGTCGCTGATGATCTCCGCGTATGCTCAAAATGGCGACACCGCTCGAGCAAAGGTTTTGTTTGACGGAATGCCTCAGCAAAGGAACACGATCGTAGCTGCGTACGCTTCGGAGGGCGATTTGGGACTTGCGAGGATGGTGTTTGATGCGATGCCGGAGAAGAATGTCGTATCGTGGACGACGATCGTTAGAGCGTATGCGCAAAACGGTCACTTACGTGAGGCAAGGGTGTTGTTTGAAAAGATGCCTGAGAGGGATGTCGTGACCTGGAACTCAATGGTCACAGCCTATGCTCAGAACGGACTGGTTGATCAAGCTGTGGATGTCTTGAATCAGATGCCTTGCAGAGATGTGGTTTCCTGGAACGTTACGATTGCGGCATATTCGCACAACGGGCATAATCAGCAGGCCATCGCGTTGTTTCGAAAGATGGATCTTGAAGGCTTGCAACCCAACGAGATCAGCTTCGTTACGATCTTCGACGCCTGTGCAACGGTCTCGTTGCTCAGAGTCGACTGTTGCACAGAGTCGGGAAGCTGATCCACCCCGAAGCCGTCCCCGCCGGATTCAGCGCGTTGGAGCCGGTTTCGACGTCGATCCTGACAATGTATGGGAAGTGCGGGAGTTTGGAGGAGGCTCGTCGGATCTTCGATGCGATGCCTGAAAGACGCACGGTGTCTTAGAGTGCGATGATATCTGCATATGCACAGAGTGGTCATGGCCTGCTAGCTCTGGATCTCTTCAAGAAGATGGGTTTGGATGGAGTTGAACCGGATGGAATCACCTTCATCGCGGTGCTTTCGTCTTGTTGTCACTGTGGGGAGCTGAAAGACGGGTGGACGTATTTTGTGAGCTTGAGAAACGACTATGGTGTTGATCCCATGGCTGAGCATTACATCTGCATCGCCGATCATCTGGGAAGAGCAGGAAGGCTGGCTGAAGCTCAGGATTTGATTCACAACTTGCCCTTCCATCCTAGTCCCGTTGCTTGGACTCACTCATGGGAATAACCAAACGAAAGATTGCTCAACAAGTGCAGAAGTTGGATGAAACGAACTCGTCTTGTTACGTGCTGCTCTCAAACACATACGAATCTTGATTTGAAATAGGGTTTGAACATTTCAGTGAGAACTATAGTGGGAAATTTTCAAACTTATTTCCCGGACGACATGAGTTAAGTCCTCTCAGATTTTCAGGCAAATGACATTAAAACTAGGATTACAAAATCTTAAATATACTACTTTGGAATCTTATTGACTTTCCACAATAAAATATTTAAAATTTTGTAATCTTTACGTAGCTAACATGCTTAAAGTCCTACAACATCAGGTTTTGGAGACCTGCGTTCTACCGGACTGAACTAAGAGCGCTTTTTAGTTTGCTCGGTGCGGCAGGAGGATGAGGAGGGAGAGAGTTTCAGGTAAGGATAATTCGCAAATGAATTCCTTCCTGCGCCTCCTATTATTGTTAACAAGTTTTGCTATCATTCATTCATTCGTTCAATCCATTCATTCAATCCTATCATTCATTCATTCATTCACACAAACACTAGAGAGTAATAGCTATATGCTAATGGTTATGTTAGCATTTTCTTCAAGTGTCATTCATCCATCAATCACAAAGATTTGAGTTTGTTTGTTGTTAAAATTTAAGTTTATAATCTTACATATACTGCAGTCATGACTTCCGCAATTCATGCTGCAATCAAGCAGGACCTCCAGGCACTTCATGGCACACTGAAAGAGGACATACCCACAACCAAATTATGGTGTTCCACATCCCTCTATCATGTAAGCATTTGTTAAATTTTGATTTTGTGCGGATTTTAAAATACTTGATCAAGGCGCAAGGTGGGTAAGTGGGGTAAGAGATCCAACGAGCTTGCCTTGAATTATGTTTGAATTGAAACTGATCGCAGGGACATCAACACTAGCTTGACGACGATGGAAGGGTGAGAACTCCGAGCGTTCTGCGAGATCACCTAACTGGAGTACATTCTCGGAGTGTCGGGCCGGCTCACTCTCGAGTTTATGGACGTGTACAGGATTCGCGGCAACAGCTTCAGCATTGACTTGCCGGCTGACAGACTTCGCAGTGACTACGAGCATTCACGAGCACACCTTTTGTCCCGAGTTGGGAGGATCTTTTTATACCTGGAAAGCTTTGAGTCGGTTTAAGTATAAAAGCTTGTAATTCTTTCTAGAGCTCCCATGATACTCCCCTTGGAGCCAAACAAATAAAGGAATTAAAGGTACCTCTTTGGAAAAATGGCGATTATACGTAACACCAAGAAAAACAGTGATCGGATCGGAGCTCTTGCTCTCGAAGCTGAGCCAGAGGTTCTCGTTTTCAAGTCGAGGGTTGACCACTGCTGGGTTTTAGTTTTTGCTCCACGCACGCAACGCTTTCTCCACTTTGCAGGGCTTGGAGAGGCCAAATAAAGGAATAGAGAAGAAAGAAACTCACTGTGAATCCAAGGTATCACAGCTGTTCCTCCTTCGTGTTTTATGTGGCTGCTTTCCTGTGGAGCTCCAACAGGGCTTGGAGAGCTGCCAAGGATCGAGTGAGGAGATGGAGTGCCATCCTTCTCCTCTTCCTCCCCCTCCTTCTCTTGTCATCGAGGCCACGTGAGCTCCCCTTCGATCCGGAAGCCGACGGCGATCACCCCTGGCACCAGCAATCCCCCGCCAGGAACAAGAGGACGAAATCCTGTCCTGGTCCTGGATCGATCCGCTGCTCCTACTCTGGCCACAAAACCTCGCGGAGTCACCACGCCGGCGCCAAGATCCACAGCTCCTCGCGAAATCACCAGGACAAGATCAAGATTCCCGAGAATGCGCCCGCGGAGGAAGATATCCAGCGCCTCCGGCCCACTACCGTTGGGAAGAATCCACGCCCGTGGCACAAGAGCAGCATCGATTCCTGCCGCCAATCCAGCTCCGGAGACGCCGTCGCGCCGCGCCACCGCGCGAGGAAAGGTAAGACGGTGGAAGCCGAATCGGAGCCATGGAAATCGAGGAGCAAGCCGCCACGGCCAGAGCCAGTGCTGGAGCCGGCAGTGCCGACAACAAAGAAGAGCTCTTCTCCCTCCACAGGAGGTACAGATTGACGGCGACGAGGATGTCATGCGCGATGATCTTGCAGAGGTGCCCAAGCCGAAATCAGCGCAGCCAGGCAGCCTCGCCGCCGCCTCCAAATCGAGTGGAACCATCGGGGACCGCTTCTCCCGACGTGGATTGGCCTCGCGCTTCTCTTCTGTCGCTGTTCTCCGAGCTTTTCTGCCAGAAGATCGATCACGTCGCTTGGAAGGGGAGCGGGAGGCTTTAAAGGTCCAAGCTATACGAGCTTGTACCAAGGCAGCGCAGAAAATCCTGGCAGGACCTCTCTCGCAGATCTTGCTCCCGGATTGCAGCAAATTTCGGAGAAGGGCTGCCCGAGGTTAGGGTGAGCAAATTTTCCCTCCATGTAAAATCTAGGGTTCGTCGTCTCCGCAGCTTCCATGGATGTTGTGATTGTGGCGGTCGCGGGTGCTTGTGTTGTCATTGCGGCAACTTGCGTTGCAACCATGCTCATCATCAACCTCCTCACCAAGAGCGTCATTACCATGGCTTCTTCAACCAGGGGAGCAGCGAAGGAGGATCTACAGGCTCTCCGTGGAGCTCTCAAGGAGGATCTGCAGGCTCTCCGTGGAGTTCTCAAGGCGGATCTTCCCAGCCTCAGGCAGGTGATACAGGATTTTGGTGCCTTGAGGGAGGAACTGAGGATGCTGCGAGATGCTCTGCGAGCTGAGGCAGCCCAGGGCCAAGCTAATCCGGTAAGCATTTGTGAAGTTCTGGCTTGTGCGAATCTTGAAATTATTTTCTTGATCATCCAGTGGTGTGCAAACCGCACAGAAGTGGCGCTGCTGCTGCTGACCATGTTCAGTGATCAGTAGTTGATTCATAGGAAGTTCGACAAAACTGTTTTGTTTTTCGACAGGGAAAAAGCTTCTGATTCGGATCTTCGTTTCCTCGAAATAAAATGACTCATGTCTTGAGCTTCTGATAGTAAGTCTTTTCCGGGCAAGAACATAGACATGGACGTGGCTTGGCAGTGTCTAATAGTACTTCCTTGTAGGTGGATCAGTGTAACTGTTTATCCAGCAGACCCGGATTTCACTGGGTACACTTCAATTGCTTTGTATGATAACGGAACACGATTCAATCAAAGCTTTCAAGTTTTCTGTCTTCAAGTAGACTCGGGGTCATGCAGCTTAGCTGACGGCTCGTGCAGACTCACTGGACCTGAAACATAGAGAGCTGAACGAGGAGATCGAGGTGATCTCCATTTCTTTATCATGCATTTCCTGAGTCGCGGCCCTTGCGAGAGAGCCACTGGCCAGCCCTGGAACGAGTTCCTACAGCACAAGTTCTTGCCCCGGAGGTACCTTGAATTTTTCTCCAGGAATGGGACGCCCACCGCTGATGAAAATGACGATGTTTGTCGTTCCCACTCAGCGAGGCGCAAGTTGCCGAGGTACTGTGTGTCGCGAAGCTCTTTATTGGTTTTCCATGTTGACAAGAAGATGATTTGCAGGTGTAAGAACGTTGGCAACAAGCTCTTGCAGCAACTGCGTGTTCGCGTGATGCGAAAGTGTCCAAGCAATTAACCGCCGCGTTCGAACTACTTACAGACAAATCGGCTACCTCCCACAAAAAAGCCAGGTTTTTAAGCACAGTAATCGAAACCAGCCAGCCAGCCAAGTTCTTGCATAGTCCAAACCTCCGCAGCTACAAAGGCGAAGCCTATTTTCTATTGCGATGCATTGCAAATCCACCACCAAGTTCGAGAGCATGAACTTGGTCAGCTTGCCAATGCATTTGTTCTATTCGCTTCGTAGAGATACTTGTAGCATTTCTTTGCTCCGCTGCCAGTAGTTTGCTCGGATCAGCAACCGCAATATTCGAAAAGACAAGGCTTACATTCCAAAAGCGAGAATGCTCCTGATCCCGAAAGAGTAGGAACCTCCACTTTAGTTGCATCAGCTTCTGACGATTCCTCCTGTTTTTTGTTTTGATTCGTTTTGCTTCTGCCTTTAGTGGATTACCAGATGGTGTTCCGGTTGCAACACTTCGTGACCACGTAACGGCCATCAAGTTTAGTCCCCGACCTGAAGACGGAACCTCTGTCAATTCACGTGTCTACATGCCGAAGCCGGATGGCGAGCCCGAATGTAAAGAGTCTGCCAATGTTTTTCTGGTCTTCTAAAAGCTTGTTTCCAGCTGCAGGAGCTGAGAATGGAGCACAGGCTACGAATCAGATTCAGTTCTGTGCGTTTAATGCAGATGGATCATATTTCGTCACTGGGAATTCGGACAAGCTTGCCAGGGTAAGCATTAAAAGTGGACTGTTTATATTTCTAGCAATTGTTTGAACAGGTTTGGGACGCAAGAAGTTAACTACGTGCAGTTCAGGTTCGCGTCTTTGTTGACATCAATCGTCCTTTGTTCCAGTGGTTGTGCAGAGCCAATCAAAGTTTCTTCCGTGGACTTTTTCAAGGATGACAAGGTAAAGACATCTTATGGGGCTCTCATGGAATAACATGGATGTGCAGATTGCCGAGACTTACGTGCCAGATGTACATCCATGCAATCCTCATATTGCAATGAGTCCGGGCTACGATGGCAGAGGTACTGTCTGGGATGTAAGTGTGTTCGCTCAAAAGAATGATGACGAATATCACTTGATTGTTTTAGATTTGGCAGGGCCATCCAGTAAGAACATATGAGACTGGAGATTATAATCTTGTCGATGACAATTTTCACCGTATGCTTGCTCTCATATCCATTTATCCTGGATTTCACGTTTGCTAATTTTCAGGGATGGAACCTCGTTGGTAGTCAAGACGACGAAGGTGCGTAATACGATCAGGTATCAGGAAGATTTTGCTTTTTATCTTTCATCCAATAGCTTGTTGTTTTTGCATTTATTATTTATTATTTTTGTTTTTTCTAGTTTTTTCTTGGATGGAAACGTTCTCGATCAGGTAAATAAAATGATGTAAGTGCTTTTATTTAGTTTTAGTCCTGAGTGTTGTTCCTGTCCGCTATTATTCTTGTGCGAACTGAATGTCTTTCTTTAACAGGAAACTCGGTTGCCTCCTCATCAAAGGAATCTTCAAGATCTCTTGTGCGATGCAAGTAAGCTGGTGACTTCTTACCTCGGCCAACTTATTTTTCTGTTTCATTTTCAGGCTTGATTCCCTATCCAGAACCTTATCAAAGCTCGTACCAGCAACGTCGTCTGGGACTCCTAGGTTGCTACTGGCAACCACCATCAGTTCAGCTCGCAGTGGGAACGTTTGATGATCCAGCTTTCATTCCTCAGGATAAGCCTCAGTTTCTTCTCTGCAAGCGATTGAGCAAACAAACAAGCAAGGCAACAGATGGGTAGAACAACTGGCGGAGAGCTTTCTTCGCTCGCGCAGTAGTCAGAACCAGACTCGTCACTCAAGCCGGTGACTTCTTTATCCCAGTTTCTTGAGTGACGAGGATGGAAATGAAGAAAGTGGTACGATCTGTGAATCAGAAACAACCGACAAAGAAAATGACGAATTAGATTCTGAAGTGGTTCGTACCCAAAGAAGGAGAGAGGTATGTACGTGAAGTTTTTGTGTTTCTGATAATCCATTACAGATACTTGCGACCTTGGTCAGGAAGCAAAAGCGCTGGCGCTTGGAGGAGTCATACAATGCACTTTTGATGCCGATGAGGAAACTAAAGGAGAGAGGAAACACAGATATTGAGGTCTAATAAGAAAGTCAAACACGGACCATGCATTGAGGCCTATGAGGATGGCAGCTTGGAATGCCTTGACCATGTTTTCGAGCTTACATGAGTACGAAGACGACGGAGCACGCCGCCTGGCCGCTGAGGATGCCAAAAGACCTGGTACATCTGGAGAGAACGAGAACCAGAGGCTTCTACGCAACGGGAAAGTTCTTACAGAAACTCAGGAACGTGAAGACGATGAACCTCTGAAGAAGAGTCCCGCAGAGACTTCGGACGTGGGTGAATGCAGGCGGCCAAGGTCTCAGCGAAAGTTAGTACTCAAGTTGAGAAACTGTGCACAAACGTCCAACAACGAGGATACTTTTCAGAGCCTCGAAATACCAGAACAAGGCACTTCTAAAGTCCCCATGTCCGAGGCTAATGACAGTCATCCAAAAACAGATGGTTTTATCGCGGACGAGAATCCCACTGAAGCTGTTTCGTCTGACGACAAACAGGGATACATATGGAAGAAGGGGAAAGCAGTCAAGCGTGCTCGCATGCCTTATCACAACAGCAGCAGCTCGGAATAGTGATTACCACGAAGAGGTTTCACCCGGCAGTAACAGTGAGTCGCTGGAGGATGCTTACAAGCCCGAGGAAGAGCAGGCAAGTGAGGACCTGGACGTGGACGATATACAAATGAAGCGCAATATGAACAAGGCCGTCTACTCAAGGAGAAGGCCTCGCAAAGTTGCGACTAAGACCGAGTGTTATGAGGCCGACGAGCACGCTTCAGGTGGCCGCAGGAGAAGTACACGGCTGGCGCAGGGTCGCGTGGTTAGTCTCTCCAACAGCAGGTCCACAAGAAGCAGGAGAAACGTCGGCCGTCCCTCACACTGGGAAGCTAGCTCGTCTTACGACGACTCGGACTGGGATAGAAGCAGCGACGACGATGGACGCCGAAAGCCCGAAAGAAGAACTTCGAGCAGACTTAAAGTGAAGCTGCAGAAGAACGTTGGGTCGAGGTACAAGGATTTCCACGTGAGGAGAAACCTGAGCACGGTGCATCGGAGTCCGAGCAACGTGTCCTGGTTACTCTTGACAGAGGTGGAGCGGACGCGCTACATCCCACAGTATGGTGATGAGGTGGTGTACTTCCGACAGGTAAGAGATCCAACGAGCTCGTCTTGAATTATGTTTGAATTGAAACTGTCGATCGCAGGGACATCAAGACTACTTAGACAACAAGCGGCTCGACGACGATGGTCCCTGGAGAAGCGTGAAAAGGGAACTGCAAGTGGTCGACTTCTGCGAGATCACCGGACTGGAGTACATCATTCTCGAAGTGTCGGGGAACACTTGTTGCCGGCTGACTCTTGAGTTTATGGACGGGTACAGGATTCGCGGCAGCAGCTTCAGCGTCGACTTGCCGGAGCTGACAGACTTCGCCGACTTTATAGTGGAGAGAAGCCGCTACGAGGCCTCCATGGCCAGGAAGTGGTCCAGTCGGGACAAGTGCCAAGTGTGGTGGAGGTCGGACGAGGAAGAAGGTGGTCGCTGGTGGGAAGGGACGATAACTCAGGTGAAGGGAAAGTCGCCCGAGTTTCCAAACAGCCCCAGGGACAGCATCAATGTGCTGTACAAGGACGAGCCATCGACGACGAACCACTGCCCCTGGGAGCTTCACGACGTTGAGAATCCTTTAACTTGGGAGTCGCCACAGATCGAGCAGGACAAGGTGCGTGAGCTGCTCGACATCGTGGACGAGGTGCTCCACTCGAACCAATCCAAGGTTTGTTTTTGTGCGATCGATCATAGACTCGAGGAATGTTTCGGTTTTGGTCTTGGCTTGACGAGCGTTTGCTTTTCACAGGACGAGTATGACTTGTGGAGGTTGCAGCAGGCCGTGAGCAAGCCGGATTTTCTTGACAGGCAAGTTGGAAAAATCTCTTGCGATTGAGAAAGAAGCTAAAGGTTTTCAATCAATGCAGGATTGCGCTACCAATCTCCATGGACGTGATTCGCGAGCGGCTGGAGAACAACTATTATCGTAGCGTGATGGCGGTGTCACACGATCTTAGGATACTGATCGACAACTTCCGGACATATTTTGGGAAACAGCATTCGTCGGTGCTCAAGGTGGAGTGGCTGAGAGAACGCTTCTCTGAGGCACTGCAAATGTGAGCTTTGTAAAAAATTTCTCGAGGTCTTAGTTAACGAAGAAAAGAAACATTTTCCTTACACATCCATCTACATTGTCAAACACGAGATCAGTCTGAGGATCACTCTCAATCTTTTTATACCTGGAAAGCCATGAGGACGAAAGAAGTCGAGGAGATGGAGCGCCATCCTTCTCCTCTTCCTCCTCCTCTTGTCATTGAGCCCGTGTACTGATAGAAATCGCGAGAATCCACTAGGAACTCGAGTTCCCGCCAGACCACTGTACGAATGGCGGCCCACCAAGAAAGTGGCCAGTGGCCCATTGTACGTAAGATAAAGCGACTGTGGGTTCTTGCGAAGATAGGGCGGGCGGCTCGAACTTCTGGTAAGAGTGTCATTTGTGTCTTTCATAACTACTGTAAATTTGATTTCATTTTCGATTTTGCAAAGGCTTTGCTGCAAACCTTGCCAATGGAGTTTTTGATTGCCATAGTGCTTGTTAGCACCATTGCGATTAGTGTGCTGTGCATCGTGACCACAGCTTGTGTGCTGGTGCTGGCATCTGCCATGTGTGCAAGAATGGGAGCTGTGACTGAGAATCTCCAGGTGATGGCCTCTGGCATTCGTGCGGCAGTGAGGGAGGATTTGCCAACAATCCATAGTGCCATAAAATAAGACGTTGTTGCCGTGGTTCCTTCACTGTATCGTGAAGTGCTTGGAAGTCCTCCTTGATTGCAGCATGCATAGCTGCAACATTCACTTCTCTAGCCATGGCAACAATGCACCATGGATCGCTTGCAAATCCTCCCTCACTGCTGTACAAATGGATCCCATTCATGCTCCAGGATGTTATAGCAGCCCACAACCAAGTCATGATCGACTATTCCACATCCCTCTATCAGGTAAGCATTTGTTAGATCTAGATTTTGTGCGGCTTTTAAAATACTGGATCAGGGTTTGGATGGCTTGATCAAGTCGTGTGCAAAGAGCATAGTGGTGGGTAAGTGGCGCTGCTGCTGGTTCAATGATCAGTAGTTGATTCATAGAAACGACAAAGCTGTTCTTTTTTTTTCTCAGGATATTTTTTTCTGATTCGGATCTTCGTTCTTCGAAATAAAAAGGCTTATATGTCGTGAGCTTCTGATAGTAAGTCTTTTTCCGGGCAAGAACATAGACATGAACGTGGCCTGGCATTGTCTAATTGGTACTTCCTTGTAGGTGGATGAGTGTAACTATTTATTCAGGAGACTATTTATTCAGGAGGTCCTTTGGAGCTGCGGATATCGCATATAGTCACTGGGTTCAAATGCTTTGTATGGTAACGGAACATTGAATCGAAGCTTTCAAGTTTTCTGTCTTCAAGTAGACTCGGGTGCAATCTTCATGCAGCTTAGCTAACCTCTCGTGCAGACTGACTAACGTAGGTGGCTTTACGGTCTGATGTTGGAGCTGATCATCACCTGCATGAACAAGACGAGGAGATCGAGTTGCGGAAGTTATCATGCACTTCCTGAGGAGAGGCCCTTACGAGAGAGCCACTGACCAGCTCTGGAACGAGCTCCTACAGCACAAGCTCTTGCCCCAGAGGTACCATCAGGAATGGAACGCCACCCGCCGACGAGAATGACGATGGTTTGTCGTTCCCACTCAGCTACGCGCAAGTTGCCGAGAGGTATTGTGTGTCGCCAAGTTCTTTCTTTCTTAGGATTTGTCTTGCTGACAAAAGGATGGATTTTTTATTTTTATTTTTCGATTTTCAGATATAAGAACGTTGACAACAACCACTTGGTTAAGCTCTTGCAGCAACTACTTGTTCACGACACGTCCGCGTCCTTGCTTGATGCGAAAGTTCCCAAGCAATTGACCGCCGCGGACGTTCCTACACTTTTGGGGTCAGGAGCATTCTCGCTTTTGGAATGTAAGCCGTGTACCTTTCGAATCTTGCCGTTGCTGATCCGAGCAAACTTCATACAGCGGAGCAAAGCAATGCTACTAGTATCTCTACCAAGAGAATAGAACAAATGCGATGGCCGCATTGGCAAGCTGACCAAGTTCATGCTCCCGCGTTCCATGAACTTGGTGGTGGATTTGCAAAGCATCACAGACTGTGAAACATGTTATCATCAAGCCTTCTGTACTGGTGAACAGAATAAGAATCATCCAGGTGCTAAGGGGTCATCGTAATGCGGTATATTGTGGTACGTGTTTCTTTTCTTTTTGGTTTTCAAGACCTATTAACGAAGCGATAAACGTGCAGCCGTTTTTGATCGTACTGGACGGTATCTTGTCACTGGCTCGGACGACCGGCTTGTGAAGATATGGTCCGTAGAAAATAGACTTTGCCTTCGTAGCTGTAGAGGACACGAGATACTATTTTCTGCATCCGTTTCGAATATTGTGCCTAAAACCTGGCTTTTAGGGGGATATAACCGATTTGTCTGTAAGTAGTTCGAACACTAGAGTTGCATCAGCTTCTAACGATTCCTCCATCTGTGTTGTAAGTATTCTGCTTTTGTTTTTTGTTTTGACTCATTTCGCTTCTGCCTATAGTGGGGATTACCAGATGGTGTTCCGGTTGCAATACTTCGTGGCCACACGGCGGGCGTAACGGCCATCAAATTTAGTCCCCGACCGGGCTGTGAGCACCATCTTCTATCGTAAGTGTTAATAATTTGCTCTTTCCACTTTAGTTGTATTAAAATCTCGTGGTTTCAAGTTCGTCTGAAGACGGAACATGCCGTATTTGGGATGCTCGGGATTCTTCTGTAAATTCACGTGTCTACATGCCGAAGCCGGATGTCAAACCCGAATGTAAAGAGTCTGCCGATGTTTTTTCGGTTTTCTAAAAGCTTGTTTCCAGCTGCAGGAGCTGAGAATCGAGCACAGGCTACGAATCAGATTCAGTGCTGTGCGTTTAATGCAGATGGCTCATACTTTGTCACTGGGAGTTCGGACAAGCTTGCCAGGGTAAGCATTTAAAGTGAACTTTTTATATTTCTAACAATTGTTAGAACAGGTTTGGAACGCAAGAAAGTGGGCGGACGAGTACACCGGAAGGCCAAATCATGAGCATGACATTCTTAGTGGACACGAGAATGTAGTTAACTACGTGCAGTTCAGGTTCGCCTCTTTGGCTTGGTCCTCGTTGACATCAATCGTCCTTTGTTCCAGTGGTTGTGCAGAGCCAATCAAAGTTTCTCCCGTCGACTTTTTGAAGGATGACAACGTCCCTGACAACATACCGAAGTTCAAAACAACCTGGTATACTGTGCCGCTCATTGCTATCTGGTTTTAACGTTGGTTTTGTTCAGGTTTCCTCAAGATAGCATAGTTACTTGCTCAAGAGACGGCACTGCTATTATCTGGTCTCCTCGTCCTAGAAAACAGGTGTGCATGGCCTTTCTTTCTGTGTAACTAATGCCATGACTGCTCCTCTTTCCTCCAGCTGAAGCTAGGTCGATGGGTAAAGGCTTATCATTTGAAAGTACCGCCCCCTCCGATGCCACAGCCTCCCGTTCGAACTGGTGGACCTCAACAAAAACTGCTTCCAACTCCTCGAGGTGTTAATATGATAGTCTGGAGTTTGGACAATCGTTTTGTACTCGCCGCGATTATGGGTAAGATACCTCACGAACTAATTTTATGGAATAACATGGATGTGCAGATTGCCGGATATGTGTCTGGAATGCGGTTGATGGCAGTCTGGTGCACTGTTTAACCGGCCATACCAAGCAGGTATTGAAATGGAATTTATTGATTCCATTCTTTCTTAACATCTATTATTTAGACTTACGTGCTAGATGTACATCCATGCAATCCTCGCATTGCAATGAGTGCGGGCTACAATGGCCGAGTTATTGTGTGGGATGTAAGTGTATTCTCTCAAAAAAAATGATCACGAATTTTGTTTTAGATCTGGGAGGGCCGTCCAGTAAGGACATTTGAGACGGGAGATTATAATCTTGTCGATGGCAACTTTTCACCGTAAGCTTGTTCTCATGTCCATATACTGTTCTCATGTTTGCCAATTTTCAGGGATGGAACCTCATTGGTTGTTTCCGATGAGGTCGGCCAGGTCTACCTTTTTTCTACCCAAGTCAAGACGACGAAGATGCGAAATACGACCAGGTATCAGGAAGATTAGCTTCATATCCTTCTCCTAACAGCGTTTGTTTGTTTTTCGGGTTCTGTGTAGCTTTTTCTTGGAGATTATCGGCCTCTTGTTCGAGATACTCGTGGAAACGTTCTCGATCAGGTAAATAAAATGATGTAAGTGCTTTTATTTAGTTTTAGTCCTGAGTGTTGTTCTTTTCCGGTATTGTTCTTGCAAAAACTGAGTATCTTTCTTTTACAGGAAACTCAGTTGCCTCCTCATCAAAGGAATCTTCAAGATCTCTTGTGCGATGCAAGTAAGCTGGTGACTTCTCACCTCGTCCAACTTATTTTTCTGTTTCATTTTCAGGCTTGATTCCCTATCCAGAACCTTATCAAAGTTCGTACCAGCAACGTCGTCTGGGACTCCTAGGTTGCTACTGGCAACCACCATCAGTTCAGCTCGCAGTGGGAACGTTTGATGATCCAGCGTTCATTCCTCAAGATCAGCCTCAAGCAGTAGTTGCCGCTCTACAAGCAATCGAGCAAACAAACGAGCAAGGCAACAGATGGGTAGAACAACCGGCGGATGGTGAGGCAATGGACTGGGATGAAGAAGTCACTGGATTGAGTGACGATTCTGGTTCTGATTACTGCGCGAGCGAAGAAAGCTCGAGTGACGAGGATGGAAATGAAGAAAGTGGTACGATCTGTGAATCGGAAACAACCGACAAAGAAATTGACGAAATTGATTCTGATGGGGTTCGTAACCGAAGAACAAGGAAAAAGAAGAGAGAGGTACGTACGTCCAGCTTTTGCGTCTCTGATAACTTCAATGGTGATTGTCCACTACAGATACTCGCAACCTTGGTGAGGAAGCAAAAGCGCAGGCGCTTGGAGGAGTCAAACAATGCTCTTTTGATGCCTGAGGAAACGCAGAGGCTGAGGTCTAGAAAGCGGATAAGAAAGTCAAACCCGGACCATGCATTGAGGCCTATGAGGATGGCAGCTCGGAATGCGTTGACCATGTTTTCGAGCTTACATGAGTATGAAGACGACGAAGCACGCCGCCTGGCCGCTGAGGATGCCAAAAGACCTGGTACATCTGGAGAGAACGAGAACCAGAGGCTTCTACGCAACGGGAAAGTTCTTACAGAAACTCAGGAACCTGAAGACGATGAACCTCCGAAGAAGAGTCCCGCAGAGACTTCGGACGTGGGTGAATGCAGGCGGCCAAGGTCTCAGCGAAAGTTAGTACTCAAGTTGAGAAACTGTGCACAAACGTCCAACAACGAGGATACTTTTCGGAGCCTCGAAATACCAGAACAAGGCACTTCTAAGGTCCCCGTGGCCGAGGCTAATGACAGTCATCCAGAAACAGATGGTTTTATCGCGGACGAGAATCCCACTGAAGCTGTTTCGTCTGACGACAAACAGGGATACATATGGAAGAAGGGGAAAGCAGCCAAGCGTGCTCGCATGCCTTATCACAGCAGCAGCAGCTCCGAAGAGGATAAACTGGTAGACGTTCCTTGTGATACCAAGAAAGGCCTTGAAGCGACTCGTGTAGAAAATGGAGACACAAAGGTGGTGGCAAGGGCGATCATTAGCGAGTCCGAGTCGGAGAGGTCTCTTTCAGCTGACTACCTTGACGAACAGCAGAGACGAGAGCAGAATCACACTCTTCTGAGCAATGAGTCCTTACAGAATGGAGAAGCTCCAGATGGTGACAATGACCCTGATTACCACGAAGAGGTTTCACCAGGCAGTAACAGTGAGTCGCTGGAGGATGCTTACAAGCCCGAGGAAGAGCAGGCAAGTGAGGACCTGGACGTGGACGATATACAAATGAAGCGCAATATGAACAAGGCTGTCTACTCAAGGAGAAGGCCTCGCAAAGTTGCGACTCAGACCGAGTGTTATGAGGCCGACGAGCACGCTTCAGGTGGCCGCAGGAGAAGTACACGGCTGGCGCAGGGTCGCGTGGTTAGTCTCTCCAACAGCAGGTCCACAAGAAGCAGGAGAAACGTCGGCCGTCCCTCACACTGGGAAGCTAGCTCGTCTTACGACGACTCGGACTGGGATAGAAGCAGCGACGACAATGGACGCCGAAAGCCCGAAAGAAGAACTTCGAGCAGACTTAAAGTGAAGCTGCATAAGAACGTGGGGTCGAGGTACAAGGATTTCCACGTGAGGAGAAACCTCAGCACGGTGCATCGGAGTCCGAGCAACGTGTCCTGGTTACTCTTGAGAGAGGTGGAGCGGACGCGCTACATCCCACAGTATGGTGATGAGGTGGTGTACTTCCGACAGGTAAGAGATCCAACGAGCTTGTCTTGAATTATGTTTGAATTGAAACTGTCGATCGCAGGGACATCAAGACTACTTAGACAACAAGCGGCTCGACGACGATGGTCCCTGGAGAAGCGTGAAAAGGGCACTGCAAGCGGTCGAGTTCTGCGAGATCACCGGACTGGAGTACATCATTCTCGAAGTGTCGGGGAACACTTGTTGCCGGCTGACTCTCGAGTTCATGGACGGGTACAGGATTCGCGGCAGCAGCTTCAGCGTCGACTTGCCGGAGCTGACAGACTTCGCCGACTTTATAGTGGAGAGAAGCCGCTACGAGGCCTCCATGGCCAGGAAGTGGTCCAGTCGGGACAAGTGCCAAGTGTGGTGGAGGTCGGACGAGGAAGAAGGTGGTCGCTGGTGGGAAGGGACGATAACTCAGGTGAAGGCAAAGTCGCCCGAGTTTCCAAACAGCCCCTGGGACAGCATCAGTGTGCTGTACAAGGACGAGCCATCGACGACGAACCACTGCCCCTGGGAGCTTCACGACGTTGAGAATCCTTTAACTTGGGAGTCGCCACAGATCGAGCAGGACAAGGTGCGTGAGCTGCTCGACATCGTGGACGAGGTGCTCCACTCGAACCAATCCAAGGTTTGTTTTTGTGCGATCGATCATAGACTCGAGGAAGGTTTTGCTTTTGCTTTTGGCTTGACGAACTTTTGCTTTTCGCAGGACGAGTATGACTTGTGGAGGTTGCAGCAGGCCGTGAGCAAGCCGGATTTTCTTGACAGGCAAGTTGGAAAAATCTCTTGCGATTGAGAAAGAAGCTAAAGGTTTTCAATCAATGCAGGATTGCGCTACCAATCTCCATGGACGTGATTCGCGAGCGGCTGGAGAACAACTATTATCGTAGCGTGATGGCGGTGTCACACGATCTTAGGATACTGATCGACAACTTCCGGACATATTTTGGGAAACAGCATTCGTCGGTGCTCAAGGTGGAGCGGCTGAGAGAACGCTTCTCTGAGGCACTGCAAATGTGAGCTTTGTAAAAAAATTCTCGAGGTCTTAGTTAACGAAGAATAGAAACATTTTCCTTACACATCCATCTACATTGTCAAACACGAGATTATTCCGAGGATCACTCTCATCCCTGGAAAACCATGAGGAAGAAGGAAGCCGAGGAGATGGGGCGCCATTCTTCTCCTCTTCCTCCTCCTCTTGTCATCGAGGCCGCGTACTGATGGAAATCGCGAGAATCCACTGACAAGGAACTCGAGTTCCCGTCAGACCACTGTACGAACGGCGGCCCACCAATTAAGTGGCCAATGGCCCATGGTGCTGGCATCTGCCATGCGTGCAAGAATGGGAGCCGTGACTGAGAATCTCCAGGTGATGGCCTCCGGCATTCATGCGGCAGTGAGGGAGGATGTGCAAGCGATCCATGGTGCAGTGAGGGAGGATGTGCCAGCAATCCATGGTGCCATAAAGGAAGACGTTGTTGCCATGGTTGGAGCAGGAATGGGATCCATTCGTGCAGCAGTGAGGGAGATCCATGGTGCCTTGAAGGAGGACTTTGTTGCTGTGGTTGGAGCACTGAACGTTGCGGCTATGCGTGCTGCAATCAAGGAGGACCTCCAGGCACTTCACGACACAGTGAAGGAGGATGTTATAGCAGCCCACAACCAAGTCATGGTCGACTGTTCCACATCCCTCTATCAGGTAAGCATTTGTCAGATCTAGATTTTGTGCGGCTTTTAAAATACTGGATCAGGGTTTGGATGGCTTGATCAGGTCGTGTCCAAAGCGCAAAGTGGCGCTGCTGCTGGTTCAGTGATTCATAGAAACGACGAACTGATCTCTTTTTTCTCAGGAATTTTTTTTCTGATTCGGATCTGCAGAAATAAAAAGGCTTATATGTCGTGAGCTTCTGATAGTAAGTCTTTTTCCGGGCAAGAACATAGACATGGACGTGGCCTGGCAGTGTCTAATTAGTACTTTCTTGTAGGTGGATGAGACCCTTTGGAGCTGCCGATAGTCACTGGGTTCAATTGCTTTGTATGGTAGAGGAACATGTGATATTTGTGCGCTTTTCGAGGATTCTCTAACAGTTTATTTCCGAATGGAGTTGGCTTGGTGGCTGGCTGTTCCTGTCGCTGCTGTTACCTCTGATAATGTTACCTCTGATGCGTGATCGAGGAGCTTGTTTTTTTCCTTGATGAAAGATCACGACGGCTTGTTGACTGATCTTCCGGACGATGTGTTCGGGTTGATATCCAGCCGCGTCTGTCACAGAGATCTCTGCAACCTCAGCGCCACTTCTTGCAAGCTTCGAGACGTCTGCAGCTCTGATAAGGTCTGGTTCCCGCAGTGCCAAAGGCTGGTTAGAGAAGAAGAAGCGGAGGAATACATCGACTTGAGCACTTGGAGGAATGGGCTGCAGTCGCAGAAGGCGCTGTTCAGATTCATCAACGGGGTCAGGAATCTGGTGGGTATTTGGGTGCATCAGAATCCGGAGCTGGGGAACTTAGTCTATGTCACTTGGGGATTTCTTTCGGTGGGGGGCTGCCGAATCATACCACCCCTCGAGGAATGGATTGCGGGTTGCTCTGGCTCCGGTGTTTGAGATCTTCGGCCTTCCTGACGGATCTCTATCGTTTTTCCTCCACGGAAGGGACAGGGACGACTACTGCTATCCCGGGAGATTTAGCAACAACTGCAACGTTCTCTTACTGGACATCACCGAGCAGAAGCAGCGTTTGCCAATCAGTCCAGATAGCACATCGTGGGGTTTGATGGCGGAGAACAGCGATGGCGACGAGTGCAGCTCGAGAAGATCAGAAAGCAGGTCTGGTACTTGTTTCGGTAGGCTCAGCTTTGGTGACAGAAGACGAGTGCTGGAAGCGCTGGTCACACAAGTCCGGATCAAAATGCCCGCCTCCGTCTTCTTCAAGTCGAAGCATTCTTTCAAGAAGGAACTCAAGGCTGTGACAGAAAGGCATGTGCTGTTTGCACATTCACGGGGATCCTTGCAGGATGGAAAACGAAGCTTAGCAAAAGTTGAAATCGTTTGCAAAAGTTTGTCTTTGTTGCTTTGATGAGGGACTAATATGATATTCACATTTCTAAGTTTCTATTCATCTGGTTCGTCAAACGCACCATCACAAAACATTTTCATAGCCACATGGTGGGTAGGCGACCTTGCCATGATGAAATCACAGTTCATGGCAGGCCCCCTGTCAAAGTCTCGAAGATCATCATAAACCAGTCCCGGCAGCATGTAACGAACATGTATCACATTGAAGGAGAGCATCGCTTTGATCTGCCGCTGGCACTCCGAGATGTCCAACTTGAAGATACGGCGGCAAATCTTCAACAGCCCAACTGCACCATGCGCCACAATGAGCTTCATCACCTCCCTGAACTTAGCCTCTTCCCAGCCGTGACCATGCTCCAGTCCCAGGAGAATCTTGGGCAGCTGTGCCACCACCATGTCTTCGAGAACTACCTCCATGCTGCTTCCCTGCTCAAACACATCGATCACACAGTTCTCAAGTGTTAAAGGGCAGCCACCACAGATCTCATACACCCTTTGCTCCGACCATGAGTCGGGAGCTGTAGCACCTGTTGCTATGCGCTTGGTGACGAGGCTTGACAAGAATGCCTTGGCGTTCTTTTCACCAAAGTGCCCCACAGCAATTGACCTCCATTGCTTAATGTCTGTGTGACTTTGAAACTACTGCCGAAAAAAGTCGTCGGAGGTGGACATAATCACCATAGCAGTTTGGTCTTTTTTGGTCATGGGTGTGAAACATCCCAGGAGGGTGCGTACATCCTGGTTGGACCACCACTTCAATCTGTGAGCTTCATCGATGACAAAAATTGGCCTTCTATGCTGGTTTTCAGCCGCCAGGCTCATAAACCAACTCATGACAGAGCCCAAGTCCTTCACTGGTTCCGCTTTTAACAACTCTAGAAAGCTTGATGCATCAAGGTTTACGCCCTTGAACATCAGCTTCTTCAGATCGACACTAACACCTCCGATCGTCTTCAGAAGGGCTGCTGCCACATCTTTGAGCCAAGAAGCCCAAGTTCGCATCTGTCTTGCAATCTGTGCAGCAGCCTCCTCCGGGGAACTCGCAGCCCTCATGTCGACGTAGAAGAGCGGCAACTGGGCTTTCAGTAGAGGGCTGGCATCCCACATCTTCCTGAGCTGCTTGAGTAGAGCGGACTTGCCTGAATCGTTGGGGCCCATCACTATAGCGATGCGGTTGAGGTCTCCCTCAATATGTGTGAGCAGATCAGTCATCTCTTCGTGCCTATCAAAGAAACCCTCGTCGTCGTTGAGCGATTTCTTCAGCTCCCTCACCGCTTCAGCCGCCATAGCCGCCAACCTCTAAAATGTGTTAAACCTAAAGTCGCGCGCGGTTAATAATCTGAGCTCGAAAGTTGGTAAAATAGAAGCTCCGAGTCGAGGCTGCTTGAGAGGGCAGCCGCAACACGTGGTACCAGAAATGAGTCCACGTGACATTTGGTATCAGAGAGACTAGTTGACTGTTTTAATTTTCTTTAGTTTATTTTCAAACAGATGAACTGCGAAATGGGATGTCAACTCAAAACATGTTGGGATTCCTTGCTGGCTACAAGTTGTTGTAAGCTAAACGAATGCTAATCTGTAGGAAGAGTTTTTCTTCCTGGCTAACTAGAGAACCTAACTGAAACTCTGGAGAACTAGTTTACCGATAGAGAGAGTTTGAAGAGCTTGAAAACCTGTAATGTGGTTTTGGAAATTCTTGGTTATTGGTAGGCTCGTAAAGGCTCTGGGTGAACCAGATAACCTTTAGTGTATGAGCTCCACAATGCTCAGATTTGGAACTGAAGTTATTAAATTGTGGAAGCGTTGAAATGCAGGCATAACCAAAAGGCTTGGTGGAGTGAAACCACCTCATGTTTGGATAAAACTTGTCCCTGTGAGAGATGTGGATATCTGGTTGTCCGAGTTTTTTGATTATCTAGGATTAGTGGCTTGTGGGGGAAATAACTAACCGAACGCTAGTGAATATGCAAGTCACTGAAGGCAGCTGAAACTCTATTAGGCGGTTTTCATCAAAGAGTGTAATTTCACTTGGAGAAACAAGATGGTATGTCTTTTGGCAATGTCGGTTGACATAATGGGCGAACGTGGTGGGTGGAGTACCAGTTGTTTTAGTACCCTATTGAGAATGGAGAGCACTGACGCTACTAACCACTTAGTGCCAAAGGAACAAAGGAAACCTTGCAATGCGAATTAAGCTGAGTCTATTGTGCCTGGTATCTGGTTTATTAGAACTTGTGTAATAAGAGTTTAAATATTGACAAAATGAAATTTGTTGCCATTGAAAGAGTAATGGGACTTAGCATAGAGGTGGATGAAGTCCTCTTTTGCTTTGTTGATATATTACTTAATTGTTATCTATCTTCATAGGAGCGACCTCGGTGGGTGAAGAAGTACCAAATGCAAAGGAACTCTTGGTTGGGAGGTCTTAGACCTCCTTAGAAAGTTGTGAAAAAAGCTAATGGGAATGGCACTTGCAGGTCGAACAGGCAAGCAGTTACGTTGACGAGTTTATGGCCTGGTATATGAAGATGCACGAGCTAGATATGTACCAGAGCATGCGTGAGAACAAGGAGTTCAGTGCGACAATTTTACATTCTCAGTTATTTGAGTTCGAAAAGACAGGCAAGTCTTTAATTGGTTTCTTTATTTATATTTATCTATTTATGGTTTTTCAAATGGAAAAATGATGCACTCCGAAGAGTAGATGGATGTTGCAACATGTGGAGCAGGCTCATGTGTGACATTAGCGATTTTGAAGTGTAGTACTGTTCTTTCTGGCTGGATTTCCTTCCCGGTGGCTGTCCGGAATGGGAGATGGCCAGCTACAAGATACACAAGGATTATCGGTGAGAGCTATTGTGGAAGAACGAGAGTGCTGTGAGGAAGCTCCAGGTGAAGATGGATATCAAGTCAGCAAGATCGGCCACCAAGGGCAGCAAGGGCCAGGCTTTTTCTTCAGCCCCGTCTCCAGATCGGAAGAAGGTGATATGTTGAGGATGCTGATGCCAGAGAACGGAAACGGGAGTTGGGAAATCATTCATGCAGATTCAGGAAACCTTGCAGTCCAGTAGTACTTCAAAGCTGGGAGACCTTTTCCGCCAGGACTGAAGGAGCTTGAGGATTGGATTGTCAGTCACAGGTAAAGCTGAACTGTTCACTTTTTTGTGCAAAGTCTCTACCGAAATGTGTCCAGGGAGCTGTTCATCTTCTCATCATCGATTCGCCTACTAGATGCGTTGCTGAGCCGGGGTGGTTGATCAGTATACGGAGTTCTCGGATGCTTTACTGAAGAACTTGGTGAACACTGCTTTCGGGATACTAGACAGAGCTGGCTACATGGTGGTGTTTGTGCTATCGGATGATTTGCCGGCTTTGAATAACACTGCAGAAACTTGCAAGCTGAAGTTCCTGCAGACAAACTACGCGCACACGGCAAGGTCCTGGGGATACCGTATTTTTAGAAAGGTTATTCTGAGTTAAGTGGCGACCAGCACAAATCGTTGATGTGGCAGGACTTGCTAACGTGGTGGGACTCGCTGATATGGCAGGACACGCTGATGTGGCGGGACTCACTGACACGGCAGGACTCGAGAGCAGAGGCTCTAAGAGGTAAAACAAACTCTGTGTTGAGTTAAGTAGCGGCCAACACAAATCGCTGATGTGCTAGGACTCCTGGAAAGGTAACTCATCCTTTCGAAATTGGTACTTTTTAATGTTCGTTTTTTCAGGAAAGCATCGTTGCCATGTGTATTTTCGGTTCCCCCTACTCCAAGGTTGCAAAGAACAAGGACATCCTGAACACATGCTACACTCCTTGACGAGCCAGAACATTTCCAGTTCCCATGGTATACTATTGTTTGTTAGCAGATAGCAGCGAAAATAGTTGAAGAGTTCAAAGTTTACGAGAGACAAATTCGCTCACGTCACTGTGTAATGGGGACTGACTGGTGGAAACAAGTCTTCAAGAAGAGTTATGTTTATATTATAGTTTATATTTAGTTATATATATATAAATATAATTATAAATATATAAATACAAAATAATAATTATATTTTTATAAAATCCTTAAACTTGACACTTAAAAATATTCTTTGTATGGAAAAGAATATTATGTACCGATTAGAATTCCCCATACGCTCGGCAAACTGCGCTCAAGGAGGAAGATAGCAACATAGCTTGACCGCCACTCTTCGTGACAACATTCCTCAGTGGAATGTAACAAAACATAGAGTTGACTATTTTCATAGAATTAATGTTTTTTGCAAACATTTTGTTAATTGTATGTTAAATAATACATATACATTACTCTGCTTTTGCTTCAATTGATTCATTCCCAGTTGCAAGAGTTTCAATGAGGCTATCTCTTTATCCCGCTGCTGCATTTACATTTGCGTTGGATCTCCTCGCGTTCGGCCTTTCAGTCGGTTCTTCGTCCACAAGTTATCATGTAAGCCGCCTTCACTTCGCCCTTGAATTCACGTTTTCTGGCTGTAGGAAACCATTCAAGACGAGATTTCATCTGATCACACCAGAATCTGATGCACTCCCAAGAGAGGAGGGGTAGCAAGCGGCTTAGCTATCGGAGCTGCTGTGTGTTTGCTTCTCGGCCAAATCACCGCCACAGCCGCCACAAAATGCACTTGCTGGTCTTCGTCGCTTCATCGACGCGGATGCAAGATTGCTGCAATTATCCTCCTCACTCTTTCCTGGTATTTTCAGCAAAAAAAAATAAAAATCATTTATTTAAAAGATCAACTTTTGTGGTAACGGCCGGTGATCGCTGAGCTCTTCTTGAACACGGCGGCCAGCCTCAGTAGTTATCAAGTGGAAAGGTTTGAAGAATCTGGTTGCAGCACTGTTCTGCAAGGCATGAGTGTTGTGGGTGCTGCTTTTACACTCGTCACTTTGCTGCTCAGCATTGCCTACTTGTCCGTCTACATGAGCGGCATGAAGAAACCGAAGAAGAAAACGAGCACCGACGAAACAAGCCGGATTGTTGATATGGAAGTCGCAAAACCAGTTTAGATAGAAGCTGTAGGCTAGCGCTGTACAAGATCGATGATTCAGTTGACAGAGATGTGCGTTTCTAGCACCACCATCAGCCCAGCTCTGTACGTCTCGCTGCTGAAATCCTGCGCTCTTACCAGAGACTTAGCCAGAGGGAAACAACTTCACAGAGAGATCCATGCGTCCAACACAGTCCTCTGCAATCTGCTCGTTCAGATGTACGGGAAATGCGGGAGTTTGCCTGATGCTCGCGACGTGTTTGATAGTGTTAAATAGCGTTCACTTGGAACATCATGATCCGTGCATATACAGAGAATGGTCAGTTGCTGCAAGCGAGGATTTTGTTCGGTAAGATGCCGATCAAGAATGTGGTTTCCTGGACGATAATGCTAGAAGCCTACGGAAGAACTGGTGGTCTTGAAGAGGCTGAGGATCTGTTTGATTCGATGCCTGGTCGTGATATAGTCGCCTGGAACGTGATGATGGAAGTGTTTGCGCAGAATGGTCGTCTGCTGCATGCTAGAAGCTTGTTCGAGAGCATGGGTAATAAAGATGTGGCTTCCTGGACGACGATGATCACTGCCTACTGGCAGATGGGTGATTTAGACTCATCATAAGATTTCTTCGATCTGATGCCGTATCGAAGCGTCGTTTCCTGGAGCGCGATGCTCACGGCGTACGCTCGCAACGGCAAAGTCGAGGATTCGAGGAAGGTTTTTGAAGGAATGCCTGAGAGGAATGTTCTGGTCTGGACAGCCATGCTGGCTGCGTATTGTCAGTACGGACATTAAGACGAAGCGAAGAAGGTTTTCGAGTTGATGCCCGAGAAAGACGTCGTCTCTTGGAATGTGATGATATCTGGTTACGCTCACACGAAGCGTTTTCGCGAGGCCGAGACATTGTTCGAAGAGATGCCGAGGAGAGATCTGGTTTCGTGGTCGCTGATGATCTCCGCGTATGCTCAAAATGGCGACACCGCTCGAGCAAAGGTTTTGTTTGACGGAATGCCTCAGCAAAGGAACACGATCGTAGCTGCGTACGCTTCGGAGGGCGATTTGGGACTTGCGAGGATGGTGTTTGATGCGATGCCGGAGAAGAATGTCGTATCGTGGACGACGATCGTTAGAGCGTATGCGCAAAACGGTCATTTACGTGAGGCAAGGGTGTTGTTTGAAAAGATGCCTGAGAGGGATGTCGTGACCTGGAACTCAATGGTCACAGCCTATGCTCAGAACGGACTGGTTGATCAAGCTGTGGATGTCTTGAATCAGATGCCTTGCAGAGATGTGGTTTCCTGGAACGTTACGATTGCGGCATATTCGCACAACGGGCATAATCAGCAGGCCATCGCGTTGTTTCGAAAGATGGATCTTGAAGGCTTGCAACCCAACGAGATCACCTTCGTTACGATCTTCGACGCCTGTGCAACGGTCTCGTTGCTCAGAGTCGACTGTTGCACAGAGTCGGGAAGCTGATCCACCCCGAAGCCGTCCCCGCCGGATTCAGCGCGTTGGAGCCGGTTTCGACGTCGATCCTGACAATGTATGGGAAGTGCGGGAGTTTGGAGGAGGCTCGTCGGATCTTCGATGCGATGCCTGAAAGACGCACGGTGTCTTAGAGTGCGATGATATCGGCATATGCACAGAGTGGTCATGGCCTGCTAGCTCTGGATCTCTTCAAGGAGATGGGTTTGGATGCAGTTGAACCGGATGGAATCACCTTCATCGCGGTGCTTTCGTCTTGTTGTCACTGTGGGGAGCTGAAAGACGGGTGGACGTATGTTGTGAGCTTGAGAAACGACTATGGTGTTGATCCCATGGCTGAGCATTACATCTGCATCGCCGATCATCTGGGAAGAGCAGGAAGGCTGGCTGAAGCTCAGGATTTGATTCACAACTTGCCCTTCCATCCTAGTCCCGTTGCTTGGACTCACTCATGGGAATAACCAAACGAAAGATTGCTCAACAAGTGCAGAAGTTGGATGAAACGAACTCGTCTTGTTACGTGCTGCTCTCAAACACATACGAATCTTGATTTGAAATAGGGTTTGAACATTTCAGTGAGAACTATAGTGGGAAATTTTCAAACTTATTTCCCGGACGACATGAGTTAAGTCCTCTCAGATTTTCAGGCAAATGACATTAAAACTAGGATTACAAAATCTTAAATATACTACTTTGGAATCTTATTGACTTTCCACAATAAAATATTTAAAATTTTGTAATCTTTACGTAGCTAACATGCTTAAAGTCCTACAACATCAGGTTTTGGAGACCTGCGTTCTACCGGACTGAACTAAGAGCGCTTTTTAGTTTGCTCGGTGCGGCAGGAGGATGAGGAGGGAGAGAGTTTCAGGTAAGGATAATTCGCAAATGAATTCCTTCCTGCGCCTCCTATTATTGTTAACAAGTTTTGCTATCATTCATTCATTCGTTCAATCCATTCATTCAATCCTATCATTCATTCATTCATTCACACAAACACTAGAGAGTAATAGCTATATGCTAATGGTTATGTTAGCGTTTTCTTCATTCATCCATCAATCACAAAGATTTGAGTTTGTTTGTTGTTAAAATTTAAGTTTATAATCTTACATATACTGCAGTCATGACTTCCGCAATTCATGCTGCAATCAAGCAGGACCTCCAGGCACTTCATGGCACACTGAAAGAGGACATACCCACAACCAAATTATGGTGTTCCACATCCCTCTATCATGTAAGCATTTGTTAAATTTTGATTTTGTGCGGATTTTAAAATACTTGATCAAGGCGCAAGGTGGGTAAGTGGGGTAAGAGATCCAACGAGCTTGCCTTGAATTATGTTTGAATTGAAACTGATCGCAGGGACATCAACACTAGCTTGACGACGATGGAAGGGTGAGAACTCCGAGCGTTCTGCGAGATCACCTAACTGGAGTACATTCTCGGAGTGTTGGGCCGGCTCACTCTCGAGTTTATGGACGTGTACAGGATTCGCGGCAACAGCTTCAGCATTGACTTGCCGGCTGACAGACTTCGCAGTGACTACGAGCATTCACGAGCACACCTTTTGTCCCGAGTTGGGAGGATCTTTTTATACCTGGAAAGCTTTGAGTCGGTTTAAGTATGAAAGCTTGTAATTCTTTCTAGAGCTCCCATGATACTCCCCTTGGAGCCAAACAAATAAAGGAATTAAAGGACCTCTTTGGAAAAATGGCGATTATACGTAACACCAAGAAAAACAGTGATCGGATCGGAGCTCTTGCTCTCGAAGCTGAGCCAGAGGTTCTCGTTTTCAAGTCGAGGGTTGACCACTGCTGGGTTTTAGTTTTTGCTCCACGCACGCAACGCTTTCTCCACTTTGCAGGGCTTGGAGAGGCCAAATAAAGGAATAGAGAAGAAAGAAACTCACTGTGAATCCAAGGTATCACAGCTGTTCCTCCTTCGTGTTTTATGTGGCTGCTTTCCTGTGGAGCTCCAACAGGGCTTGGAGATCTGCCAAGGATCGAGTGAGGAGATGGAGTGCCATCCTTCTCCTCTTCCTCCCCCTCCTTCTCTTGTCGTCGAGGCCACGTGAGCTCCCCTTCGATCCGGAAGCCGACGGCGATCACCCCTGGCACCAGCAATCCCCCGCCAGGAACAAGAGGACGAAATCCTGTCCTGGTCCTGGATCGATCCGCTGCTCCTACTCTGGCCACAAAACCTCGCGGAGTCACCACGCCGGCGCCAAGATCCACAGCTCCTCGCGAAATCACCAGGACAAGATCAAGATTCCCGAGAATGCGCCCGCGGAGGAAGATATCCAGCGCCTCCGGCCCACTGCCGTTGGGAAGAATCCACGCCCGTGGCACAAGAGCAGCATCGATTCCTGCCGCCAATCCAGCTCCGGAGACGCCGTCGCGCCGCGCCACCGCGCGAGGAAAGGTAAGACGGTGGAAGCCATGGAAATGGAGGAGCAAGCCGCCACGGCCAGAGCCAGTGCTGGAGCCGGCAGTGCCGACAACAAAGAAGAGCTCTTCTCCAGGGCGAGGCCTCCACAGGAGGTACAGATTGACGGCGACGAGGATGTCATGCGCGATGATCTTGCAGAGGTGCCCAAGCCGAAATCAGGGCAGCCAGGCAGCCTCGCCGCCGCCTCCAAATCGAGTGGAACCATCGGGGACCGCTTCTCCCGACGTGGATTGGCCTCGCGCTTCTCTTCTGTCGCTGTTCTCCGAGCTTTTCTGCCAGAAGATCGATCACGTCGCTTGGAAGGGGAGCGGGAGGCTTTAAAGGTCCAAGCTATACGAGCTTGTACCAAGGCAGCGCAGAAAATCCTGGCAGGACCTCTCTCGCAGATCTTGCTCCCGGATTGCAGCAAATTTCGGAGAAGGGCTGCCCGAGGTTAGGGTGAGCAAATTTTCCCTCCATGTAAAATCTAGGGTTCGTCGTCTCCGCAGCTTCCATGGATGTTGTGATTGTGGCGGTCGCGGGTGCTTGTGTTGTCATTGCGGCAACTTGCGTTGCAACCATGCTCATCATCAACCTCCTCCCCAAGAGCGTCATTACCATGGCTTCTTCAACCAGGGGAGCAGCGAAGGAGGATCTACAGGCTCTCCGTGGAGCTCTCAAGGAGGATCTGCAGGCTCTCCGTGGAGTTCTCAAGGCGGACCTTCCCAGCCTCAGGCAGGTGATACAGGATTTTGGTGCCTTGAGGGAGGAACTGAGGATGCTGCGAAATGCTCTGCGAGCTGAGGCAGCCCAGGGCCAAGCTAATCCGGTAAGCATTTGTGAAGTTCTGGCTTGTGCGAATCTTGAAATTATTTGCTTGATCATCCAGTGGTGTGCAAACCGCACAGAAGTGGCGCTGCTGCTGCTGACCATGTTCAGTGATCAGTAGTTGATTCATAGGAAGTTCGACAAAACTATTTTGTTTTTCGACAGGGAAAAAGCTTCTGATTCGGATCTTCGTTTCCTCGAAATAAAATGACTCATGTCTTGAGCTTCTGATAGTAAGTCTTTTCCGGGCAAGAACATAGACATGGACGTGGCTTGGCAGTGTCTAATAGTACTTCCTTGTAGGTGGATCAGTGTAACTGTTTATTCAGCAGACCCGGATTTCACTGGGTACACTTCAATTGCTTTGTATGATAACGGAACACGATTCAATCAAAGCTTTCAAGTTTTCTGTCTTCAAGTAGACTCGGGTTCATGCAGCTTAGCTGACGGCTCGTGCAGACTCACTGGACCTGAAACATAGAGAGCTGAACGAGGAGATCGAGGTGATCTCCATTTCTTTATCATGCATTTCCTGAGTCGCGGCCCTTGCGAGAGAGCCACTGGCCAGCCCTGGAACGAGTTCCTACAGCACAAGTTCTTGCCCCGGAGGTACCTTGAATTTTTCTCCAGGAATGGGACGCCCACCGCTGATGAAAATGACGATGTTTGTCGTTCCCACTCAGCGAGGCGCAAGTTGCCGAGGTACTGTGTGTCGCGAAGCTCTTTATTGGTTTTCCATGTTGACAAGAAGATGATTTGCAGGTGTAAGAACGTTGGCAACAAGCTCTTGCAGCAACTGCGTGTTCGCGTGATGCGAAAGTGTCCAAGCAATTAACCGCCGCGTTCGAACTACTTACAGACAAATCGGCTACCTCCCACAAAAAAGCCAGGTTTTTAAGCACAGTAATCGAAACCAGCCAGCCAGCCAAGTTCTTGCATAGTCCAAACCTCCGCAGCTACAAAGGCGAAGCCTATTTTCTATTGCGATGCATTGCAAATCCACCACCAAGTTCGAGAGCATGTGGTCAGCTTGCCAATGCATTTGTTCTATTCGCTTCGTAGAGATACTTGTAGCATTTCTTTGCTCGCTGCCAGTAGTTTGCTCGGATCAGCAACCGCAATATTCGAAAAGACAAGGCTTACATTCCAAAAGCGAGAATGCTCCTGATCCCGAAAGAGTAGGAACCTCCACTTTAGTTGCATCAGCTTCTGACGATTCCTCCTGTTTTTTGTTTTGATTCGTTTTGCTTCTGCCTTTAGTGGATTACCAGATGGTGTTCCGGTTGCAACACTTCGTGACCACGTAACGGCCATCAAGTTTAGTCCCCGACCTGAAGACGGAACCTCTGTCAATTCACGTGTCTACATGCCGAAGCCGGATGGCGAGCCCGAATGTAAAGAGTCTGCCGATGTTTTTCTGGTCTTCTAAAAGCTTGTTTCCAGCTGCAGGAGCTGAGAATGGAGCACAGGCTACGAATCAGATTCAGTTCTGTGCGTTTAATGCAGATGGATCATATTTCGTCACTGGGAATTCGGACAAGCTTGCCAGGGTAAGCATTAAAAGTGGACTGTTTATATTTCTAGCAATTGTTTGAACAGGTTTGGGACGCAAGAAGTTAACTACATGCAGTTCAGGTTCGCGTCTTTGTTGACATCAATCGTCCTTTGTTCCAGTGGTTGTGCAGAGCCAATCAAAGTTTCTTCCGTCGACTTTTTCAAGGATGACAAGGTAAAGACATCTTATGGGGCTCTCATGGAATAACACGGATGTGCAGATTGCCGAGACTTACGTGCCAGATGTACATCCATGCAATCCTCATATTGCAATGAGTCCGGGCTACGATGGCAGAGGTACTGTCTGGGATGTAAGTGTGTTCGCTCAAAAGAATGATGACGAATATCACTTGATTGTTTTAGATTTGGCAGGGCCATCCAGTAAGAACATATGAGACTGGAGATTATAATCTTGTCGATGACAATTTTCACCGTATGCTTGCTCTCATATCCATTTATCCTGGATTTCACGTTTGCTAATTTTCAGGGATGGAACCTCGTTGGTAGTCAAGACGACGAAGGTGCGTAATACGATCAGGTATCAGGAAGATTTTGCTTTTTATCTTTCATCCAATAGCTTGTTGTTTTTGCATTTATTATTTATTATTTTTGTTTTTTCTAGTTTTTTCTTGGATGGAAACGTTCTCGATCAGTCAAATAAAATGATGTAAGTGCTTTTATTTAGTTTTAGTCCTGAGTGTTGTTCCTGTCCGGTATTATTCTTGTGCGAACTGAATGTCTTTCTTTAACAGGAAACTCGGTTGCCTCCTCATCAAAGGAATCTTCAAGATCTCTTGTGCGATGCAAGTAAGCTGGTGACTTCTTACCTCGGCCAACTTATTTTTCTGTTTCATTTTCAGGCTTGATTCCCTATCCAGAACCTTATCAAAGCTCGTACCAGCAACGTCGTCTGGGACTCCTAGGTTGCTACTGGCAACCACCATCAGTTCAGCTCGCAGTGGGAACGTTTGATGATCCAGCTTTCATTCCTCAGGATAAGCCTCAGTTTCTTCTCTGCAAGCGATTGAGCAAACAAACAAGCAAGGCAACAGATGGGTAGAACAACCGGCGGAGAGCTTTCTTCGCTCGCGCAGTAGTCAGAACCAGACTCGTCACTCAAGCCGGTGACTTCTTTATCCCAGTTTCTTGAGTGACGAGGATGGAAATGAAGAAAGTGGTACGATCTGTGAATCAGAAACAACCGACAAAGAAAATGACGAATTAGATTCTGAAGTGGTTCGTACCCAAAGAAGGAGAGAGGTATGTACGTGAAGTTTTTGTGTTTCTGATAATCCATTACAGATACTTGCGACCTTGGTCAGGAAGCAAAAGCGCTGGCGCTTGGAGGAGTCATACAATGCACTTTTGATGCCGATGAGGAAACTAAAGGAGAGAGGAAACACAGATATTGAGGTCTGATAAGAAAGTCAAACACGGACCATGCATTGAGGCCTATGAGGATGGCAGCTTGGAATGCCTTGACCATGTTTTCGAGCTTACATGAGTACGAAGACGACGGAGCACGCCGCCTGGCCGCTGAGGATGCCAAAAGACCTGGTACATCTGGAGAGAACGAGAACCAGAGGCTTCTACGCAACGGGAAAGTTCTTACAGAAACTCAGGAACGTGAAGACGATGAACCTCTGAAGAAGAGTCCCGCAGAGACTTCGGACGTGGGTAAATGCAGGCGGCCAAGGTCTCAGCGAAAGTTAGTACTCAAGTTGAGAAACTGTGCACAAACGTCCAACAACGAGGATACTTTTCAGAGCCTCGAAATACCAGAACAAGGCACTTCTAAAGTCCCCGTGGCCGAGGCTATTGCTCATAAGAGTGTGATTCTGCTCTCGTCTCTGCTGTTCGTCAAGGTAGTCAGCTGAAAGAGACCTCTCCGACTCGGACTCGCTAATGATCGCCCTTGCCACCACCTTTGTGTCTCCATTTTCTACACGAGTCGCTTCAAGACCTTCCTTGGTATCACAAGGAACGTCTACCAGTTTATCCTCTTCCGAGCTGCTGCTGCTGTGATAAGGCATGCGAGCACGCTTGGCTGCTTTCCCCTTCTTCCATATGTATCCCTGTTTGTCGTCAGACGAAACAGCTTCAGTGGGATTCTCGTCCGCGATAAAACCATCTGTTTCTGGATGACTGTCATTGAGTCCTTACAGAATGGAGAAGCTCCAGATGGTGACAATGACCCTGATTACCACGAAGAGGTTTCACCAGGCAGTAACAGTGAGTCGCTGGAGGATGCTTACAAGCCCGAGGAAGAGCAGGCAAGTGAGGACCTGGACGTGGACGATATACAAATGAAGCGCAATATGAACAAGGCCGTCTACTCAAGGAGAAGGCCTCGCAAAGTTGCGACTAAGACCGAGTGTTATGAGGCCGACGAGCACGCTTCAGGTGGCCGCAGGAGAAGTACACGGCTGGCGCAGGGTCGCGTGGTTAGTCTCTCCAACAGCAGGTCCACAAGAAGCAGGAGAAACGTCGGCCGTCCCTCACACTGGGAAGCTAGCTCGTCTTACGACGACTCGGACTGGGATAGAAGCAGCGACGACGATGGACGCCGAAAGCCCGAAAGAAGAACTTCGAGCAGACTTAAAGTGAAGCTGCAGAAGAACGTTGGGTCGAGGTACAAGGATTTCCACGTGAGGAGAAACCTGAGCACGGTGCATCGGAGTCCGAGCAACGTGTCCTGGTTACTCTTGACAGAGGTGGAGCGGACGCGCTACATCCCACAGTATGGTGATGAGGTGGTGTACTTCCGACAGGTAAGAGATCCAACGAGCTTGTCTTGAATTATGTTTGAATTGAAACTGTCGATCGCAGGGACATCAAGACTACTTAGACAACAAGCGGCTCGACGACGATGGTCCCTGGAGAAGCGTGAAAAGGGAACTGCAAGTGGTCGAGTTCTGCGAGATCACTGGACTGGAGTACATCATTCTCGAAGTGTCGGGGAACACTTGTTGCCGGCTGACTCTTGAGTTTATGGACGGGTACAGGATTCGCGGCAGCAGCTTCAGCGTCGACTTGCCGGAGCTGACAGACTTCGCCGACTTTATAGTGGAGAGAAGCCGCTACGAGGCCTCCATGGCCAGGAAGTGGTCCAGTCGGGACAAGTGCCAAGTGTGGTGGAGGTCGGACGAGGAAGAAGGTGGTCGCTGGTGGGAAGGGACGATAACTCAGGTGAAGGGAAAGTCGCCCGAGTTTCCAAACAGCCCCAGGGACAGCATCAGTGTGCTGTACAAGGACGAGCCATCGACGACGAACCACTGCCCCTGGGAGCTTCACGACGTTGAGAATCCTTTAACTTGGGAGTCGCCACAGATCGAGCAGGACAAGGTGCGTGAGCTGCTCGACATCGTGGACGAGGTGCTCCACTCGAACCAATCCAAGGTTTGTTTTTGTGCGATCGATCATAGACTCGAGGAATGTTTTGGTTTTGGTCTTGGCTTGACGAGCTTTTGCTTTTCACAGGACGAGTATGGCTTGTGGAGGTTGCAGCAGGCCGTGAGCAAGCCGGATTTTCTTGACAGGCAAGTTGGAAAAATCTCTTGCGATTGAGAAAGAAGCTAAAGGTTTTCAAACAATGCAGGATTGCGCTGCCAATCTCCATGGACGTGATTCGCGAGCGGCTGGAGAACAACTATTATCGTAGCGTAGCGTGATGGCGGTGTCACACGATCTTAGGATACTGATCGACAACTTCCGGACATATTTTGGGAAGCAGCATTCGTCGGTGCTCAAGGTGGAGCGGCTGAGAGAACGCTTCTCTGAGGCACTGCAAATGTGAGCTTTGTAAGAATTTTCTCGAGGTCTTAGTTAACGAAGAAAAGAAACATTTTCCTTACACATCCATCTACATTGTCAAACACGAGATCAGTCCGAGGATGGAAAACCATGAGGATGAAAGAAGTCGAGGAGATGGAGTGCCATCCTTCTCCTCTTCCTCCTCCTCTTCCTCCTCCTCTTGTCATCGAGCCCGTGTACTGATAGAAATCGCGAGAATCCACTGATCGTGGCACAAGGAACTCGAGTTCCCGCCAGACCACTGTACGAATGGCGGCCCACCAAGAAAGTGGCCAGTGGCCCATTGTATGTAAGATAAAGCGACCGTTAGCTTAGGGTTCTTGCGAAGATAGGGCAGGCGGCTCGAACTTCTGGTAAGAGTGTCATTTGCGTCTTTCATAGCTGTTGCAAACCTTATTTCGTTCTCGATTTTACTAAGGTTTTGCTGCAAACCCTACCAATGGAGTTTCTGATTGCGATGGTGCTTGTTAGCACCATTGTGATCAGTGTGCTGTGCATCGTGACCACAGCTTGTGTGCTGGTGCTGGCATCTGCCATGCGTGCAGGAATGGGAGCTGTGACTGAGAATCTCCAGGTGATGGCCTCTGGCATTCGTGCGGCAGTGAGGGAGGATTTGCCAATAATCCATAGTGCCATAAAGGAAGATGTTGCTGTGGTTCCTTCACTGTGTCATGAAGTGCCTGGAGGTCCTCCTTGATTGCAGCACGCATAACCGCAACATTCACTGCTCTAGCCATGGCAACCACATCCTCCTTCAATGCACCATGGATCGCTTGCAAATCCTCCCTCACTGCTGCACGAATGGATCCCATTCCTGCTCCAGGATTTTATAGCAGCCCACAACCAAGTCATGATCGACTGTTCCACATCCCTCTATCAGGTAAGCATTTGTTAAGTCGCAGAAACATCAGCAATCGAGATCACAACCCAGCCTCCAAAATACGTTGTGCGGCTTTTAAAATACTGGATCAGGGTTTGGATGGCTTGGTCAAGTCGTGTGCAAAGAGCACAGTGGTGGGTAAGTGGCGCTCCTGCTGGTTCAATGATCAGTAGTTGATTCATAGAAATGACAAAGCTGTTCTTTTTTTTTCTCAGGAATTTTTTTTCTGATTCGGATCTTCGTTCTTCGAAATAAAAAGGCTCATATGTTGTGAGCTTCTGATAGTAAGTCCTTTTCCGGGCAAGAACATAGACATGAACGTGGCCTGGCATTGTCTAATTGGTACTTCCTTGTAGGTGGATGAGTGTAACTATTTATTCAGGAGGTCCTTTGGAGCTGCGGATATTGCATATAGTCACTGGGTTCAAATGCTTTGTATGGTAACGGAACATTCAATCGAAGCTTTCAAGTTTTCTGTCTTCAAGTAGACTCGGGTGCAATCTTCATGCAGCTTAGCTAACCTCTCGTGCAGACTGACTAACGTAGGTGGCTTTACGGTCTGATGTTGGAGCTAATCATCACCTGCATGAACAAGACGAGGAGATCAAGTTGGGGAAGTTATCATGCACTTCCTGAGGAGAGGCCCTTATGAGAGAGCCACTGACCAGCTCTGGAACGAGCTCCTACAGCACAAGCTCTTGCCCCGGAGGTACCATCAGGAATGGAACGCCCCCCGCCGACGAGAATGACGATGGTTTGTCGTTCCCACTCAGCTACGCGCAAGTTGCCGAGAGGTATTGTGTGTCGCTAAGTTCTTTGTTTTTTTGGTTTGTCTTGCTGACAAAAGGATGGATATTTTTTTTTTCGAATTTCAGATATAAGAACGTTGACAACAACCACTTGGTTAAGCTCTTGCAGCAACTACTTGTTCACGACAAGTCCGCGTCCTTGCTTGATGCGAAAGTTCCCAAGCAATTGACTGCCGCTGACGTTCCTACGCTTTTGGGGTCAGGAGCATTCTCGCTTTTGGAATGTAAGCCGTGTACTTTTCGAATCTTGCCGTTGCTGATCCGAGCAAACTTCATACAGCGGAGCAAAGCAATGCTACTAGTATCTCTACCAAGAGAATAGAACAAATGCGATGGCCGCATTGGCAAGCTGACCAAGTTCATGCTCTCGCGTTCCGTGAACTTGGTGGTGGATTTGCAAAGCATCACAGACCGCCATCCACACGGACTGTGAAACATGTTATCATCAAGCCATCTGTACTGGTGAACAGAATAAGAATCATCCAGGTGCTAAGGGGTCATCGTAATGCGGTATATTGTGGTACGTGTTTCTTTTCTTTTTGATTTTCAAGACCTATTAACGAAGCGATAAACATGCAGCCGTTTTTTATCGTACTGGACGGTATCTTGTCACTGGCTCGGACGACCGGCTTGTGAAGATATGGTCCGTAGAAAATAGACTTTGCCTTCGTAGCTGTAGAGGACACGGGGTACTATTTTCTGCATCCGTTTCGAATATTGTGCTTAAAACCTGGCTTTTAGGGGGATATAACCGATTTGTCTGTAAGTAGTTCGAACACTCTAGTTGCATCAGCTTCTAACGATTCCTCCATCCGTGTTGTAAGTATTCCTTTGTTGTGTTTTTGTTTCTTCTTTTGATTTATTTCGCTTCTGCCTTTAGTGGGGATTACCAGATGGTGTTCCGGTTGCAATACTTCGTGGCCACACGGCGATCTGATTTAGTAAGACGGGCCAAACTTCCAGTCATTTGCATATGTAATGACAGATATCACAAGCGCATCCGCAATCTTGCGGATTACTGTGTCGAGCTCAAGTTCCAGAAACCCAAAACAAACGATACGTCTGGTAACGCTGTTTATTCTTCAGATCTTGAAATTGCTTTTCGGCGTTCAGGAGCAAGAAAACGTGCTTGTGGATAAGGTAGCTTGGTGCGATTCACGAGCTGCTGACAAAAGCTTTGGTTCAGGAATTTCTGAAATTGCTTGTAGACAGCGCTCAACGGAATGTTCGACAGAGTTTGCTTCAGATGCAGGTGTCGTACCTGGTGGTATTTCCAATCTGTGTTTCTTTCTGATCACTGAAGTCTGCAGTATCTGTGTGCTGGAAATCCCGTAAACAGGAAACTAGATGCGAAAGATAGTATGCCGAGTTCGTTCGCTGTCGTAGACAGGTAAGAATCCGAACACAGCATTACGACTACTACTACCACACGTTGTTCTTAAGCTTGTGCGCTGAATTAGGCACTCGGACGAACCAACCTCTTCAAGCTCGCATCAATCTCATACTTGAAGATTTCGAGTTTGTTGCACTCCTTGTTCAGGTAAGACAACAATTTCGACCTTTTTTTTGTCTATCTTGTTTCTGTCAGGAAAACTACATCAGCTACAAGCCTGCTAACTGAAAGGAAGCGTTTATCATGGATTCTATTTCAAAAGCTTCGGATTACCTTTACGTTGGAGACATGACCAGCAAAAGCATGCACAAGTATCGGACATGGGAGCTCACAAACTTACTTTGTGCAGTTCTGGCTCTGACCTGGTATGACATGCAACTTCTCAACTGATGTACTGGTATGTACTGGTATGTGATCTGCAGTTCATCTGTTCTGCAAGGGAGGAGGGAGCGTTCGATGCTGTAAGCTTTAATAACCTTGTTCGGATATTCTACGATATGTGTTTTGCAGATGGAAGATAAACTCAGATTTCCTGCATGGCTTACAAAGGGTCGTAAGAGGAAGAAAAGAGAGGGACGTTTGCACTGCAGGTCTGGCCGAATCGTGAGATATTTCTGTTTCTGCCTTTAGTCTGTTTTCAGCTTCAGAAGGTTTTGGCTTTGCAGATTCATTCCAGAACTCGATATCCTACCACCGTTGCTCAAGCGCCAAGCTCAGAGTGTAGGAACTGTACATTTGCTGGTGATCTGCTACTGACCTTTCTGGTACCAGATTCCAGATTTCCGAGGTCCCGCGGCTGAAGATCACGCATTTAAACAGACTACGGATGAGCTTTTCGCTCTGCTCAAGGAATGTCGGCACTGAGTGAGGTTGGAGTGTCAATTCGGGCAATGGTTTTCAACATGACTCGTTGATGCTTTGAATGCACAGAGGTATGAATGATTTTTGTCCTGAAACGGTTGAGCCGTCTTGATGTTAACAGTGTGTCTCATAGCTGAAACAGATTCGCTGTGCTGCCTCCTTCGAATTCAACAACGCAGTGTGTCAAAGACGTTCATGGCACTCGTAGTCGCAAATCGTTGCGCTGCTTGTGAGGGAGCTGAGCTCGTTGGAGTGTCAAAGACGTTCACGGCAAACCTTCGAATTCATTTCTGCTTGCAGCAAGCTGAAATGAGTTCGCAAAATGTTCGGCTGCTTGTGAGGGAGATTTCCGACTCGAGGTACTTTCCTTTCCCACTTTTTCTTGTTTCTTGATCATACACTTCTCTCTCGTGCATGCAGCCTGCCTGATTCTCATGCGAAATCATTCCCCTCTGATTCCGTGAAGTTTTTGTCTGCTCGTCTGAGTGAGACTTGACAAGTGCTGATCGTATCATCTAAAACGATGGTTTCTTTTTTTCTTTGTTTTCGTCTGTATCTACGTGCTCTTTTGTGCTGCTCATGACTTTGCTTCTCGTTTCGTGGGAGCCACGGAATCTTTGATTTTAATTGCCTGAAGCTTAACAGCTGCAGTATAGAGCACTAAGCTCCCCCATTTACTCCTGCCTCCGCCCGAGTCGTCTTCGCCTCCCTCAGCAATTGCATTTGGTCCTGTTTGATGTGGTGGGTCGTTTTGATGATCGTTTTGTTTTCTTTTTTTGCTTTGTTTTTTTTGGTGCTTAGGCCAAGCGGACAGACTTGAAAACATTTTCTTTTTCATCAGCAACAGGAGCTCTTCTCTAGCTCGTCGTCGCTAGTGTTTGGTGGTTTTGTCTAGGGCTCTATTCCAGCAGCATCGAAGCGCTTCACGGCACGTAGGTGATTGAGTTGATCTTCTCTTCTTCTTCTCCTTGATCTGATCCGATTCATTTCTCTGCCCCTCTCAGAGCGGAGTTTTTGGAATGCAATCCAGACCTTTGCGTTCCACCGCCAGGTGTGTTTTCTGAAGCAGCAGTTGCAAATAGGGCGATTAAACAACTGCTATTCAATGTTTGTAGTGTAGTCAACTTTGGAATTTCTCGTCGAATCATGTTTAATGCCTGGCGGGTTTCTCTTGCATCCTCGCCTGCCGAGCTGCGACTACTCCCTAGGTAGGTCCTGCAAAAACTGAGGAAGGAAATCGACACACAGATGGTTTTGTTCTTGTTTTTCTTTTCTTTATGCCGATTCTCAAGCTCAGCTGCTGACTACTGTGTGCGTTTTGTAGATATGGATTCTGCTTCTGCCGCTGCTGTTACCTCTGATAATGTTACCTTTGATGCGTGATCGAGGAGCTTGTTTTTTTCCTCGATGGGAGATCACGACGGCTTGTTGACTGATCTTCTGGACGATATGTTCGGGTTGACATCCAGCCGCGTCTGTCACACTTCTTGCAAGCTTCGAGACGTCTGCAGCTCTGATAAGCTCTGGTTCCCGCAGTGCCAAAGGCTGGTTAGAGAAGAAGAAGCGGAGGACTACATCGACTTGAGCACTTAGAGGCATGGGATGCAGTCGCAGAAGGCGCTGTTCAGATTCATCAACGGGTGAGGAATCTGGTGGGTATTTGGGTGCATCAGAATCCGGAGCTGGGGAACTTAATCTATGTTACTTGGGGATTTCTTTCGGTGGTGGGCTGCCGAATCATACCACCCCTCGAGGAATGGATTGCGGGTTGCTCTGGGGTCCGGTGTTTGAGATCATCGGCCTTCCTGACGGATCTCTAGCGTTTTTCCTCCACGGAAGGGACAGGGACGACTACTGCTATCCCGGGAGATTTGAAGCCGCCAGGAGCAGCGTTCTCTTACTGGAAGCGGAATCGTTCATCACCGAGCAGAAGCAGCGTTTGCCAATCAGTCCAGACAGCACATCGTGGGGTTTGATGGCGGAGAACAGCGATGGCGACGAGCGCAGCTCGAGAAGATCAGAAAGCAGGTCTGGTACTGTTTCGGTAGGCTCAGCTTTGGTGACAGAAGACGACTGCTGGAAGCGCTGGTCACGCAAGTCCGGATCAAAATGCCCGCCTTCGTCTTCTTCAAGCATTCTTTCAAGAAGGAACTCAAGGCTGTGACGGAAAGGCATGCGCTGTTGCTGTGGATGCACATTCACGGGGATCCTTGCAGGATGGAAAGCAAAAGTTGAAATCGTTTGCAAAAGTTTCTCTTTGTTAGGGACTAATATGATATTCACATTTCTAAGTTTCTATTCGTCCGGTTTGTCAAACGCACCATCACAAAACATTTTCATAGCCACATGGTGGGTAGGCGACCTTGCCATGACGAAATCACAGTTCATGGCAGGCCCCATGTCAAAGTCTCGAAGATCATCATAAACCAGTCCCGGCAGCATGTAATGAACATGTATCACATTGAAGGAGAGCATTGCTTTGATCTGCTGCTGGCACTCCGAGATGTCCGACTTAAAGATACGGCGGCAAATCTTCGACAGCCCAACTGCACCATGCGCCACAATGAGCTTCATCACCTCCCTGAACTTAGCCTCTTCCCAGCCGTGACCATGCTCCAGTCCCAGGAGAATCATGGGCAGCTGTGCCACCACCATATCTTCAAGAACCACCTCCATGCTGCTTCCCTGCTCGAACACATTGATCACACAGTTCTCAAGTGTTAAAGGGTAACTGCCACAGATCTCATACACCTTCTGCTCCGACTATGAGTCAGGAGCTGTGGCACCTACTGCTATGCACTTGGCAACGAGGCTTGACAGGAATGCCTTGGCGTTCTTTTCACTAACGTGCCCCACAACAACTGGCTTTCACTGCTCAACGTCTATGTAACTTTGAAACCACTGCCAAAAAAATGTCATCAGAAGTGGACATAACCACAACAGTCTGGTCCTGCTTAGTCATGGCTATGAAACATCCCAGGACCTGGTCGGACCAGGATATAGGCACCTTCCTAAGATGTTTCATAGCCCTCCTGGGATGTTTCATAGCCATGACCAAACAAAACCGGGCTGTTGTGGTGATTATGTACACCTTCGACAACCTTTTCCGGCAGTGGTTCTAAAGTCACATAGACATTAAGCAATGGAAGCCAGTTGCAGGGCACTTTGAGCTGCCACATCTATGAGCCAAAAAGCCGAAGTTCGCATCTGTCTTGCAATCTGTGCCTGCTATGGGGAACTGAAGTCCGCAGCCCTCATGTCCATGTAGAAGAGCGGCAACTGGGCTTTCAGCAAAGGGCTGGTATCCCACATCTTCCTGAGCTGCTTGAGCAGAGCGGACTTGCCTGAATCGTTGGGGCCCAGCACTACAGCGATGCGGTTGTCTCCCTCAATATGTGTGAGCAGATCAGTCATCTCTTCGTGCCTATCAAAGAAACCCTCGTCGTCGTTGAGCGATTTCTTCAGCTCCCTCACCGCTTCAGCCGCCATAGCCGCCAAACCCTAAAATGTGTTAAACCTAAAGTCGCCCGTTACACTCGGACAATTTTCTTAAAAATTGTTTAAAGAATCGCGTTTTTTTGTTTATTTGAGTTTTTAAAGACGAGCAAGAAAGAGTCTGAGCTCCACGAGATTGGGACAAGGAATCCAAACCCGTCCTCGGTCGCTCTGCGGCAAAAGGGCCTGACAAAGAACGAACGCTTTCACGCTTGCGATGGACAGGTTGCGCAGCGAGCTTCCAGCGGCCGTGACGAAGTCCGCCACTACCTCGTCACTGAGAAGAAAACAAAGCTTGTGTAAGTAGCAGATGAGAAGAAAGGCAGTAAAGATTCACCTGAGGTCCTAGTGCTGTAACGTGACGTCTGTAAGCTCCAAGCCTTCGAAGTGCAAAGCTTTTCAGAGTAGAACCGCAAGCTGCAACAGCCGCCACCGTAACGCTGCACAAAAAAAGTCCAGCGGATCTCAGTAAGAAGCCAAAGCACCACAGACGGTTGGTTACCTGCAATTCGAGATACTGAGCTCCTCTAGTTTCGGCCCCATGGCCACCATGAGCTCGCTCGGTAATTCGTCGGTTCACGCTCGCGAGAGAAAGGGACGTCAGCTCGGGCAGCCCTGCTCCGAAATTTGCTGCAATCCGGGAGCAAGATCTGCGAGAGAGGTCCTGCCAGGATTTTCTGTGCTGCCTTGGTACAAGCTCGTATAGCTTGGACCTTTAAAGCCTCCCGCTCCCCTTCCAAGCGACGTGATCCATCTTCTGGCGGAGAACAGCGACAGAGGAGAAGCGCGAGGCCAATCCACGTCGGGAGAAGCGGTCCCCGATGGTTCCACTCGATTTGGAGGCGGCGGCGAGGCTGCCTGGCTGGGGACCCCCTGGCTGCGCTGACTTGTGTCATCCACGGGCTTGGGCACCTCTGCAAGATCATCGCGCATGACATCCTCGTCGCCGTCAATCTGTGTCTCCTGTGGAGGCCTCGCCCTGGAGAAGAGCTCTTCTTTGTTGTCGGCACTGCCGGCTCCAGCACTGGCTCTGGCCGCGGCGGCTTGCTCCTCGATTTCCATGGCTCCGATTCGGCTTCCACCGTCTTACCTTTCCTCGCGCGGTGGCGCGGCGCGACGGCGTCTCCGGAGCTCCAACAGAGATGGCAGCCAGGGAGCCGGATTGGCGGCAGGAATCGATGCTGCTCTTGTGCCACGGGCGTGGATTCTTCCCAGCGGCAGTGGGCCGGAGGCGCTGGATATCTTCCTCCGCGGGCGCATTCTCGGGAATCTTGATCTTGTCGTGGTGATTTCGCGAGGAGCTGTGGATCTTGGCGCCGGCGTAGTGGCTCCGCGAGGTTTTGTGGCTAGAGTAGGAGCAGCGGATCGATCCAGGACCAGGACAGGATTTCGTCCTCTTGTTCTTGGCGGGGGATTTCTGGTGCTAGGGTGATCGCCGTCGGCTTCCAGATCGAAGAGGAGCTCACGCGCATAAAACACGAAGGAGGAACAGCTGTGATATCTTGGATTCACAGTGAGTTTCTTTCTTCTCTATTCCTTTATTTGGCCTGTCCAAGCCCTGCAAAGTGGAGAAAGCGGAGCAAAAACTAAAACCCAGCAGTGGTCAACCCTCGACTTGAAAACGAGAACCTCTGGAGAGCAAGAGCTCCGATCCGCTGCACCCGTGATTTTTTCTTGGTGTTACGTAGAATCGCCACTTTTCCAAAGAGGTACCTTTAATTCCTTTATTTGTTTGGCTCCGAGGGAGTATCATGGGAGCTCTAGAAAGAATGGTATAAAAAGATCCTCCCAACTCGGGACAAAAGGTGTGCTCGTGAATGATCTCGTAGTCACTATATAGTCTGCGAAGTCTGTCAGCTCCAGCAAGTCAATGCTGAAGCTGCTGCCGCGAATCCTGTACACGTCCATAAACTCGAGAGTGAGCCGGCCCGACACTTCGAGAATGTACTCCAGTTCGGTGATCTCGCAGAACGCTCGGAGTTCTCACCCTTCCATCGTCGTCAAGCTGATTGCTGTCCAAGTAGTTTTGATGTCCCTGCGATCAGTTTCAATTCAAACGTAATTCAAGGCAAGCTCGTTGGATCTATCCGCACAAAATCAAAATTTAACAAATGCTTACATGATAGAGGGATGTCCATAATTTGGTTGTGGGTATGTCCTCTTTCAGTGTGCCATGAAGTGCCTGGAGGTCCTGTTGATTGCAGCATGAATTGTGGAAGTCATGACTGCAGTATATGTAAGATTATAAATTTAAATTTTAACAACAAACAAAACTCAAATCTTTGTGATTGATGGATGAATGACACCTGAAGAAAACGCTAACATAACCATTAGCATATAGCTATTACGCTCTAGTGTTTATGTGATGAATGAATGAATGAATGATCAATCCAACTTTGCTGCAGCTCATGATGTGAGGCACAAAGAAAGGAGAAGAAAGAGTTCAGAAACTAAGCTCCGATACCAAGAAAGAAAAGCGGAGCAAGAACAACGAATTTCACTTCAACACACGCCTTGATTCATATATGGCTGTATATATATACAACTTCAATCAAATCGGAAATCACCAGAGATCTGATCACGATTCGGACTGCTTGTCGTGTTCATCATTATTCCTACAACGAGACCGTTGCATAGGCGTTGGAGACCGTAATGAAGGTGATCTCGTTGGGTTGCAAGCCTTCAAGATCCATCTTTCGAAACAACGCGATGGCCTGCTGATTATGCCCGTTGTGCGAATATGCCGCAATCGTAACGTTGCAGGAAACCACATCTCTGCAAGGCATCTGATTCAAGACATCCACAGCTTGATCAACCAGTCCGTTCTGAGCATAGGCTGTGACCATTGAGTTCCAGGTCACGACTCTCAGGCATCTTTTCAAACAACACCCTTGCCTCACGTAAATGACCGTTTTGCGCATACTCTCTAACGATCGTCGTCTTTCTTCTCCGGCATCGCATCAAACACCATCCTCGCAAGTCCCAAATCGCCCTCCGAAGCGTACGCAGCTACGATCGTGTTCCTGGCGATGAGATTCTGCTGAGGCATTCCGTCAAACAAAGCCTTTGCTCGAGCGGTGTCGCCATTTTGAGCATACGCGGAGATCATCAGCGACCACGAAACCAGATCTCTCCTCGGCATCTCTTCGAACAATGCCTCGGCCTCGCAAAAACGCTTCGTGTGAGCGTAACCAGATATCATCACATTCCAACAGATCCTCAGCCTCTTCAAGACCACCAGTTCTTCTGTAGGCTTCCAGCATTGTCGTCCAGGAAACCACATTCTTGATAGGCATGTTGCCGAACAAAATCCTCGCTTGCAGCAACTGACCATTCTCTGTATATGCACGGATCATGATGTTCCAAGTGAACGCATTAGGCTGGTTAACACTATCAAACACGTCGCGAGCATCAGGCAAACTCCCGCATTTCCCGTACATCTGAACGAGCAGATTGCAGAGGACTGTGTTGTTTGTTTGCCAGGACGCATGGATCTCTCTGTGAAGTTGTTTCCCTCTGGCTAAGTCTCTGGTAAGAGCGCAGGATTTCAGCAGCGAGACGTACAGAGCTGGGCTGATGGTGGTGCTAGAAACGCACATCTCTGTCAACTGAATCATCGATCTTATACAGCGCTAGCCTACAGCTTCTATCTAAACTGGTTTTGCGACTTCCATATCAACAATCCGGCTTGTTTCGTCGGTGCTCGTCTTCTTCTTCTGTTTCTTCATGCCGCTCATGTAGACGGACAAGTAGGCAATGCTGAGCAGCAAAGTGACGAGTGTAAAAGCAGCACCGACAACACTCACGCCTTGCAGAACAGTGCTGCAACCAGATTCTTCAAACCTTTCCACTTGGTAACTGCTGAGGCTGGCCGCCGTGTTCAAGAAGAGCTCAGCGATCACGAAAGAGATCCTGCCATTACCACAAAAGTTGATCTTTTAAATAAATGAATTTTTCTTTCTTGCTGAAAATACCAGGAAAGAGTGAGGAGGATAATTGCAGCGATCTTGCATCCGCGTCGATGAAGCGACGAAGAACAGCAAGTGCATTTTGTGGCGGCTGTGGCGGTGATTTAGCCGAGAGGCAAACACACGGCAGCTCCGATAGCTAAGCCGCTTGCTACCCCTCCTCTCTTGGGGATGCATCTGATTCTGGTGTGATCAGATGAAATCTCGTCTTGAATGGTTTCCTACAGCCAGAAAACGTGAATTCAAGGGCGAAGTGAAGGCGGCTTACATGATACCTTGTGGACGAAGAACCAACTGAAAGGCCGAACGCGAGGAGATCCAACGCTAATGTAAATGCAGCAGCGGGATAAAGAGATAACCTCATTGGAACTCTTGCAACTGGGAATGAATCAATTGAAGCAGAAGCAGAGTAAAGGGAGACATTGTCGGTGAAGTTAAGCGAAGTGGGTTAATATTTAACATATAATTAACAAAATGTTTGCAAAAAACATATTCTATGAAAATAGTCAACTCTATGTTTTGTTACATTCCACTGAGGGGGAATTCTAATTGGTACATAATATTCTTTTCCATACAAAGAATATTCTGGTACACGGTTATTGTGTCAAGTTTAAGGATTTTATGAAAACATAATTATTATATATATATATATATATATATATATATATATATAACTAAATATAAACTACTAGCACTTGCCCAGCATGTGCTGTCCTATTAGCAAAATATTGTTTTGATTGTTATAATTTTGTTATATTAAAAATTAAAAGTAGAATAATATCAAAAAATAAATATTGTATTCTACTTTGAAAGAAGAATTGAGGGAATTATGCCCAGCAAATGTTAGGTGAACACAAAAGTCAATTCTTGTAAACTTGATATTATAAATATTTAGAACAAAATATATTCCCAGAGAAAAGTAAGAATAAATATTCATGGTGGGTGCCTCTAGCTGTACCGGAGTCTGCATCTCAAACTGAAGTCTGTTGAGAAACCAGTTCATAGCTAAAACATCCGAAACAGAAGCCTCATGGGTACTTTCCCCGCCTTTTGCCTTTAGGTGCTCTAGCCATAGGCTTAGAGCGAGGTTCCGTTACCATGTGATCCAGGCCATTACCCCAGAACTTCAGTGCGATCACAAACCGGCATGATGGCAACGCGAAATACTAATAAAAATATTAGATACAATTATTATTTGGAAATATGAATATATTTAGACCCAGAAAAAAAAAATTTCTATTATTAATAATATGTTATATGTAAGTTATATTTTTATTTGGGATAAGCTTATATTAAGAGAATAATTACTAAGAATAATTATTACTCATTTTTATTAGCAAGACATTACTTAATTATGTGGTTTACCTAAAATATAAAACATTAAGTTTTTAGGAACATTACTCAGATCCAGTCAAGAAAATAATTACTAAAAAAATCTTTTGTAAATATATATACTATAGAAACTGTAATTACATAGTATTATGTACTAATAAACTATATTTACTGTTAGAATAAAGATTTTAAAATATTACTACTTAATCAATTACTGTCTACATTATCTTAGTATTCCCACCACCCAAGAGCCCCAGGGTGGTGGGACTGGGAAATACCTTGTCTTGCGGCTCACTGCACAATCGTTAAATTCCCACCTTGTTCTCAAAAATGTCTTTGCATTTTATTTGAAAGTATTCACGAATCACAACAATTAATTGATCCAAAAGAAGTTTTACACAAAATCTCGAGACTTACCTGGCACTTGGTCTCTTCAGGTCGATTGTTACAAGCTTGCAAGCATGAAGGATCTGCAATGCATCGAGTGAGCTCCAATCTAGAGAAGAAAAAAAAAAAAAACATCAAGCAAGCTCCTTGTTCAGTCTCCCAAAGCTTTCCTTTGCATCAGGCACGTCTCTCTCTCCTCGAGTGCCTAGAGCCCCGTGATCCTCTCCATCAGCTGCCAGTTACTTGCTTCTCCAGGCTTGCCTTTCGCTTCCAAACTCTGCCATCCTCTTCTCGATGTGCTCCTGGCCGAGAGCTCCACCTCGTGCAGCAGATTCGACTCCTCTAACGAAAGGTGAAACCGTGTGATGGTGCTCAAGATCCGTCATAGCATATATGGAATGGAAAATGTACATATGTGTGACATGGTGAACCGGTGAAGACTCGTGTCTCTCCACGTAGACTAGCCACGTGGCACAGGGCCACTCTCAACACTCCCACTGGCACTGTGGCCATCACGAATGATGCTCATCAGTGGAGAAAGTCCCAGCCCTTCGCGATGGACTTGAAATCGATCTCGGGGTAGTGCTTTTGTGAAGATATCTGCAACCTGAGTGGTCGTGTCGCAGTAGATCAGCTCAATTGTGCCATCTTCCACTTTCTCACAAACAAAATGATGATGAATCCCAAAGTGTTTGGTGCGTGAATGAAAGCGAGGATTGGCCGCTAACGCAATGCAGCTTTGATTGTCACAGAAGAGGCGAGTGGGAGTCTTCACACTCACACCAAGGTTAGAAAGTAGTGAGCGTAACCACACACCTTCTTTGGTAGCTTGTGAGGCTGCCAAATATTCTGCTTCAGTACTAGAGGTTGCCACTGTACTTTGCTTCCTGCTGCACCACGAGACTGTCGCACTGCCCAGGGAAAACGAATAGCCAGAGGTGGACTTGCGTGTGTCACAGTCTCCCCCAAAATCAGCATCACAGTAGCCCGTGAAGCGCTTTTCCCTGGTAGCACAATCCAAGGTAAGTAGTACCTCGAAGGTACCTGAAGATGTGTTTCACCGCTGCCCAATGTTGAGATCCAGGATTAGCCAGGAATTGGCTAACTTTGCTCACGGCAAAAGAAATATCTGGGCGCGTACAAACAGCTGGATACATGAGACTGCCAACAGCTTGTCTGTAAGGGATGGAGTCCATGGCTCTCTTGTCGTCCTCTGTCTCAGGAGACATGGCTCGTGAAAGCTGGCAGCCTAGTTCCATTGGTGTTGCCACTGGATTAGAGCTCGTCATAGAAAACCTGGCCAGCATCTCTTCTATATACTTGGCTTGGTGAAGATAGATAGTGCGTTGAGAGCGATCACGCACAAGTTCCATGCCAAGAAAGTAGGAAGCTGAGCCAAGAGTTTTCATCTCAAATTGGCTGCAAAGATCTCACTTAACCTGGAGAAACATTAAGCGATGATTATGGATGACAAGAGTATCATCAACATAAAGAGCGATGATCACAAATGATTCACCCTCCACCCGAGTATAAAGATTCGGGCTGCCTCGCTACGGGAAAAGCCCAAAATCGTCAAAGCGTTTGTACCAAGATCTGGGTGCTTGTTTCAAGCCGTAGACAGCTTTCTTGAGAAGCCAGAGATGATCCTCTTTTCCAGCGGCTAGAAATCCTTCTGGCTGTGCCATATAGATTTCTTCTTCAAGCGCGCCATAAAGAAACGCCGTGGTCACATCCATCTGTTCCAGATCAAAGTCTCCCACCGCAGCAAAATTAATCAAGGAACGAAGAGTAGAATGCTTAACCACTGGAGCAAAGGTGTCGTTGTAGTCAAGTCCAGGAACTTGCGAGCATCCTTTCGCCACCAATCGCGCCTTGTAGCGAACCGAGCCATCAGGATTAAGCTTCAGAGCATACACCCACATGCTCTTGATAATCTGGCGATTGGAAGGCACAGTTGGAACAAGAACATGTGTCTCGTTCTTTTTCTGTGAAGCAATCTCGGCTTCCATTGCTACACGCCAGTAAGACGCTTCCTGTGAGGCCATGGCTTCTCCATAGGTCCTCGGAACAGTAGGAGTCCCAGCTGCACGAGAGGAGACCATTGTCTCGATGAGATGCTCAGTAGGCCGCCTTGTGCGGATCGATCTGCGTAGAGGATCTGGAGGAGGCGGCGGGGTTGGTGGTGTTGGAGTAGAAGTGGGCATGGGTTGTTGTGTAGGGACTGTTTGAAGCGGCACAGTGATCGTGCCGACAGTCAACTGATCTTGTTCCGCTTCAACGTCATTTTCTTCGGTCAAGGTAGGTCTGGAAGTAGAACCTTGACTAGAAGGAAGAAAGGAATTCTCGTTGAAAACCACATCTCTGCTCAGGATCTCCTGCTTCGTGATTGGATTCCAGAGACGATAGGCTTTGTGATCGAGGCTGTAGCCCACAAACACAGCCTTCTGGCTCTTGGGATCCAATTTCTTGCGCATTCCATCAGGGATGTGTGCCCACGCTTCACACCCGAATATTCTCAGATGCGTAACTGTAGGTCACTCCATGGAGTGATGTCAGTGGGGAGCCGGTTCTGGAGATAGTTCGCCGTCAAGACAGCGTGAAACCAGAAGCTGCGAGGCAAACCACTGGAAAGTAGCATTGCCCGAGCACTCTCCACTAGTGTGCGATTCTTGCGCTCAGCTACGCCATTCTGTTGTGGAGTCTCTTGCGTTGTAAGTTCTCGCACAATCCCTCCTTGCTCACACAGCTGAAAGCATTGGAAGTGAATTCGCCTCCACCATCACTTCTCAATCGCTTGAGCATTTTCCCAGTTTGTGTTTCTCCCATATCCTTGAAAGTCTGGAAGTAGTGTAACGATTGGGATTTGCGAGCCATAGGGTAGATCATAGTGCGACGACTGTAGTCATCAATGAAACTGATAAAGTATTGGATACCTCCCACTGCTGTGGTGGCCATCGGGCCACACACATCAGTGTGTACAAGTTCCATGAGCTCTGTAGCTCGAGATGCTCCAGTCTTGGGGAAAGGTTGGCGAGTAGATTTTCCTAGCTGACAGCCCTGGCAAAATGGAAGAACGGCTCTTGGGTCCAGGTCTAGACCTTCAACCATCTGCTCGCGTGCGAGCTGCTTGATTCTATCAGCACTAGGATGCCCCAGGCGTGCGTGCCAAAGCTCCAGTGAGTGACTGGTCGTTGTCTTTTGTGCGTGTAGGCCCAGACTCCGTCCAGCAAGATCTGGCAGCATGGTAAGGCGGTAGAGGTCACGCCGTCCAGGCCGGGACGCTGTGAGGATGGCTCCTGTGGTCGAGATCAGCTGGAATTGGCGAGGTGTAATGGCGAACTGATACCCATCCTCAGCAAATTGTCCCACAGAGAACAAATTAGCACATAAACCAGGAATATAAAGAACCTCGTGGATCTTTACGACTATTCCTTGTGGTAAAGTGAACTTGATGGTTCCAACTCCTTTCACAGCAAGCTGCTGGGCATTGCCAACGATGACATACTCTTCTGTGGCTGTAGGAACATAGGCTTCAAAGTACTTATCACTGTTGAACATATGGTCTGTAGCAGCAGAATCCAGGTAGATGCACTCTGCAGACAGTGCTGCCACAGCCATAGCTCGTGACAAGATGAAGGCGTGTACCACCTTTTTCTTTGCATTGTTCCTTACAGGCTTGAGAGATGGATTTTTCACCCAGCATTGAGCTTCGTCATGGCCTTTCTTGTTGCAATGAGAACACTTGGGCTTCTTGGATGAAGAGGCTCCTTGTTTCCCTTTGTTCTCTGTTTCTTTCCTGAGAGAAGAGTAGAATGCAACGGCCTCTGATCCTGTTGTTGCTCTTCGTCTCAGATCATCGTCCTGGAGGCTACTGATCACGCCATTCAGGGTTAGAGGAGTTCCAGTGGTAGTGAGGCTACGTATGAGAGGATCAAAGGATGGAGGAAGTGTGACGAGCACCAGCTCTGCTTCTTCTTCATCCTCTATGTTTGCTCCCACATCCTTAAGATCATCTAAGATGGTTCTCACACCAGCAAGATGATCCTTGAGGTCATCCCCTTCAGCCATCACCAATGCATGAAGCTGCTTCCGTAAAAATATGCGATGGGATGTTGAAGGGATCTGGTAAGTCTGCTTCATGGCCTCCCACGCTTCCTTTGCACTCTTGCACCGTCCAATGCAATGGAATTCTCGCCCCTCCAGCGCTGCATGGAATTTGCCCAAAGCTCTCCGGTCCTTCTTGCGATACTTCGCAGTTTCATCCACTGTAGCTGTATCTGGAAGTGTCTCAGTTCCTGTGGTGATGTCCCAGAGGCCTCGTTCATCCATATAGGATTCGAATTTTGTCTTCCAGAAGCGCCAGTTCCTCCCATCAAATTTTGGTGGATTTGCGTCCACTGAAACGATATCCGCTGTAGGCACAGTCGGATTTGTGATGGGAGGGGAAATAGGTGGTGGATTTGGAGGCGGATTTGTAGGAACAGTGGCTGCCATGGGTGCTGACACCCAATCCCACCACTCGTTCAAGTCTAGGTCCAGGTTCTTAGTCGTCCAGTGCCTCTTGCAAGGCCTGGAGCGTTTGGATTAGGGCACGCCTCTGTCGAGGCTCCGATTCACCCTAGCAAGTGTCGCCCTGATCCTACGGTTTCGAATTCTTCTTGCTCTCCCAGGCATTGCTCCAATACCATCTAATGAAAGGTGAAACCGTGTGATGGTGCTCAAGATCTGTCATAGCATATATGGAATGGAAAATGTACATATGTGTGACATGGTGAACCGGTGAAGACTCGTGTCTCTCCACGTGGACTAGCCACGTGGCACAGGGCCACTCTCAACACGACTCCATCAGCCATTATCCCCTGGGGCTCCTGTCCGAACACTTCCCTCATTCCACCAGATGAGAGAGAACGTCTAGCATAGTCTGTCTTATAGTCTCCGCAGCCATCTGAAACCCCAGTCACAAGCAGCTTCAGCTATATTGTCTTCTCGCCATCTTGCAGCCATCTGGCACTGGTTTACGTCGTTCCTCACTACTATCATGGACAGCCTTACCGGATCCAACTTCTGGATTTGACTCTTGAGAGTTGGCTTCTCCGATGTTAGAGTCCGAGCACTGGCCTCCAGTTGACCAATCCTTGCAGCCAACTTCTCGAGCTAGGAGCCAGCTTCATTTCTCGTTTCTTCGACGTGCTTAGAACAGTTTTCTCGTGTTCTCTTCTCAGGTAAACCTAGGGTCTAGTCGTCTTAGAGTTCGCTCCAGCCCGGCCGATCATCTTCTTGCCATCATGGTTCCGACAAAACAAACACTCATCGTTCACTCCAGCTCTCTACAACAAACACATTATTAGCTAACAGCCATCTGGAATCTGGAAGGTATATCAAACTTACCTGTCTCCTCTTGAATTCGGCAACAAAATCTCTCCCTGCACGATCATATAGTTCTTTTGCCTCCTTCACGAAGACCACCTCGCCGGACTGAAGCTCCTTCCACGGTTTCCTCTCACTCGAGATCCTATACAGCATTTTCTGGAGCCACATTATCTTCCGCGCTCGCTTGATCCTCTCTCGGTCGCTGGATTTGCCGTTGAGCTCCTCGTAAAGCTGCTCGGTGAGTCTGATCAGAATCCGGAGCGCGCTAACACTCCAAGACTTTTCCTCGTGCTTCTCCTCTTCTGTTTCCTCGCGCTTTTCCTCTTCCAAGCTGCGGATCTTCTTCTCAGTTTTTCCCCTCTGGTTTAGCCACCGGTTTGCCTTGTGGAAAGCTTCGAGAGATGTGAACTCAACATATCCCCATCGGCCATCGCTAAGATCGGTTTCACTGCGATTTGGGAGAAGATCCACCACACCTCTGAACATCCACAATCTGGACATACACATCAATGATTGGGATTTTGGGCATTTGCCCAAGGCAAAGATCCTCCTCTCCATGGCGAGTGAGAGCAACGCAGTGTCCTGGAATACCATCCTCACGAGCTACATCCAATTCGGCCATCTTAGCCCCGCGATCGCGATCTTCCGCGCCATGCTGGATCCAAATCTAGTCTCCTGGACAGCAGTGATCACTGGCATCGCCCACAATCCCGGGTTGCATTGATCGGCACTGGATTTTCTCTGCGAGCTCTAGCAGGAGGGCTGGAATTCCAGCAAGATCTGTTACAGAACACATGCATATGACACGGGTCGCTGCGCCTTCCTCTCCTGCCCCACATGGCTTGGCTGCCTCCCATTGGCCAAGAGCAAACATCAGCGCGATTATTCACTAAAATGTGGTTAAAGAAATAACCCCTTTACAGTTACCCCCCATCGGACGGCTGCGATTGGCTGGATTTGGCAGCCCAGAAATTTCAGCAACTCCTCCTTATTGTGATAGATAATCTAGTGATAGCAGGGAGGCTCCCCGACCGTTGGATCCCAGGCCCGGGCCAGGGTCAGTAGCCATGGTTGCGCAAGAAATTTTTCTGATATTTGCTCTCTGCCAATGGGAGTCGGCCAAGCTGCGTGGGGCGGGAGAAGAAGGCACAGCGACATGTGTCTTTCCTGCACAAATCGCCCCGTCACTCTCGATGTGGAGCGCCACTGCTTTAGGGAAAGGGCAAGAGAGCGATGCACTCGAGTAAATGGTCAGTGAAGCTGTGGCTCCCGGATCTCCTAGGCAGAGATCTTCCACTCAGAGATCTCCTGCTCAATCGCCACAGCAATCCCCGCAGGAACAGGCACCAGCAGCAGATCCGGAGCTACAGTCTTGCCACCGTCACTCCTGGCATGGAGGATCTCCACTGCTGCTTTAGGGAAAGGGCGTAGCTCTAGAGGAGAGCGAGTAAATGGCCCAGTGGTCCACCTAGTGGCAGCAGTGGAGGGATGGACAAGAGGGGTGGTGCGATGACACTCAGTGGTTTTCAGCCTCCAAAAGACATGGTTTTTACGTCGTCTGATCCCCATCGTAGGTATTCGTTCATTCTTTATGACTTTGTTAGAGTTGAAAGCTATAAACAACAGTAGCAAAGCATTAGTTTTCCTATCATCCTAGTTTTTTTCTTCTCCACAACAATGACAAAGAGACTATGTCTAAGTGGTGGTGGTGGTGGTGGTGGCACTCTCGCCACCACTCCTGTTAAGTCTGCTAAAGAGGCCAGCACTGAGAAACCCGTCCTAGGAGGAGCCTTGCGACACTGATCTTGCGAACTTAGAGAACAATTCGGTGCTGTTCTCCGCAGAGCTGCTGTTAGTGCTAAGGTTGGGTGCTGGTGTGGAGCTTTGTCTTTTTTTCCAGTCCTTAATACAACTTGATGCTCAAAGGAATTTGTTGCGCTTAAAGCCCGAAGTTTTTGATGGCAAGTAGGGCACCATTCTGGACAGCAGAACGACATACACATACTTCCTTGGAGCTGCGTTTCAGGCTTTTAAAAGTGCAGTAAGTGCGAGAGAGCCACCACAGCTCCGGTGGTCATTGGCTCCAAGCGAGGCAAGATAGGCATGTGACATGTGTCACCAGTGGTGTCCTGCCCCTGTGCCCGTTCTTTTTAGCTCGCCCTAGATGCCCTGCCGCAATTGAGCTAACACTTGCTTGGATCAGTGGCAATTGCAGCAATTGTGCTTTTTCCTGTAGAGGTCTGTGTTCAGCGTCAGGCCGGCAGCCACTAATTTGGCCCCCAACCCCAACAATCTGGATTTTTGTGTGCTGTGAAAATTTGAGACGTCTTCATTTGGGTTTGTGGATGCTATCCAATGGCAGAGCTAGCCTTCACGGCCAAAACCATTAGCCCTGTCCTTTTGCAAGAGAGAACAAGCTCAAGGTAAGTTCTCTAACTTGCAAACTCCACCCACGTCTCACGGCTGCTCACCAAGGTTTTATTGGTTGCTTTTGTTTACAGATTAAGGTGTGTACAGATTGTGCTCTCATTGTATAGTCTTTTTTTTTTTTTTTCCAGTGTAAGAATGTGAGTTCAGGCTTTTACTTAGAATCTCTGAAAATTTTAAGATAAGTGCTTTGACTTTCTTTTTTTACTTCTTGCTTTAAGTTTATATTTACACTAGATAGGTTATTTCATCTCATTTATCATCCCTAGCAAATATGCCTTGGCTTTGCAAAGTATTCAGAGGCATACGTCACCATTTGCCTCCAATTACTGACACTAGCACATATAATCATATTCACAACAACCTTGCATATGCTAATGAAGAAACTAATCTAGACCTTGAACATGCTAATGAAAAAATTACTTCAAATCTTGACAATGCTAATACAAACATAGCATATGCTGATGAAGGTCATACAAATATAAACCTTGAAAATGCTAATGAAACTAATACAAATATATGTAATCATCACAGTTATACAGTCTATAAATTAGCACATCAAAAGAATTATAATGACCATAAAATACATACGTTTAATATTGGAAATATGTCATCCATATATGTCTTTTGTGGTGCATTACATTTTGAAAATGAGTCAAAATCAATGTGCTGCCAGAATGGAAAGGTTTCCCTTCCCCAACTTTCATCTTTACCTACTATATTGCATATGCTTTTTAATGAAAATAAAAACTTCAATTTTAAAATTAACATAAGAAATTTCAACAGTGCTTTAGCTTTTGCATCAATGGGTGATAATATTGATAATTTAAGTGGTAAAGGCTCATATTGCTTTAGAATACATGGTCAAATTTATCACAATATTGCTACAGCATATCCTGCTGCTAACGTGCCACCATCATATGGACAACTTTACATGCTTGACGCATCTAAGGCTACAAATATTAGAAAGCAAAACCCATTCAACACAAATTGTGATTCTAATTTATTATTACAATTAGATAAATTGCTAAGAACAATAAACCCGTATGCACAAGCTTTTCAAATGATGTATAATCTTGAATCACAAGAACAATATCGCTCAATTTGCAATGGAACTCCAAAACATGGTGTTTATATGATTGTTAGAAGTGAAAGTATTAATCTACATTGTTATAATTTACCACGGACTAATGATGTTGCTATTGTTTTCACTATTGATGAGGGTGAGCCATCTCTTGATAGAGAAATATGCATACATCCATATAACTCACAGCCAACAAAAATCTCTATTCTTAATGAAAATTATGATCCTATGGTTTATCCTTTACTTTTACCATTTGGTGATAAAGGTTGGCATGAAAAAATCTATCACAATGAGTTGCATGTAACGCTACTCCAGTACTATGCATATTGATTATCTCAACGAGATAGCATTGGCAACTCTTTCCTTTATGATCAATTGCTACATGCTGAGAAACTCACTCAACAATTTATAGTTGATGCATATGTAAAGGTTGAATCTAACAACCTTAATTTCTTTCGTACTTATCAAAAACACTTAAAAGTGGATTACTACACAGGTATTATGGACTATGTTAGCAACAGAGTTGTTACTAATAATGCTGAACCTGGAAAAGTTATAATTTTGCCTTCTACATTTCTTGGTAGCCCACGAGTAATGCAACAATATTATCAAGATGCTATTGCTATTGTCACACATTTTGGAAATCTGACTTATTTATTATATTTACATACAACCCAAAGTGGCCTGAAATTGTGCAAAACTTACAACTGAATGAATCACCTGAGGATCGACCTAATCTTATTTCAAGAGTTTTCAACTTAAAGCTTAAAGAATTCCTACATGACATAAGTATCAAAGGAATTTTTGGGAAGTGCATAGCATATGTTTATGTTATTGAATTCTAGAAAAGAGGTTTGCCTCATTGTCATTTCTTAGCAATGTTATCAAGTGAAGACAAGATAAGAAATCGTGATTCGGTTGATGAATTTGTCACCGCATAGTTGCCACACCCACTGCTAGAACCAGAATTGCATAACATAATTATAAATCATATGATACATGGTCTATATGGTAATTTAAATCCTAGAAGCCCTTATATGGAAAATAATAAATGCTCTAAAAATTATCCAAAAGAATTTAATGTTGAAACCATTTATTGTGTTGATGGTTATCCTGATTACTACCGACCCAATAACAGACGCATTTTCATAAAGAATGGTTGTACTATTGACAATAGATGGGTTGTTCCTTATAATAAATACCTTTGTAAAAAATATAAAGCACACATTAATGTAGAGATCTGCGCTTCTATTAAAAGTATTAAATATTTATTTCAATATGTATACAAAGGTTATGATTGTGCAACATTAGAATTCCTAATTGCATCTGAAGAACGAGGGACTTTAAATTGGGATGAAATCTCAAGTTTTGTCGATGCTCGATATATTTCTGCTCCTGAAGCTATGTGGCATATATTTAAGTTTCGTATGCATGATAAATCACTAACTATTATACACCTTCCAATTCATTTACCCAATTTTCAAAATGTCTATTTCAAACCAAGTCATGAACAAGAAGCACTAGAAAGAGCCACTCAAAATGGAACAATGTTTACACAATAGTTCAATTTAAACATGCAATATATTAATGCAAGGCAATATACATATGCTCAAATTTCGTTACATTACACATATAACAAATCCTCTCATAAATGGCAATTACACAAGCGAAAAGCTAAACTCATACCAAGAATGTATTCCATATCTCCTTCTAATAATGAGTTGTACCACTTGTGGTTTATATTATTCCATAAAAAAGGTGTTATATCATTTGAGGATATATGTACTGTCAAAGATGTTATTTTCTCCTCTTTTAAACAAGTAGTTATGGCAATGGGACTTTTAGCAGATGATTCAGAATGGCAACATTGCATGCAAGAAGTTTCTACTTTTAAAATGCCATCCCAATTAAGACAATTATTTGTTTTTATTTATTTGTATTGTTCACCAAAAGATCCAATTCTATTATGGGATCAATTCAAAATTGATATGTTTGAGGATTATGCTAGAAATGATATAAACTATTTTGACATTGTTTTAGTCGATATTAATTCAAAATTCCAACTACACAATAAATCTAATTGTGATTTTGGTTTACCACTCCCAACTCTTACTCCCATTATCAAACACATGCTTAATATAGAGATCCATGACCCATCACAAGACCAAATAAATGCAAACATAAATCAATTCAGTTATGAATAACGTTATATTTTTGAACTCATTATAAATGCCATTGACACTAACCAACATCAATGTTTCTTTATTGATGGTACTGGAAAAACTTTTCTACTTAATACCATCATTACAGCATTACAATTTTAAAAAATAAAAGTAATCAGTATGGCATGGACTGGGATTGCAAACATTTTGCTAAAATATGGTCAAACAACACATACAACTTTTAAACTTCCTGTTCCTTTAAATGAAACTTCTGTCTCTGCTTTAACAATTAATAGTGATATTGGAAAAACCATTAAACAAGCAAATGTTCTCACATGGGATGAAATTAGTATGGTCCACACACATGCTTTCTCTGTGGTTGATAAATGTTTAAAGCATCTCAAATGTAATTCTAAACCATTTGGAGGCGTTATAGTGATTACAAGTGGTGACTTTCGTCAAACCTTTCCTGTTGTTCCCCATGGCCATAGAACCTTTATTATTTCAAGCTCAATTAAAATGAATAGACTATGGTCACTTTTTACAACACTAACACTAACAAAGAATATGCATTCAAGCAATCTTTGTTTTTCTGAATGGCTTCTCAAACTTGGCAATGATGATAGTAGTTTGCAGTTGCCATGTCTCCCACCAAATATTATCAAAATACCACATGCATTATCTATCTCTACACCTATTGTAAACTTTGTTTTCCCAAATACCGATGATATTATAAATACCTATACAACTACATCAAAGGTTATTCTCACCCCACTCAATGATGACACATTTAGAATAAATAATAACATTGTTGGAAGACTACCAGGTGATCCATATGTTTATTTGAGCATTGACACGGTTGACTCATATCACCCTAAAGAGTTCCCAATTGAATTCTTAAATTCAATCACCCCATCGGGACTACCACCACACAAATTAATTCTAAAAAAAAATGTGATTTTGATTCTTCTTAGGAACATATCTCCACAAATTGGTTTATGCAATGACACTCACCTCATTCTCAAGCAAGCATTTCAAAACGTTTTAGATTGTGAAATTATCACGGGACAATTCAAGGGATCGCGAGTTTTTATTCCACATATTACCCTTACATCTTCTGATATTGAAATCCCTTTCAAGATGTCCCAAAGACAATTCCCAGTTCGTCTGGGTTATTGCTTAATTATTTCTAAAGCCCAAGGCCAAACTTTCAACCATGTTGGCATTTACCTCCCCCAACTTGTTTTCACACATGGTCAACTTTATGTTGCTTTGTCAAGGTGTAGATCACTTGAACAACTTCGTGTTCAAGTGCTTGTAACCCCCCTTCAAGGCAATCTTATACCACATGATCAACACTTTTACACTGTGAATACAGTCTATGCTGAAATTCTTAAGTAGATTGACAAATACATGGCACAATTCTAAATATAACCATGATTCCACAAAACTATCTACTCAGCCACCCTTGACTTGCAATTGTGAGTTTCAAGTGCACACCACAACAAAGCTAGCATTGACTGGTGTGCCTTGGATGGTGTCCCATTTTAGTTATGGCAACATGCTATTAAGTTGCTAATGGCAGAAGTATACTTTTCATCCTATTGCTTCTTGAGTGCAGCTCTCATTGCAATATAATGGTTTTCAGCTCATCCCAGGAACCTCTCTAGCGGGCTGTGGAACAAGTAGCAACACCTGCACCAAAGATGGACTTGGAAGTATTCTTTGGGCTTTTTGTGTTCAAAATGGAGGAATGCAACTCAATAGTGATCTAATCTAGCTTATATAATGCTTATAACACATTTTGTCAAGAGAATGTCTTTCAGTTGAAATAGCAAACATAGCTAAGCTCAGGAAACCTCTTCAAATGGCATCAAATTTGCCAACCACCCAGCATTTGCTGGCAATTGCTAGTATAAACATAACTCTTCAACTATTTTCGCTGCTATCTGCTAACAAACAATAGTATACCATGGGAACTGGAAATCTTCTGGCTCGTCAAGGAGTGTAGCATGTGTTCAGGATGTCCCTGTTCTTTGCAACCTTGGAGTAGGGGGAACCGAAAATACACATGGCAATGATGCTTTCCACATTAAAAAGTACCAATTTCGAAAGGATGAGTTACCTTTCCAGGAGTCCTGGCACATCAGCGATTTGTGTTGGCCGCTACTTAACTCAACACAGAGTTTGTTTTACCTCTGCTCTCCAGTCCTGCCGTGTCAGTGAGTCCCGCCACATCAGCATGTCCTGCCATATCAGCGAGTCCCACCACGTTAGCGAGTCCTGCCACATCAACGATTTGTGCTGGTCGCCATTTAACTCAGAATAACCTTTCTAAAAATACGGTATCCCCAGGACCTTGCCGTGTGCACGTAGTTTGTCTGCAGGAACTTCAGCTTGCAAGTTTCTGCAGTGTTATTCAAAGCCGGCAAATCATCCGATAGCACAAACACCACCATGTAGCCAGCTCTGTCTAGTATCCCGAAAGCAGGGTTCACCAAGTTCTTCAGTAAAGCATCCGAGAACTCCGTATACTGATCAACCACCCCCGGCTCAGCAACGCATCTAGTAGGCGAATCGATGATGAGAAGATGAACAGCTCCCTGGACACATTTCGGTAGAGACTTTGCACAAAAAAGTGAACAGTTCAGCTTGACCTGTGACTGACAATCCAATCCTCAAGCTCCTTTAGTCCTGGCGGAAAAGGTCCCAGCTTTGAAGTACTACTGGACTGCAAGGTTTCCTGAATCTGCATGAATGATTTCCCAACTCCCGTTTCCGTTCTCTGGCATCAGCATCCTCAACATATCACCTTCTTCCGATCTGGCGACGGGGCTGAAGAAAAAGCCTGGCCCTTGCTGCCCTTGGTGGCCGATCTTGCTGACTTGTGTATCTTGTAGCTGGCCATCTCCCATTCCGGACAGCCACCGGGAAGGAAATCCAGCCAGAAAGGACAGTACTACACTTCAAAATCGCTAATGTCACACATGAGCCTGCTCCACATACATCCAAAATTTTCAGGGAGTGCATCATTTTTCCATTTGAAAAACCATAAATAGATAAATATAAATAAAGAAACCAATTAAAGACTTGCCTGAATGTCATTCTTTTCGAACTCAAATAACTGAGAATGTAAAATTGTCGCACTAACTCCTTGTTCTCACGCATCCTCTGGTACATATCTAGCTCGTGCATCTTCATATACCAGGCCATAAACTCGTCAACGTAACTGCTTGCCTGTTCGACCTGCAAGTGCCATTCCCATTAGCTTTTTTCACAACTTGCTAAGGAGGTCTAAGACCTCCCAACCAAGAGTTCCTTTGCATTTGGTACTTCTTCACCCACCGAGGTCGCTCCTATGAAGATAGATAACAATTAAGTAATATATCAACAAAGCAAAAGAGGACTTCATCCACCTCTATGCTAAGTCCCATTACTCTTTCAATGGCAACAAATTTCATTTTGTCAATATTTAAACTCTTATTACACAAGTTCTAATAAACCAGATACCAGGCACAATAGACTCAGCTTAATTCGCATTGCAAGGTTTCCTTTGTTCCTTTGGCACTAAGTGGTTAGTAGCGTCAGTGCTCTCCACTCTCAATAGGGTACTAAAACAACTGGTACTCCACCCACCACGTTCGCCCATTAATTGCCAAAAGACATACCATCTTGTTTCTCCAAGTGAAATTACACTCTTTGATGAAAACCACCTAATAGAGTTTCAGCTGCCTTCAGTGACTTGCATATTCACTAGCATTCGGTTAGTTATTTCCCCCACAAGCCACTAATCCTAGATAATAAAAAAACTCGGACAACCAGAAATCCACATCTCTCACAGGGACAAGTTCTATCCAAACATGAGGTGGTTTCACTCCACCAAGCCTTTCGGTTATGCCTGCATTTCAACGCTTCCACAATCTAATACCTTCAGTTCCATATCTGAGCATTGTGGAGCTCATACACTAAAGGTTATCTGGTTCACCCAGGGCCTTTACGAGCCTACCAATAACCAAGAATTTCCAAAACCACATTACAGGTTTTCAAGCTCTTCAAACTCTCTCTATTGGTAAACTAGTTCTCCAGAGTTTCAGTTAGGTTCTCTAGTTAGCCAGGAAGAAAAACTCTTCCTACAGATTAGCATTCGTTTAGCTTACAACAACTTGTAGCCAGCAAGGAATCTGGATCTTCCAACATGTTTTGAATTGACGTCCCATTTCGCAGTTCATCTGTTTGAAAATAAACTAAAGAAAATTAAAACAGTCAATTAGTCTCTTTGATACCAAGACCCATTTCTGGTACCGGCTGCCCTCTCAAGAAGCCTCGACCTACGTTCCGACTCGGAACTTCTATTTTACCAACTCTCGAGCTCAGATTATTAATCGCGCGGAAGGCCATAGCCAGGGTTAGTGTGAGCAACCCTCCATGTAAAATCTAGGGTTCGTCGTCTCCGCAGCTTCCATGGATGTTGTGATTGTGGCGGTCGCGGGTGCTTGTGTTGTCATTGCGGCAACTTGCATTGCAACCATGCTCATCATCAACCTCCTCACCAAGAGCGTCATCACCATGGCTTCTTCAACCAGGGGAGCAGCGAAGGAGGATCTACAGGCTCTCCGTGGAGCTCTCAAGGAGGATCTGCAGGCTCTCCGTGGAGTTCTCAAGGCGGACCTTCCCAGCCTCAGGCAGGTGATACAGGATTTTGGTGCCTTGAGGGAGGAACTGAGGATGCTGCGAGATGCTCTGCGAGCTGAGGCAGCCCAGGGCCAAGCTAATCCGGTAAGCATTTGTGAAGTTCTGACTTGTGCGAATCTTGAAATTATTTCATCATCCAGTGGTGTGCAAACCGCACAGAAGTGGCGCTGCTGCTGCTGACCATGTTCAGTGATCGGTAGTTGATTCATAGAAAGCTCGACAAAACTATTTTGTTTTTCGACAGGGAAAAAGCTTCTGATTCGGATCTTCGTTTTCTCGAAATAAAATGACTCATGTCTTGAGCTTCTGATAGTAAGTCATTTCCGGGCAAGAACATAGACATGGACGTGGCTTGGCAGTGTCTAATAGTACTTTCTTGTAGGTGAACTATTCATTCAGCAGACCCGGATTTCACTGGGTACACTTCAATTGCTTTGTGTGATAATGGAACACGATTCAATCAAAGCTTTCAAGCTTCTGTCTTCAACGGGTTCATGCAGCTTAGCTGACGGCTCGTGCAGACTCACCGGACCTGAAACATGGAGAGCTGAACGAGGAGATCGAGGTGATCTCCATTTCCTTATCATGCATTTCCTGAGTCGCGGCCCTTGCGAGAGAGCCACTGGCCAGCTCTGGAACGAGTTCCTACAGCACAAGTTCTTGCCCCGGAGGTACCATGAATTTTTCTCCAGGAATGGGACGCCCACCGCTGATGAAAATGACGATGTTTGTCGTTCCCACTCCGCGACGCGCAAGTTGCCGAGGTACTGTGTGTCGCGAAATCATTTATTGGTTTTCCATGTTGACAAGGAGATGATTTGCAGGTGTAAGAACGTTGACAACAAGCTCTTGCAGCAACTGCTTGTTCGCGTGATGCGAAAGTTCCCAAGCAGACGTTCCTCCCCTTTCGGGATCAGGAGCATTCTCGCTTTTGGAATGTAAGCCTTGTCTTTTCGAATCTTTTCGAATCTTGCCGTTGCTGATCCGAGCAAACCACTGGCAGCGGAGCAAAGAAATGCTACAAGTATCTCTACGAAGCGAATAGACCAATGCATTGGCAAGCTGACCAAGTTCATGCTCTCGAACTTGGTGGTGGATTTGCAATGCATCGCAGTAGAAAATAGGCTTCGCCTTCGTAGCTGCGGAGGTTTGGACTATGCAAGAACCTGGCTGGCTGGCTGGTTTCGATTACTGTGCTTAAAAACCTGGCTTTTTTGTGGGAGATAGCCGATTTGTCTGTAAGTAGTTCGAACACTTTAGTTGCATCAGCTTCTAACGATTCCTCCTGTTTTTTTGTTTTGATTCGTTTTGCTTCTGCCTTTAGTGGGGATTACCAGATGGTGTTCCGGTTGCAACACTTCGTGACCACGTAACGGCCATCAAGTTTAAGACGGAACCTCTGTCAATTCACGTGTCTACATGCCGAAGCCGGATGTCGAGCCCGAATGTAAAGAGTCTGCCGATGTTTTTTTGGTCTTCTAAAAGCTTGTTTCCAGCTGCAGGAGCTGAGAATGGAGCACAGGATACGAATCAGATTCAGTTCTGTGTGTTTAATGCAGATGGATCATATTTCGTCACTGGGAATTCGGACAAGCTTGCCAGGGTAAGCATTAAAAGTGGACTGTTTATATTTCTAGCAATTGTTTGAACAGGTTTGGGGCGCAAGAAGTTAACTACGTGCAGTTCAGGTTCGCGTCTTTGTTGACATCAATCGTCCTTTGTTCCAGTGGTTGTGCAGAGCCAATCAAAGTTTCTTCCGTCGACTTTTTCAAGGATGACAAGGTAAAGACATCTTATGGGGCTCTCATGGAATAACATGGATGTGCAGATTGCCGAGACTTACGTGCCAGATGTACATCCATGCAATCCTCATATTGCAATGAGTCCGGGCTACGATGGCAGAGATACTGTCTGGGATGTAAGTGTGTTCGCTCAAAAGAATGATGACGAATTTCACTTGATTGTTTTAGATCTGGCAGGGCCATCCAGTAAGAACATATGAGACTGGAGATTATAATCTTGTCGATGACAATTTTCACCGTATGCTTGCTCTCATATCCATTTATCCTGGATTTCACGTTTGCTAATTTTCAGGGATGGAACCTCGTTGGTAGTCAAGACGACGAAGGTGCGTAATACGATCAGGTATCAGGAAGATTTTGCTTTTTATCTTTCATCCAATAGCTTCTTGTTTTTGCATTTATTATTTATTATTTTTGTTTTTTCTGGAAACGTTCTCGATCAGGTAAATAAAATGATGTAAGTGCTTTTATTTAGTTTTAGTCCTGAGTGTTGTTCCTGTCCGGTATTATTCTTGTGCGAACTGAATGTCTTTCTTTAACAGGAAACTCGGTTGCCTCCTCATCAAAGGAATCTTCAAGATCTCTTGTGCGATGCAAGTAAGCTGGTGACTTCTTACCTCGGCCAACTTATTTTTCTGTTTCATTTTCAGGCTTGATTCCCTATCCAGAACCTTATCAAAGCTCGTACCAGCAACGTCGTCTGGGACTCCTAGGTTGCTACTGGCAACCACCATCAGTTCAGCTCGCAGTGGGAACGTTTGATGATCCAGCTTTCATTCCTCAGGATAAGCCTCAGTTTCTTCTCTGCAAGCGATTGAGCAAACAAACGAGCAAGGCAACAGATGGGTAGAACAACCGGCGGAGAGCTTTCTTCGCTCGCGCAGTAGTCAGAACCAGACTCGTCACTCAAGCCGGTGACTTCTTTATCCCAGTTTCTTGAGTGACGAGGATGGAAATGAAGAAAGTGGTACGATCTGTGAATCGGAAACAACCGACAAAGAAAATGACGAATTAGATTCTGAAGTGGTTCGTACCCGAAGAAGGAGAAAGGTATGTACGTGAAGTTTTTGTGTTTCTGATAATCCATTACAGATACTTGCGACCTTGGTCAGGAAGCAAAAGCGCTGGCGCTTGGAGGAGTCATACAATGCACTTTTGATGCCGATGAGGAAACTAAAGTCTATATTGAGGTCTGATAAGAAAGTCAAACACGGACCATGCATTGAGGCCTATGAGGATGGCAGCTCGGAATGCCTTGACCATGTTTTCGAGCTTACATGAGTACGAAGACGACGGAGCACGCCACCTGGCCGCTGAGGATGCCAAAAGACCTGGTACATCTGGAGAGAACGAGAACCAGAGGCTTCTACGCAACGGGAAAGTTCTTACAAAAACTCAGGAACGTGAAGACGATGAACCTCCGAAGAAGAGTCCCGCAGAGACTTCGGACGTGGGTGAATGCAGGCGGCCAAGGTCTCAGCGAAAGTTAGTACTCAAGTTGAGAAACTGTGCACAAACGTCCAACAACGAGGATACTTTTCGGAGCCTCGAAATACCAGAACAAGGCACTTCTAAGGTCCCCGTGGCCGAGGCTAATGACAGTCATCCAGAAACAGATGGTTTTATCGCGGACGAGAATCCCACTGAAGCTGTTTCGTCTGACGACAAACAGGGATACATATGGAAGAAGGGGAAAGCAGCCAAGCGTGCTGGCATGCCTTATCACAGCAGCAGCAGCTCCGAAGAGGATAAACTGGTAGACGTTCCTTGTGATACCAAGAAAGGCCTTGAAGCGACTCGTGTAGAAAATGGAGACACAAAGGTGGTGGCAAGGGCGATCATTAGCGAGTCCGAGTCGGAGAAGTCTCTTTCAGCTGACTACCTTGACGAACAGCAGAGACGAGAGCAGAATCACACTCTTATGAGCAACGAGTCCTTACAGAATGGAGAAGCTCCAGATGCTGACAATGACCCTGATTACCACGAAGAGGTTTCACCAGGCAGTAACAGTGAGTCGCTGGAGGATGCTTACAAGCCCGAGGAAGAGCAGGCAAGTGAGGACCTGGACGTGGACGATATACAAATGAAGCGCAATATGAACAAGGCCGTCTACTCAAGGAGAAGGCCTCGCAAAGTTGCGACTAAGACCGAGTGTTATGAGGCCGACGAGCACGCTTCAGGTGGCCGCAGGAGAAGTACACGGCTGGCGCAGGGTCGCGTGGTTAGTCTCTCCAACAGCAGGTCCACAAGAAGCAGGAGAAACGTCGCCGTCCTTCACACTGGGAAGCTAGCTCGTCTTACGACGACTCGGACTGGGATAGAAGCAGCGACGACGATGGACGCCGAAAGCCCGAAAGAAGAACTTCGAGCAGACTGAAAGTGAAGCTGCAGAAGAACGTTGGGTCGAGGTACAAGGATTTCCACGCGAGGAGAAACCTCAGCACGGTGCATCGGAGTCCGAGCAACGTGTCCTGGTTACTCTTGACAGAGGTGGAGCGGACGCGCTACATCCCACAGTATGATGATGAGGTGGTGTACTTCCGACAGGTAAGAGATCCAACGAGCTTGTCTTGAATTATGTTTGAATTGAAACTGTCGATCGCAGGGACATCAAGACTACTTAGACAACAAGCGGCTCGACGACGATGGTCCCTGGAGAAGCGTGAAAAGGGAACTGCAAGCGGTCGAGTTCTGCGAGATCACCGGACTGGAGTACATCATTCTCGAAGTGTCGGGGAACACTTGTTGCCGGCTGACTCTCAAGTTCATGGACGGGTACAGGATTCGCGGCAGCAGCTTCAGTGTCGACTTGCCGGAGTTGACAGACTTCGCCGACTTTATAGTGGAGAGAAGCCGCTACGAGGCCTCCATGGCCAGGAAGTGATCCAGTCGGGACAAGTGCCAAGTGTGGTGGAGGTCGGACGAGGAAGAAGGTGGTCGCTGGTGGGAAGGGACGATAACTCAGGTGAAGGGAAAGTCGCCCGAGTTTCCAAACAGCCCCTGGGACAGCATCAGTGTGCTGTACAAGGACGAGCCATCGACGACGAACCACTGCCCCTGGGAGCTTCACGACGTTGAGAATCCTTTAACTTGGGAGTCGCCACAGATCGAGCAGGACAAGGTGCGTGAGCTGCTCGACATTGTGGACGAGGTGCTCCACTCGAACCAATCCAAGGTTTGTTTTTGTGCGATCGATCATAGACTCGAGGAATGTTTCGGTTTTGGTCTTGGGTTGACGAGCTTTTGCTTTTCACAGGACGAGTATGGCTTGTGGAGGTTGCAGCAGGCCGTGAGCAAGCCGGATTTTCTTGACAGGCAAGTTGGAAAAATCTCTTGCGATTGAGAAAGAAGCTAAAGGTTTTCAAACAATGCAGGATTGCGCTGCCAATCTCCATGGACGTGATTCGCGAGCGGCTGGAGAACAACTATTATCGTAGCGTGATGGCAGTGTCACACGATCTTAGGATACTGATCGACAACTTCCGGACATATTTTGGGAAACAGCATTCGTCGGTGCTCAAGGTGGAGCGGCTGAGAGAACGCTTCTCTGAGGCACTGCAAATGTGAGCTTTGTAAAAATTTTCTCGAGGTCTTAGTTAACGAAGAAAAGAAACATATTCCTTACACATCCATCTACATTATCAGTCCGAGGATCACTCTCAATCTTTTTATACCTGGAAAACCATGAGGACGAAAGAAGTCGGGGAGATGGAGCGCCATCCTTCTCTTCCTCCTCTTGTCATCGAGCCCGCGTACTGATAGAAATCGCGAGAATCCACTGATCGTGGCACAAGGAACTCGAATTCCCGCCAGACCACTGTACGAACGGCGGCCCACTAAGAAAGTGGCTATGGCCCATTGTACGTAACATCGCCTTTATTTCAAAAGGGCCGCTTGGGTGGCTCGAAATTCTGGTAAGCATCATTTGCGTCTTGCATAGCTGTTGCAAACTTTGATTTCGATCTCACTACTGCAAAGCTTGATTTTGTTGTTACGGACACTAACGATGGAATTTTTGATTGCCATGGTGTTTGTTAGCACCATTGCGATCAATGTGCTGTGCATTGTGACCATAGCTTGTGTGCTGGTGTTAGCATCTGCCATGCGTGCAGGAATGGGATCCATTCGTGTGGTAGTGAGGGAGGATTTGCAAGTGTTACATGGTGCATTGAAGGAGGAGAGGACTGAGCATGGCTAGAGCAGTGAATGTTGCGGCTATCCGTGCTGCAATCAAGGAGGACCTCCAGGCACTTCACGACACAGTGAAGGAGGATGTTATAGCAGCCCACAACCAAGTCATGGTCGACTGTTCCACATCCCTCTATCAGGTAAGCATTTGTCAGATCTAGATTTTGTGCGGCTTTTAAAATACTGGATCAGGGTTTCGATGGCTTGATCAGGTCGTGTCCAAAACGCAAAGTGGCGCTGCTGCTGGTTCAGTGATTCATAGAAACGACGAACTGTTCTCTTTTTTCTCAGGAATTTTTTTTCTGATTCGGATCTTCGGAAATAAAAAGGCTTATATGTCGTGAGCTTCTGATAGTAAGTCTTTTTCCGGGCAAGAACATAGACATGAGCGTGGCCTGGCAGTGTCTAATTGGTACTTTCTTGTAGGTGGATGAGACCCTTTGGAGCTGCCGATAGTCACTGGGTTCAATTGCTTTGTATGGTAGAGGAACATGTGATATTTGTGCGCTTTTCGAGGATTCTCTGTAACAGTTTATTTCCGAATGGAGTTGGCTTGGTGGCTGGCTGTTCCTGTCGCTGCTGTTACCTCTGATAATGTTACCTCTGATGCGTGATCGAGGAGCTTGTTTTTTTCCTTGATGGAAGATCACGACGGCTTGTTGACTGATCTTCCGGACGATGTGTTCGGGTTGATATCCAGCCGCGTCTGTCACAGAGATCTCTGCAACCTCAGCGCCACTTCTTGCAAGCTTCGAGACGTCTGCAGCTCTGATAAGCTCTGGTTCCCGCAGTGCCAAGGCTGGTACTTGGAGGAATGGGCTGCAGTCGCAGAAGGCGCTGTTCAGATTCATCAACGGGGTCAGGAATCTGGTGGGTATTTGGGTGCATCAGAATCCGGAGCTGGGGAACTTATTCTATGTCACTTGGGGATTTCTTTCGGTGGGGGCTCGAGGAATGGATTGCGGGTTGCTCTGGCTCCGGTGTTTGAGATCTTCGGCCTTCCTGACGGATCTCTAGCGTTTTTCCTCCACGGAAGGGACAGGGACGACTACTGCTATCTCGGGAGATTTGAAGCCGCCAGGAGCAACAACTGCAACGTTCTCTTACTGGACCTCACCGAGCAGAAGCAGCGTTTGCCAATCAGTCCAGACAGCACACTCGTGGGTTTGATGGCGGAGAACAGCGATGGCGACGAGTGCAGCTCGAGAAGATCAGAAAGCAGGTCTGGTGCTTGTTTCGGTAGGCTCAGCTTTGGTGACAGAAGATCACTGCTGGAAGCGCTGGTCACGCAAGTCCGGATCAAAATGCCCCCCTTAGCACAGGGCCCCGTCTTCTTCAAGTCGAAGCATTCTTTTAAGAAGGAACTCAAGGCTGTGACGGAAAGGCATGCGCTGCTGCTGTGGATGTACATTCACGGGGATCCTTGCAGGATGGAAACGAAGCTTATCACAGGTTGCAAAACATTTCTATATTAATTAATATTAAGGATAATGGTCAGTTTCTATTCGTCTGGTTTGTCAAACACACCATCACAAAACATTTTCATAGCCACATGGTGGGTAGGCGACCTTGCCATGACGAAATCACAGTTCATGGCAGGCCCCCTGTCAAAGTCTCGAAGATCATCATAAACCAGTCCCCTCGGCATGTAACGAACATGTATCACATTGAAGGAGAGCATCGCTTTGATCTGCCGCTGGCACTCCGAGATGTCCGACTTGAAGATACAACGGCAAATCTTTGACAGCCCAACTACACCATGCGCCACAATGAGCTTCATCACCTCCCTGAAGTTAGCCTCTTCCCAGCCATGACCATGCTCCAGTCCCAGGAGAATCTTGGGCAGCTCTGCCACCACCATGTCTTTGAGAACCACCTCCATGCTGCTTCCCTCCTCGAACACATCGATCACACAGTTCTCAAGTGTTAAAGGACAGCCGCCACAGATTTCATACACCATCTGCTCCGACCACGAGTCGGGAGCTGTAGCACCTGCTGCTATATACTTGGCAACGAGGCTTGACAGGAATGCCTTTGCATTCTTTTCACCAAAGTGCCCCACAGCAACTGGCTTCCACTGTTGAACGTTTGTATGACTCTGGAACCACTGCCGAAAAAGGTCGTCGGAGGTGGACATAATCACCATAGCAGTCCGGTCCTGCTTGGTCATGGCTATGAAACATCCCAGGAGGGTGCCTACATCCTGGTCAGACCACTGCTTCAACCTGTCAACTTCATCGATGACAAAAATTGGCCTCCTATGCTGGTTTTCAGCTGCCAGGCTCATAAACCAACTCATGACAGAGCCCAAGTCCGTCACTGGCTCCGCTTTTAACAGCTCTAGAAAGCTCGATGCATCATGGTTTACGCCCTTGAATGTCAGCTTCTTCAGATCGACACTGATACCTCCGATCGTCACATCTTTGAGCCAAGAAGCCCAAGTTCGCATCTGTCTTGCAATCTCTGCAGCAGCCTGCTCCGGGGAACTGAAGTCTGCAATGTCGACGTAGAAGAGCGGCAACTGGGCTTTCAGTAGAGGGCTGGCATCCCACATCTTCCTGAGCTGCTTGAGTAGAGCGGACTTGCCTGAATCGTTGGGGCCTATCACTACAGCGATGCGGTTGAGGCCTCCCTCAATCTGTGTGAGCAGATCAGTCATCTCTTCGTGCCTATCAAAGAAACCCTCGTCGTCGTTGAGCGATTTCTTCAGCTCCCTCACCGCTTCAGCCGCCATAGCCGCCAACCCCTAAAATGTGATAAACCTAAAGTCTAATAATCTGAGCTCGAAAGTTGGTAAAATAGAAGCTCCGACGTGGGTCGCAACACGTGGTACCAGAAATGAGTCCACGTGACATTTGGTATCAGAGAGACTAGTTGACTGTTTTAAATTTCTTTAGTTTATTTTCAAACAGATGAACTGCGAAATGGGATGTCAATTCAAAACATGTTGGAAGATCCAGATTCCTTGCTGGCTACAAGTTGTTGTAAGCTAAACGAATGCTAATCTGTAGGAAGAGTTTTTCTTCCTGGCTAACTAGAGAACCTAACTGAAAACTCTGGAGAACTAGTTTACCAATAGAGAGAGCTTGAAGAGCTTGAAAACCTGTAATGTGGTTTTGGAAATTCTTGGTTATTGGTAGGCTCGTAAAGGCTCTGGGTGAACCAGATAACCTTTAGTGTATGAGCTCCACAATGCTCAGATATGGAACTGAAGTTATTAGATTGTGGAAGCATTGAAATACAGGCATAACCAAAAGGCTTGGTGGAGTGAAACCACCTCATGTTTGGATAGAACTTGTCCCTGTGAGAGATGTGGATTTCTGGTTGTCGAAGTTTTTTGATTATCTAGGATTAGTGGCTTGTGGGGGAAATAACTAACCGAACGCTAGTGAATATGCAAGTCACTGAAGGCAGCTGAAACTCTATTAGGTGGTTTTCATCAAAGAGTGTAATTTCACTTGGAGAAACAAGATGGTATGTCTTTTGGCAATGTCGGTTGACATAATGGGCGGACGTGGTGGGTGGAGTACCAGTTGTTTTAGTACCCTATTGAGAGAGGAGAGCGCTGACGCTACTAACCACTTAGTGCCAAAGGAAACCTTGCAATGCGAATTAAGCTGAGTCTATTGTGCCTGGTATCTGGTTTATTAGAACTTGTGTAATAAGAGTTTAAATATTGACAAAATGAAATTTGTTGCCATTGAAAGAGTAATGGAACTTAGCATAGAGGTGGATGAAGTCCTCTTTTGCTTTGTTGATATATTACTTAATTGTTATCTATCTTCATAGGAGCGACCTCGGTGGGTGAAGAAGTACCAAATGCAAAGGAACTCTTGGTTGGGAGGTCTTAGACCTCCTGAGCAAGTTGTGAAAAAAGCTAATGGGAATGGCACTTGCAGGTCGAACAGGCAAGCAGTTACGTTGACGAGTTTATGGCCTGGTATATGAAGATGCACGAGCTAGATATGTACCAGAGCATGCGTGAGAACAAGGAGTTCAGTGCAACAATTTTACATTCTCAGTTATTTGAGTTCGAAAAGAATGCAAATATTTAATTGGTTTCTCTATTTATATTTATCTATTTATGGTTTTCAAATGGAAAAATGATGCACTCCCTGAAAATTTCGAAGAGTAGATGGATGTTGCAACATGTGGAGCAGGCTCATGTGTGACATTAGCGATTTTGAAGTGTAGTACTGTCCTTTCTGGCTGGATTTCCTTCCCGGTGGCTTTCCGGAATGGGAGATGGCCAGCTACAAGATAAGGATTATCGGTGAGAGATATTGTGGAAGAACGAGAGTGCTGTGAGGAAGCTCCAGGTGAAGATGGATATCAAGTCAGCAAGATCGGCCACCAAGGGCAGCAAGGGCCAGGCTTTTTCTTCAGCCCCGTCGCCGAAGGTGATATGTTGAGGATGCTGATGCCAGAGAAATCATTCATGCAGATTCAGGAAACCTTGCAGTCCAGTAGTACTTCAAAGCTGGGACCTTTTCCGCCAGGACTGAAGGAGCTTGAGGATTGGATTGTCAGTCACAGGTCAAGCTGAACTGTTCACTTTTTTGTGCAAAGTCTCTACCGAAATGTGTCCAGGGAGCTGTTCATCTTCTCATCATCGATTCACCTATTAGAGGATACTAGACAGAGCTGGCTACGTGGTGGATTTGCCAGCTTTGAATAACACTGCAGAAACTTGCAAGCTGAAGTTCCTGCAGACAAACTACGCGCACACGGCAAGGTCCTGGGGATACTGTAATTTTAGAAAGGTTATTCTAAGTTACGTGGCGACCAGCACAAATCGTTGATGTGGCAGGACTCGCTAACGTGGTGGGACTCGCTGATATGGCAGGACACGCTGATGTGGCGGGACTCACTGACACGGCAGGACTCGAGAGCAGAGGCTCTAAGAGGTAAAACAAACTCTGTGTTGAGTTAAGTAGCGGCCAACACAAATCGCTGATGTGCCAGGACTCCTGGAAAGGTAACTCATCCTTTCGAAATTGGTACTTTTTAATGTTGGTTTTTTCAGGAAAGCATCATTGCCATGTGTATTTTCGGTTCCCCCTACTCCAAGGTTGCAAAGAACAAGGACATCCTGAACACATGCTACACTCCTTGACGAGCCAGAAGCTTTCCAGTTCCCATGGTATACTATTGTTTGTTACCAGATAGCAGCGAAAATAGTTGAGGAGTTCAAAGTTTACGAGAGACAAATTCGCTATATATATATATATATATATATATATATATATATATATATATATATATATATATATATATATATATATATATATATATATATATATATATATATATATATATATATATATATATAATTATGAATATTTTTATAAATTTGACATATTCCATAAATAAACACAACTTTATTTATTATTATACATATTTAACTTATTATTAAAGATAAATAAATACATAGCGTACATAGCGTTATTTACCTCCTCTTCCATTTTGTGTTAGAACCCGCACCAGAATATTCTTTGTATGGAAAAGAATATTATGTACCGATTAGAATTCCCCATACACTCGGCAGGAGGAAGATAGAAACATAGCTTGACCGCCACTCTTCGTGACAACATTCCTCAGTGGAATGTAACAAAACATAGAGTTGACTATTTTCATAGAATAGGTTTTACGTAATGTGTTTTGCGAACATTTTGTTAATTATATGTTAAATACTAACTCACGTTGCTTAACTTCACCGACAATGTCTCCCTTTACTCTGCTTCTGCTTCAATTGATTCATTCCCAGTTGCAAGAGTTTCAATGAGGTTATCTCTTTATCCCGCTGCTGCATTTACATTAGCGTTGGATCTCCTCGCGTTCGGCCTTTCAGTCGGTTCTTCGTCCACAAGTTATCATGTAAGCCGCCTTCACGTCGCCCTTGAATTCACGTTTTCTGACTGTAGGAAACCATTCAAGACGAGATTTCATCTGATCACACCAGAATCAGATGCACTCCCAAGAGAGGAGGGGTAGCAAGCGGATCAGCTATCGGAGCTGCCGTGTGTTTGCTTCTTGGCCAAATCACCGCCACAGCCGCCACAAAATGCACTTGCTGTTCTTCGTCGCTTCATCGACACGGACGCAAGATCGCTGCAATTATCCTCCTCACTCTTTCCTGGTATTTTCAGCAAAAGAAAAAAAACAACAAATCATTTATTTAAAAGATCAACTTTTGTGGTAATGGCAGGATCTCTTTCGTGATCGCTGAGATCTTCTTGAACACGGCGGTCAGCCTCAGCAGTTATCAAGTGGAAAGGTTTGAAGAATCTGGTTGCAGCACTGTTCTGCAAGGCGTGAGTGTTGTGGGTGCTGCTTTTACACTCGTCACTTTGCTGCTCAGCATTGCCTACTTGTCCGTCTACATGAGCGGCATGAAGAAACCGAAGAAGAAGACGAGCACTGACGAAACAAGCCGGATTGTTGATATGGAAGTCGCAAAACCAGTTTAGATAGAAGCTGTAGGCTAGCGCTGTATAAGATCGATGATTCAGTTGACAGAGATGTGCGTTTCTAGCACCACCATCAGCCCAGCTCTGTACGTCTCGCTGCTGAAATCCTGCGCTCTTACCAGAGACTTAGCCAGAGGGAAACAACTTCACAGAGAGATCCATGCGTCCTGGCAAACAAACAACACAGTCCTCTGCAATCTGCTCGTTCAGATGTACGGGAAATGCGGGAGTTTGCCTGATGCTCGCGACGTGTTCGATAGTGTTAAACAGCCTAATGCGTTCACTTGGAACATCACGATCCGTACATATACAGAGAATGGTCAGTTGCTGCAAGCGAGGATTTTTTTCGGCAAGATGCCGATCAAGAATGTGGTTTCCTGGACGACAATGCTGGAAGCCTACAGTGAAGAGGCTGAGGATCTGTTGGAATGTGATGATATCTGGTTACGCTCACACGAAGCGTTTTCGCGAGGCCGAGACATTGTTCGAAGAGATGCCGAGGAGAGATCTGGTTTCGTGGTCGCTGATGATCTCCGCGTATGCTCAAAATGGCGACACCGCTCGAGCAAAGGTTTTGTTTGACGGAATGCCTCAGCAGAATCTCATCGCCAGGAACACGATCGTAGCTGCGTACGCTTCGGAGGGCGATTTGGGACTTGCGAGGATGGTGTTTGATGCGATGCCGGAGAAGAATGTCGTATCGTGGACGACGATCGTTAGAGCGTATGCGCAAAACGGTCATTTACGTGAGGCAAGGGTGTTGTTTGAAAAGATGCCTGAGAGGGATGTCGTGACCTGGAACTCAATGGTCACAGCCTATGCTCAGAACGGACTGGTTGATCAAGCTGTGGATGTCTTGAATCAGATGCCTTGCAGAGATGTGGTTTCCTGGCACGTTACGATTCCGGCGTATTCGCACAACGGGCATAATCAGCAGGCCATCGCGTTGTTTCGAAAGATGGATCTTGAAGGCTTGCAACCCAACGAGATCACCTTCGTTACGATCTTCGACGCCTGTGCAACGGTCTCGTTGCTCAGAGTCGGGAAGCTGATCCACGCCGAAGCCGTCCCCGCCGGATTCAGCGCGTTGGAGCCGGTTTCGACGTCGATCCTGACAATGTATGGGAAGTGCGGCAGTCTGGAGGAGGCTCGTCGGATCTTCGATGCGATGCCTGAAAGACGCACGGTGTCTTGGAGTGCGATGATATCTGCATATCCAGAGAGTGGTCATGGCCTGCTAGCTCTGGATCTCTTCAAGGAGATGGGTTTGGATGGAGTTGAACCGGATGGAATCACCTCCATCGCGGTGCTTTCGTCTTGTTGTCACTGGGAGCTGAAAGACGGGTGGACGTATTTTGTGAGCTTGAGAAACGACTATGGTGTTGATCCCATGGCTGAGCATTACATCTGCATCGCCGATCATCTGGGAAGAGCAGGAAGGCTGGCTGAAGCTCAGGATTTGATTCACAACATGCCCTTCCATCCTAGTCCCGTTGCTTGGACTCAGCTTCTTAGCGCATACAAGACTCATGGGAATAACCAAACGAAGCTGAATGCAGATGAGCTTGCTCAACAAGTACAGAAGTTGGATGAAACGAACTCGTCCTGTTACGTGCTGCTCTCAAGCACATACGAATCTTGATTTGAAATAGGGTTTCAACATTTCAGTGAGAACTATAGTGGGAAATTTTCAAACTTAATTTCCCGGACGACATGAGTTGATCAAGATAAGTCCTCTCAGATTTTCAGGACAAATGACATTAAAACTAGGATTACAAAATCTTAAATATATTATTTTGGAATCTTATTGAAAATAAAATATTTGTTAACAAGTTTTCCTATCATTCATTCATTCGTTCAATCCATTCATTCATTCATTTCCTATCATTCATTCATTCATTCATCACAGAAACACTAGAGAGTAATAGCTATATGCTAATGGTTATGTTAGCGTTTTCTTCAGGTGTCATTCATCCATCAATCACAAAGATTTGAGTTTGTTTGTTGTTAAAATTTAAATTTATAATCTTACATATACTGCAGTCATGACTTCCACAATTCATGCTGCAATCAAGCAGGACCTCCAGGCACTTCATGGCACACTGACAGAGGACATACCCACAACCAAGTTATGGACATCCCTCTATCATGTAAGCATTTGTTAAATTTTGATTTTGTGCGGATTTTAAATTACTTGATCAGGGTCTGGATGGCTTGTGTGCAAAGTGGGTAAGTGGCGCTGCTGCTGGGGTAAGAGATCCAACGAGCTTGCCTTGAATTATGTTTGAATTGAAACTGATCGCAGGGACATCAACACTAGCTTGACGACGATGGAAGGGTGAGAACTCCGAGCGTTCTGCGAGATCACCGAACTGGAGTACATTCTCGAAGTGTCGGGCCGGCTCACTCTCGAGTTTATGGACGTGTACAGGATTCGCGGCAGCAGCTTCAGCATTGACTTGCAGACTATATAGTGACTACGAGATCATTCACGAGCACACCTTTTGTCCCGAGTTGGGAGGATCTTTTTATACCATTCTTTCTAGAGCTCCCATGATACTCCCTCGGAGCCAAACAAATAAAGGAATTAAAGGTACCTCTTTGGAAAAGTGGCGATTCTACGTAAAAAATCACGGGTGCAGTGATCGGATCGGAGCTCTTGCTCTCGAAGCTGAGCCAGAGGTTCTCGTTTTCAAGTCGAGGGTTGACCACTGCTGGGTTTTAGTTTTTGCTCCACGGACGCAACGCTTTCTCCACTTTGCAGGGCTTGGAGAGGCCAAATAAAGGAATAGAGAAGAAAGAAACTCACTGTGAATCCAAGATATCACAGCTGTTCCTCCTTCGTGTTTTATGTGGCTGCTTTCCTGTGGAGCTCCAACAGTAAGTCAGTCAGTGTAGCGCAGCTCTTGAAGGAAAGTGTTGATAGATTTTACCATTTGCAGCGAAGAGAGCTGCCAAGGATCACTGTATTACGTCCAAGCTATACGAGATTGTACCAAGCAGCGCAGAAAATCCTGGCAGGACCTCTCTCGGAGATCTTGCTCCCGGATTGCAGCAAATTTCGGAGCAGGGCTGCCCGAGCTGACGTCCCTTTCTCTCGCGAGCGTGAACCGACGAATTACCGAGCGAGCTCATGGTGGCCATGGGGCCGAAACTAGAGGAGCTCAGTCGCATTGCAGGTAACCAACCGTCTGTGCTGCTTTGGCTTCTTACTGAGATCCGCGGGATGTTTTTTGTGCAGCGTTACGGTGGCGGCTGTTGCAGCTTGCGGTTCGACTCTGAAAAGCTTTGCACTTCGAAGGCTTGGAGCTTACAGACGTCACCTTACAGCACTAGGACCTCAGGTGAATCTTTACTGCCTTTCTTCTCATCTGTTACTTACACAAGCTTTGTTTTCTTCTCAGTGACGAGGTACTGGCGGACTTCGTCACGGCCGCTGGAAGCTCGCTGCGCAACCTGTCCATCGCAAGCGTGAAAGCGTTCGTTCTTTGTCAGGCCCTTTTGCCGCAGAGCGACCGAGGACGGGTTTGGATTCCTTGTCCCAATCTCGTGGAGCTCAGACTCTTTGCTGCTCGTCTTTAAAAAACTCAAATAAACAAAAAAACGCGATTCTTTAAACAATTTTTAAGAAAATTGTCCGCCATAGCCAGGGTTAGTGTGAGCAAGTTTTCCCTCCATGTAAAATCTAGGGTTCGTCGTCTCCGCAGCTTCCATGGATGTTGTGATTGTGGCGGTCGCGGGTGCTTGTGTTGTCATTGCGGCAACTTGCATTGCAACCATGCTCATCATCAACCTCCTCACCAAGAGCGTCATCACCATGGCTTCTTCAACCAGGGGAGCAGCGAAGGAGGATCTACAGGCTCTCCGTGGAGCTCTCAAGGAGGATCTGCAGGCTCTCCGTGGAGTTCTCAAGGCGGACCTTCCCAGCCTGAGGCAGGTGATACAGGATTTTGGTGCCTTGAGGGAGGAACTGAGGATGCTGCGAGATGCTCTGCGAGCTGAGGCAGCCAAGGGCCAAGCTAATCCGGTAAGCATTTGTGAAGTTCTGGCTTGTGCGAATCTTGAAATTATTTGCTTGATCATCCAGTGGTGTGCAAACCGCACAGAAGTGGCGCTGCTGCTGCTGACCATGTTCAGTGATCGGTAGTTGATTCATAGGAAGTTCGACAAAACTGTTTTGTTTTTCGACAGGGAAAAATCTTCTGATTCGGATCTTCGTTTCCTCGAAATAAAATGACTCATGTCTTGAGCTTCTGATAGTAAGTCATTTTCGGGCAAGAACATAGACATGGACGTGGCTTGGCAGTGTCTAATAGTACTTTCTTGTAGGTGGATCAGTGTAACTATTTATTCAGCAGACCCGGATTTCACTGGGTACACTTCAATTGCTTTGTATGATAACGGAACACGATTCAATCAAAGCTTGGACCTGAAACCTGGAGAGCTGAACGAGGAGATCGAGGTGATCTCCATTTCTTTATCATGCATTTCCTGAGTCGCGGCCCTTGCGAGAGAGCCACTGGCCAGCTCTGGAACGAGTTCCTACAGCACAAGTTCTTGCCCCGGAGGTACCATGAATTTTTCTCCAGGAATGGGACGCCCACCGCTGATGAAAATGACGATGTTTGTCGTTCCCACTCCGCGACGTGCAAGTTGCGGAGGTACTGTGTGTCGCGAAGTCCTTTATTGGTTTTCCATGTTGACAAGAAGATGATTTGCAGGTGTAAGAACGTTGACAACAAGCTCTTGCAGCAACTGCGTGTTCGCGTGATGCGAAAGTGTCCAAGCAGTTAACTGCCGCGGACGTTCCTACTCTTTCGGGATCAGGAGCATTCTCGCTTTTGGAATGTAAGCCTTGTCTTTTCGAATCTTGCCGTTGCTGATCCGAGCAAACTCCTGGCAGCGGAGCAAAGAAATGCTACAAGTATCTCTATGAAGCGAATAGAACAAATGCATTGGCAAGCTGACCACGTTCATGCTCTCGAACTTGGTGGTGAATTTGCAATGCATCGCAGTAGAAATAGGCTTCGCCTTCATAGCTGCGGAGGTTTGGACTATGCAAGAACCTTGGTTTCGATCACTGTGCTTAAAAACCTGGCTTTTTTGTGGGAGATAGCCGATTTGTCTGTAAGTAGTTCGAACACTTTAGTTGCATCAGCTTCTAACGATTCCTCCTGTTTTTTGTTTTGATTCGTTTTGCTTCTGCCTTTAGTGGGGATTACCAGATGGTGTTCCGGTTGCAACACTTCGTGACCACGTAACGGCCATCAAGTTTAGTCCCCGACCTGAAGACGGAACCTCTGTCAATTCACGTGTCTACATGCCGAAGCCGGATGTCGAGCCCGAATGTAAAGAGTCTGCCGATGTTTTTTTGGTCTTCTAAAAGCTTGTTTCCAGCAGCAGGAGCTGAGAATCGAGCACAGGCTACAAATCAGATTCAGTGCTGTGCGTTTAATGCAGATGGCTCATACTTAGTCACTGGGAGTTCGGACAAGCTTGCCAGAGTAAGCATTTAAAGTGGACTTTTTATATTTCTAACAATTGTTGGAACAGGTTTGGGACGCAAGAATGTGGGCGGACGAGTACACCGGAAGGCCAAATCATGAGCATCCAGAAACAGATGGTTTTATCGCGGACGAGAATCCCACTGAAGCTGTTTCGTCTGACGACAAACAGGGATACATATGGAAGAAGGGGAAAGCAGCCAAGCGTGCTCGCATGCCTTATCACAGCAGCAGCAGCAGCTCCGAAGAGGATAAACTGGTAGACGTTCCTTGTGATACCAAGAAAGGCCTTGAAGCGACTCGTGTAGAAAATGGAGACACAAAGGTGGTGGCAAGGGCGATCATTAGCGAGTCCGAGTCGGAGAGGTCTCTTTCAGCTGACTACCTTGACGAACAGCAGAGACGAGAGCAGAATCACACTCTATGAGCAATGAGTCCTTACAGAATGGAGAAGCTCCAGATGCTGACAATGACCCTGATTACCACGAAGAGGTTTCACCAGGCAGTAACAGTGAGTCGCTGGAGGATGCTTACAAGCCCGAGGAAGAGCAGGCAGGACGTGGACGATATACAAATGAAGCGCAATATGAACAAGGCCGTCTACTCAAGGAGAAGGCCTCGCAAAGTTGCGACTAAGACCGAGTGTTATGAGGCCGACGAGCACGCTTCAGGTGGCCGCAGGAGAAGTACACGGCTGGCGCAGGGTTCGCGTGGTTAGTCTCTCCAACAGCAGGTCCACAAGAAGGAGGAGAAACGTCGGCCGTCCCTCACACTGGGAAGCTAGCTCGTCTTACGACGACTCGGACTGGGATAGAAGCAGCGACGACGATGGACGCCGAAAGCCCGAAAGAAGAACTTCGAGCAGACTGAAAGTGAAGCTGCAGAAGAACGTTGGGTCGAGGTACAAGGATTTCCACGTGAGGAGAAACCTCAGCACGGTGCATCGGAGTCCGAGCAACGTGTCCTGGTTACAATTGACAGAGGTGGAGCGGACACGCTACATCCCACAGTATGGTGATGAGGTGGTGTACTTCCGACAGGTAAGAGATCCAACGAGCTTGTCTTGAATTATGTTTGAATTGAAACTGTCGATCGCAGGGACATCAAGACTACTTAGACAACAAGCGGCTCGACGACGATGGTCCCTGGAGAAGCGTGAAAAGGGAACTGCAAGCGGTCGAGTTCTGCGAGATCACCGGACTGGAGTACATCATTCTCGAAGTGTTGGGGAACACTTCTTGCCGGCTGACTCTCGAGTTCATGGACGGGCACAGGATTCGCGGCAGCAGCTTCAGCGTCGACTTGCCGGAGCTGACAGACTTCGCCGACTTTATAGTGGAGAGAAGCCGCTACGAGGCCTTCATGGCCAGGAACTGGTCCAGTCGGGACAAGTGCCAAGTGTGGTGGAGGTCGGACGAGGAAGAAGGTGGTCGCTGGTGGGAAGGGACGATAACTCAGGTGAAGGGAAAGTCGCCCGAGTTTCCAAACAGCCCCTGGGACAGCATCAGTGTGCTGTACAAGGACGAGCCATCGACGACGAACCACTGCCCCTGGGAGCTTCACGACGTTGAGAATCCTTTAACTTGGGAGTCGCCACAGATCGAGCAGGACAAGGTGCGTGAGCTGCTCAGGTGCTCCACTCGAACCAATCCAAGGTTTGTTTTTGTGCGATCGATCATAGACTCGAGGAATGTTTCGGTTTTGGTCTTGGGTTGACGAGCTTTTGCTTTTCACAGGACGAGTATGGCTTGTGGAGGTTGCAGCAGGCCGTGAGCAAGCCGGATTTTCTTGACAGGCAAGTTGGAAAAATCTCTTGCGATTGAGAAAGAAGCTAAAGGTTTTCAAACAATGCAGGATTGCGCTACCAATCTCCATGGACGTGATGGAGAACAACTATTATCGTAGCGTGATGGCGGTGTCACACGATCTTAGGATACTGATCGACAACTTCCGGACATATTTTGGGAAACAGCATTCGTCGGTGCTCAAGGTGGAGCGGCTGAGAGAACGCTTCTCTGAGGCACTGCAAATGTGAGCTTTGTAAAAAAATTCTCGAGGTCTTAGTTAACGAAGAATAGAAACATTTTCCTTACACATCCATCTACATTGTCAAACACGAGATTATTCCGAGGATCACTCTCATACCTGGAAAACCATGAGGAAGAAGGAAGCCGAGGAGATGGGGCGCCATTCTTCTCCTCTTCCTCCTCCTCTTGTCATCGAGGCCGCGTACCACTGACAAGGAACTCGAGTTCCCGCCAGAGCAGTGTACGAAGGGCGGCCCACGCCAGTTACGTAACATCGCCTTTATTTCAAAAGGGACCGCTAGCTTAGGGTTCTTGTGAAGATAGGGCGGGTGGCTCGAAATTCTGGTAAGCGTCATTTGCGTTTTGCATAGCTGCTGCAAACCCTGATCAAAGCTTGATTTCATTGCTGCAAAGCCTGGCGATGGAGTTTTTGATTGCCATGGTGCTTGTTAACACCATTGCGATCAGTGTGCTATGCATCGTGACCACAGCTTGTGTGCTGGTGTTGGCATCTGCCATGCGTGCAAGCATGGGAGTCGTGACTGAGAATCTCCAGGTGATGGCCTCTGGCATTCGTGTGGCAGTGAGGGAGGATGTGCATGAGATCCATGGTGCCTTGAAGGAGGACTTTGGTTCCCTGGCTGGGGCAGTGAATGTTGCGGCTATGTGTGCTGCAATCAAGAAGGACCTTCAGGCACTTCACGATGCAGTGAAGGAGGATGTTATAGCAGCCCACAACCAAGTCATGGTCGACTGTTCCACATCCCTTTATCAGGTAAGCATTTGTCAGATCTAGATTTTGTGCGGCTTTTAAAATACTGGATCAGGGTTTGGATGGCTTGATCAGGTCGTGTCCAAAGCGCAAAGTGGCGCTGCTGCTGGTTCAGTGATTCATAGAAACGATGAACTGTTCTTTTTTTTTCTCAGGAATTTTTTTTCTGATTCGGATCTTCGGAAATAAATGTCGTTAGCTTCTGATAGTAAGTCTTTTTCCGGGCAAGAACATAGACATGAACGTGGCCTGGCAGTGTCTAATTGGTACTTTCTTGTAGGTGGATGAGACCCTTTGGAGCTGCCAATGGGTTCAATTGCTTTGTATGGTAAAGGAACATGTGATATTTCTGCGCTTTTCAAGGATTCTCTGTAACAGTTTATTTCCGAATGGAGTTGGCTGTTTTGATTTCACTCCTCAAACTTGCGGACTTTCAAGAAGGAACTCAAGGCTGTGTGACGGAAATGCAAAAGTTGAAATCGCTTGCAAAAGTTTGTCTTTGTTGCTTTGATGAGGGACTAATATGATATTCACATTTCTATATTAATCAATATTAAGGATAATGATCAGTTTCTATTTGTCCGGTTTGTCAAACACACCATCACAAAACATTTTCATAGCCACATGGTGGGTAGGCGACCTTGCCATGACGAAATCATAGTTCATGGCAGGCCCCCTGTCAAAGTCTCAAAGATCATCACAAACCAGTCCCCTCGCATGAACATGTATCACATTGAAGGAGAGCATTGCTTCGATCTGCCGCCAGCACTCTGAGATGTCTGACTTGAAGATACGGTGGCAAATCTTCGACAGCCCAACTACACCATGCGCCACAATGAGCTTCATCACCTCCCTGAAGTTAGCCTCTTCCCAGCCATGACCATGCTCCAGTCCTAGGAGAATCATGGGCAGCTTTGCCACCACCATGTCTTCAAGAACCACCTCCATGTTGCTTTCTTGCCTGAACACATCAATCACACAGTTCTCAAATGTCAAAGGGCAGCTGCCACAAATTTCATACACCCTCTGCTCTGACCACGAGTCGGGAGCTGTGGCATTTACTATTATGCGTTTGGTGACGAAGCTTGACAGGAATGCTTTGGCATTATTTTCACCAAAGCGCCCCACATCAATTGACTTCCACTGTTGAACGTTTTTTTCATGGCGTTCGCATTTTGGTGAAAAGAACACCAATGCATTCCTGTCAAACCTCGTCGCCAAACACATAACAACAAATGTCACAACTCCTGATTCGTAGTTAGAACAAAGAGCATGTGAGATTAGTGGCAACTACCCTTTAGCTCACTCTCTTTCGCTCTCTCTCACTCTCTCTCTCTCTCTCTCTTGGGGGAGAGAGAGCTCCCAGGAGCTCTTTCTCCCAGGAGCTCTCAAGAGAGCTCCTGGGAGCTCTCCTGCTCCCAGGAGGAGCATGAGAAGAGGGCTCCTCCTGCAGAAGAGGGCTCCAGCTCAGAAGAGGGCTGGCATCCCACATCTTCCTGAGCTGCTTGAGCAGAGCGGACTTGCCTGAATTGTTGGGGCCTATCACTACAGCGATGCGGTTGAGGCCTCCCTCAATCTGTGTGAGCAGATCAGTCATCTCTTTGTGCCTATCAAAGAAACCCTCGTCGTCGTTGTGTGATTTCTTCAGCTCCCCATAGCCGCCAAACCCTAAAATGTGTTAAACCTAAAGTCGCCCGTTACATCCGCGCGGTTAATAATCTGAGCTCGAAAGTTCAAGTCAGAACGTGGGTCGAGGCTGCTTGAGAGGGCAGCCGCAACACGTGGTACCAAAAATGGGTCCACGTGACATTTGGTATCAGAGAGACTAGTTGACTGTTTTACTTTTCTTTAGTTTATTTTCAAACAGATGAACCAACTCAAAACATGTTGGAAGATCCAGATTCCTTGCTGGCTGCAAGTTGTTGTAAGCTAAACGAATGCTAATCTGTAGGAAGAGTTTTTCTTCCTGGCTAACTAGAGAACCTAACTGAAACTCTGGAGAACTAGTTTACCGATAGAGAGAGTTTGAAGAGCTTGAAAACCTGTAATGTGGTTTTGGAAATTCTTGGTTATTGGTAGGCTTGTAAAGGCTCTGGGTGAACCAGATAACCTTTAGTGTATGAGCTCCACAATGCTCAGATATGGAACTGAAGTTATTAGATTGTGGAAGTGTTGAAATGCAGGCATAACCGAAAGGCTTGGTGGAGTGAAACCACCTCATGTTTGGATAGAACTTGTCCCTGTGAGAGATGTGGATTTCTGGTTGTCGAAGTTTTTTGATTATCTAGGATTAGTGGCTTGTGGGGGAAATAACTAACCGAACGCTAGTGAATATGCAAGTCACTGAAGGCAAATGAAACTCTATTAGGTGGTTTTCATCAAAGAGTGTAATTTCACTTGGAGAGGGTCGAGTGAAACAAGATGGTATGTCTTTTGGCAATGTCGGTTGACATAATGGGCGAACGTGGCGGGTGGAGTACCAGTTGTTTTAGTACCCTATTGAGAGTGGAGAGCGCTGACACTACTAACCACTTAGTGCCAAAGGAACAAAGGAAACCTTGCAATGCGAATTAAGCTGAGTCTATTCTGCCTGGTATCTGGTTTCTATCTGGTTTATTGGAACTTGTGTAATAAAAGTTTAAATATGACAAAATGAAATTTGTTGCCATTGAAAGAGTAATGGGACTTAGCATAGAGGTGGATGAAGTCCTCTTTTGCTTCGTTGATATATTACTTAATTGTTATCTATCTTCATAGGAGCGACCTCGGTGGGTGAAGAAGTACCAAATGCAAAGGAACTCTTGGTTGGGAGGTCTTAGACCTCCTTAGCAAGTTGTGAAAAAAGCTAATGGGAATGGCATTTGCAGGTCGAACAGGCAAGCAGTATACGAGTTTATGGCCTGGTATATGAAGATGCACGAGCTAGATATGTACCAGAGCATGCGTGAGAACAAGGAGTTAAGTGCAACAATTTTACATTCTCAGTTATTTGAGTTCGAAAAGAATGACATTCAGGCAAGTCTTTAATTGGTTTCTTTATTTATATTTATCTATTTATGGTTTTTCAAATGGAAAAATGATGCACTCCCTGAAAATTTCGAAGAGTAGATGGATGTCGCAACATGTGGAGCAGGCTCATGTGTGACATTAGCGATTTTGAAGTGTAGTACTGTCCTTTCTGGCTGGGTTTCCTTCCCAGTGGCTGTCCGGAATGGGAGATGGCCAGCTACAAGATACACAAGGATTATCGGTGAGAGCTATTGTGGAAGAACGAGAGTGCTGTGAGGAAGCTCCAGGTGAAGATGGATATCAAGTCAGCAAGATCGGCCACCAAGGGCAGCAAGGGCCAGGCTTTTTCTTCAGCCCCGTCACCAGATCGGAAGAAGGTGATATGTTGAGGATGCCGATGCCATAGAACGGAAACGGGAGTTTGGAAATCAGTCATGCAGATTCAGGAAACCTTGCAGTCCAGTAGTACTTCAAAGCTGGGAGACCTTTTCCGCCAGGACTGAAGGATTGGATTGTCAGTCACAGGTCAAGTTGAACTGTTCACTTTTTTGTGCAAAGTCTCTACCGAAATGTGTCCAGGGAGCTGTTGATCTTCTCATCATCGATTTGCCTACTAGATGCGTTGCTGGTTGATCAGTATACGGAGTTCTCGGATGCTTTACTGAAGAACTTGGTGAACCCTGCTTTCGGGATACTAGACAGAGCTGGCTACGTGGTGGATTTGCCGGCCTGGGGATACCGTATTTTTAGAAAGGTTATTCTGAGTTAAGTGGCGACCAGCTAAAATCGTTGATGTGGCAGGACTCGCTAACGTGGTGGGACTCGCTGATATGGCAGGACACGCTGATGTGGCGGGACTAGGACTCGAGAGCAGAGGCTCTAAGAGGTAAAACAAACTCTGTGTTGAGTTAAGTAGCGGCCAACACAAATCGCTGATGTGCCAGGACTCCTGGAAAGGTACTTTCGAAATTGGTACTTTTTAATGTTCGTTTTTTCAGGAAAGCATCGTTGACATGTGTATTTTCGGTTCCCCCTACTCCAAGGTTGCAAAGAACAAGGACATCCTGAACACATGCTACACTCCTTGACGAGCCAGAAGCTTTCCAGTTCCCATGGTATACTATTGTTTGTTACCAGATAGCAGCGAAAATAGTTGAAGAGTTCAAAGTTTACGAGAGACAAATTCGCTCACGTCACTGTATAACAATGCATTCATTGACGATGAGGCACTGACTGGTGGAAACAAGTCTTCATGAAACAAATTGAGAAGAGTTATGTTTATATTATAGTTTATATTTAGTTATATATATATATATATATATATATATATATATATATATATATATATATATATATATATATATGATGACAAAATAATAATTATTTTTTTATAAAATCCTTAAACTTGACACAATACGCACCAGAATATTCTTTGTATGGAAAAGAATATTATGTACCGATTAGAATTCCCCATACGCTCGGCAAACTGCACTCGAGGAAACATAGCTTGACCGCCACTCTTTGTGACAGCATTCCTCAGTGGAATGTAACAAAACATAGAGTTGACTATTTTCATAGAATAGGTTTTACTTAATGTTCATTGCAAACATTTTGTTAATTACTAATTAACTTCACCGACAATGTCTGCTTCTGCTTCAATTGATTCATTCCCAGTTGCAAGATCCAATGAGGTTATGTCTTTATCCCGCTGCTGCATTTACATTAGCGTTGGATCTCCTCGCGTTCGGCCTTTCAGTCGGTTCTTCCTCCACAAGTTATCACGTAAGCCGCCTTCACTTCGCCCTTGAATTGGCTGTAGGAAACCATTCAAGACGAGATTTCATCTGATCACACCAGAATCAGATGCACTCCCAAGAGAGGAGGGGTAGCAAGCGGATTAGCTATCGGAGCTGCCGTGTGTTTGCTTCTCGGCCAAATCACCGCCACAGCCGCCACAAAATGCACTTGCTGTTCTTCGTCGCTTCATCGACGCGGATGCAAGATCGCTGCAATTATCCTCCTCACTCTTTCCTGGTATTTTCAGCAAAAAAATAAAAAATAAAAAATCATTTATTTAAAAGATCAACTTGGCAGGATCTCTTTCGTGATCGCTGAGCTCTTCTTGAACACGGCGGCCAGCCTCAGCAGTTATCAAGTGGAAAGGTTTGAAGAATCTGGTTGCAGCACTGTTCTGCAAGGCGTGAGTGTTGTCGGTGCTGCTTTTACACTCGTCACTTTGCTGCTCAGCATTGCCTACTTGTCCGTCTACATGAGATGAAGAAACCGAAGAAGAAGACGAGCACCGACGAAACAAGCCGGATTGTTGATATGGAAGTCGCAAAACCAGTTTAGATAGAAGCTGTAGGCTAGCGCTGTATAAGATCGATGATTCAGTTGACAGAGATGTGCGTTTCTAGCACCACCATCAGCCCAGCTCTGTACGTCTCGCTGCTGAAATCCTGCGCTCTTACCAGAGACTTAGCCAGAGGGAAACAACTTCACAGAGAGATCCATGCGTCCTGGCAAACAAACAACACAGTCCTCTGCAATCTGCTCGTTCAGATGTACGGGAAATGCGGGAGTTTGCCTGTATATGCACGGATCATGATGTTCCAAGTGAACGCTATTTAACACTATCAAACACGTCGTGAGCGTCAGGCTTTACCATTTTTGCAGCGAAGAGAGCTGCCAAGGATCGAGTAACGCTAGAAGTCGAGGAGATGGAGCGCCATCCTTTCGAAGGCGCGCCGTGCCTGGACTCCTCGATCCGGAAGCCCATTATCAGGTAAGAGATCGTGATCGTGGTGCGCCCGCGGAGGAAGAAACAGCGCCCCGCTCTACACCGAGAATCCACGCAGCAGCATGGATTCGCGCGGCCAATCCGGTCACACCACTGTACGAACAGAAAGCGGACAAGTGGCCCATGGTACGTAACCTCGTGACCGAGGATCGAACACCCGACGTCTCCCGATATTTTAGGGTTCTTGCGACCGCGCAGGAGAGCGATGCGTAGGAAACGTAAGGCGGTGGAATCCGGATCGGAGGCCGCGCTCGGCACAGGGCGCGTTCTATGACTACAGCGCCGACAACAAGGAAGCGCACGCCACTCGATGATCTTTGGAGGTGGCGGCTCCACCAGCCTCGCCGTCAATCTGTGCTCCGCGACTGCAGCAGAAGAGCCCTAACGATCTGCTAGGCTTGGAGCCGGAGAAGAACGACTATGACTGGTAAGCTTCCATAGTCAGGACGAGCAAAGCTTGCAAGAATTCTCACACTTTCTTCGCGTGGTATAAGCTGCTAATCGAGCTTTTCTGCCAGAAGATCGATCACGTCGAGTCCTTGGAAGGGGTGCGGGAGGCTTTAAAGCCGTGCATTACGTCCAAGCTATACGAGCTTGTCCCAAGGCAGTGCAGATAATCCTGGCAGGACCTCTCACGCGGATCTTCATCCCAGGAGTTGATGGAAAACTCTCCCCTCGATGGAGTCCAGGTTGCTCTCTCTCTCTCTCTCTCCGTTTACAATGTATAACTTTTTTTTTTTCAGGCTTTGGAGCTCGGGCTCTGTGGCCGAGCACTCTCCGACCAATTGCTGCAGCGGTCTCGCGAGCGTGAACCGACAAATTGCTAAGTGAGCTCATGGTGGCTAGGGGGCCGACACTGGAAGAGCTCAATATCTCGAGCACTGGGACACCATCGTTTGACTTCAGGTGAATCTTTGCTGCCTTTTCTTACTTCCACAAGTTTTGTTTCCTTTTCAGTGACGAGGTACTGGCGGACTTCGTCACGGCCGCTGGAAGGTCGCTGCGCAACCTGTCCACCACAAGCGTGAAGAAGGCACGTCGATCAAAGCGATCCAAGCTAGTGCGTTCTTTTGCCGCAGAGCGACCGAGGGCGGGTTTGGATTCCTTGTCCCAATCTCGTGGAGCTCCGACTCTTTGGTTGCGTTGCACCCACGTACCTGCTGCTCGTCTACCTGCAAATAAAAAAATCGCGTTTCTTTGAGTGGGCTTGATAGGATTTTTCAGGGAGAAATGCTGCTAATAGTCGGCGTTGCCCTAAAAGGGTTTCAAGCAGAGATAATTACATCTTTTGATGCAATGTTCTCCCCCTTGCTGATTTCGTTTATTCGTCCTTTGCAGCTGCATTGCCTTCCAGAGCGCCAGGCAAGGTCTCATTTTCAGCTCCAGCAACCCTAGCGCTCCAGCTCCGCTCAGGTGAGCAGGTGGTTTTGATTATTCTGGTTTTGTGCCCATCAGAATGGATGTGAACGTGAGTGTGATTGTGGCAATCACCATGGGTGTTTGTACTTTCACTACGGTAGTTTGCATTGCCGCTCATTACCGTCATCACCAAGAGCGTCATCACCATGGCTTCTTCAATCAGGGGAGTAGTGAAGGAGGATCTGCAAGCTCTCCATAGAGCTCTCAAGGAGGACCTTTTCAGGCTTAACTAGAACTTTGGAGTAGCTACCTCCATCCTCAAACAGGACTTCATAGCAGCTACTACCAACCTGAAGCAGGATTTTTCCAGCCTCAAGCATGATTTGGGAGTAGCTATTGCCAGCGTCAAGCATGATGTGCGAGTAGTGTGCATGATGTGCAATCCTGCTTGATGCTAGTAATAGCTACTGCACAGTCTTGCTTCTGCAAGTGCAACTACTGCAGTGATACAGGATTTTGGTGCCTTGCATGGAGTGGTGAGGGCTGATGCGATGATGATGCGAGATGCCCTGCAAGCTGAGGCAGCTTCAGCCCACAGTCAAGCAATGAACGACTGTTCTACAAGGCTCTATCTGGTAAGCATTTGTGAATTTTGATTTTGTGCGTTTTTTGAAAATATTTTATCAGAGTTTGAATGGCTTGATCCAGTCGTGTGCAGACCGCACAGTGGTTGGTAAGTGGGACCATGTGATCAGTAGTTGATTCATAGAAACGACCAACTGTTCTGTTTTTTGACAGGAAATTTTTTCTGATTCGGGTCTTCGTCTCCTCGAAAAAAAAAGGCTCATGTCTTGAGCTTCTGATAGTAAGTCTTTTCCGGGCAAGAACATAGACATGAACGTGGCTTGGCAGTGTCTAATAGTACTTTCTTGTAGGTGGATCAGTGTAACTATTTATTCAGCAGACCGGGATTTCTGGGTACACTTCAATTGCTTTGTATGATAACGGAACACGATTTAATCGAAGCTTTCAAGTTTTCTGTCTTCAAGTAGACTCGGGTTCAATCTTCATGCAGCTTAGCTGACGGCTCGTGCAGACTCAAGCTGAAACATGGTCTGATGTTGGAGCTTATCATCGAGGTGATCTCCATATCCTTATCATGCATTTCCTGTGGAGCGGCCCTTGCGAGAGAGCCACTGGCCAGCTCTGGAACGAGCTCCTACATGCCCCGGAGGTACCATGGATTCTTCTCCAGGAATGGGACGCCCCCAACGGGAATGGATCATATTTCGTCACTGGGAGTTCGGACGAGCTTGCCAGGGTAAGCGTTAAAAGTTATATTTCTAGCAATTGTTTGCACAGGTTTGGGACGCGACCAACGTGTCCTGATGACTCTTGACAGAGGTGGTGTACTTCCGACAGGGAAGAGATCCAACGAGCTAGTCTTGAATTATGTTTGAATTGAAACTGGTGATCGCAAGGACATCAAGACTACTTAGACACCAAGCAGCTTGATGCCGATGGTCCCTGCAAGCGGTGGAGTTCTGCGAGATCACCGGACTGGAGTACATCATTCTCGAAAACTCGGGGAACACTTGTTGCCGGCTGACTCTCGAGTTCATGGACGGGTACAAGATTCACGGCCGTCGGCAGCATACTGCAAATGTGAGCTTTGTAAATCTTTTCTCAGAGGTTTTAGTTAACGAAGAAAGAAACTTTTCCTTACACACCTCGCTACTACTGCTCATACAAGTTCTTCCCATGCGTACCACCTACATTGTCAAACACGACATCATTCCTACGGGAAAACGAGCACACTTTGATCCCGAGTTGCGAGGATAATCTTTTTATACCTGGAAAACCACATCAAAGTCAAGCTTTGAGTCGGTTTAAGGATGAAAGCTTCTAATTCTTTCTAGCCAGACAGAAGCCAAACGTGCTCCCATGATACTCCCCCAGAGCCAAACAAATAAAGGAATTAAAGGTACCTCTTTGGAAAAGCGGTGGCAGACCAAAAGGGATTCTACGTAACGCCAAGAAAAAAATCACGGGTGCCTTTGCGGTGCGGTGATCGGATCGGAGCTCTCGCTTGCTCCCTCTCGCTCCCCCGTTTGAAAAGCTGGGCCAGCCAGTAAAGAAGAGTAAAAAATTAAAGAACAGTTTGCAAAGCTTGTGCAGAGGCGCCGCACCTGAGTCTCGGAAGGAAAAGCTGTCCGAGTCTGCTACAGTGTCCGGGAGCTAGCCGAGAGCTTCTCGTATTTAAGTCGAGGGTTGACCACTGCTGGGATCCTCGGTTTTAGTTTTTGCTCCTCGCGTCTTAGCACGCATGCATCGCTTTCTCCACTTTTGTTTCACGAGCAGGGCTTGGAGAAGGAACAAAAGAGGCCATCAATCCTCCTGAAACACCCCTGGCAACGCACACACACTGGTAAGCCGATCAATGCTGTAGAGAAAAAAAGGAAAAAGAAAAGAAGAAAAACTCACTTCTGTGAATCCAATGCAGAGGTCACTGTTGTTCCTGCGGTTTGCAGCTTCGAGGTGGTCCAGACACACACAGGTCTTGAATCTATCCTCGCCGGATCGAAGAAGAGGAGAGGTAGATTCATCCCTTCTTCGTTTTTTATGCGGCTGCGACGATCATGGGTGCTTTCCTGTGGAGCTCCAGCACCTGTAAGTCAGTCAGTGTAGCGCAGCTCTGGAAGAAAAGTGTTGATAGATTTTACCATTTGCAGCGAAGAGAGCTGCCAAGGATCGAGTAACTCTTGATGAGGAAGAAGTCGAGATGGAGTGCCATCCTTCTCCTCTTCCTCCCCCTCCTCCTCTTGTGCTCCACAGCATCGAAGCCGCGTGCCTGGAGGAGCTCCTCTTCGATCCGGAAGTCGACTACGCCCAGGTAAGAGATTGATCCTCGATGTGGAACAAATCTGGAGAGCTGCGATCCTCACAGGTGCTAGAGGAAGCTCGGAGCTACGCCAAGCAAGCAGCCGCATCCAGCAAGAGAGCGATCCACGAGGACGGCAAGAACCACCAGGAACACCATCCAAAATCTTCCAAGCAGAGCACGAGCAATGGAAAGTACCAGCGGACAGCCAAGGTCTACTTCGTGCCCCCTCCTATTCTCGACGATCACAGCCGGCGCCAGCAATCCCCCGCCAAGAAAAAGAGGACGAAATCCTGGTCCTGGATCGATCCGCTGCTCCTACTCTGGCGCAGCGGCCACAAATCCTCGCGGAGTCACCACGCCGGCGCCAAGATCCACAGCTCCTCGCGAAATCACCACGACAAGATCAAGATTTCCGAGAATCCGCCCCGGAGGAAGAAATCCAGCGCCTCCGGCCCACTGCCGCTCTACACTGATGGAAATCGCGAGAATCCACGACCGTGGCACAGGAACTGGAGTAGCAGCATTGATTCGCGAGGCCAATCCGGCCCCCTGGCCGCCATCTCTTGCAGCGCCAAGCAAGACGCTGCCTCGCCCTACGTCCCATTACACCACTGTACGAACGGCCCGCCAAGAAAGTGGACAAGTGGCCCATTGTACGTAACATCGTGACCTAGGATCGAACGGTTCCCGCGCTTTGCTCTTCTTTGACAAGCTTCCCATTCCAAGTGCTTTGATTGCTAAGGGACCGATATTTTAGGGTTCTTGCGAGCGATGGAGCTCCGGAGACGCCGTCGCGCTGCCCTGCGCCGCGCCACCGCGCAGGAGAGCGATGCTTCCTCCGACGACGATCAAGCCAGGACTAGAAGGAAAGGTAAGGCCAAAGTGACGGTGGAATCCGAATCGGAGGCCGAGGCCATGGAAATCGAGGAGCAGCCGCCAGTGCCAGAGCCGGAGCGGGAGCCGGCGATGGATCTCGATACCGGGCGCGAGACGAGGAATAGGCTCAAGGCCAAGAATCTCACCACCGCTCGGCACAGGGCCGCGTTCTATGCTCGCTACAGCGCCGACAACAAGGAAGAGCTCTTCTCCAGAGCGAGGCAGCCACAGAGGCGGGCACAGATTGACGGCGACGAGGATTTCATGAACGATGATCTTGCGGAAGCTCCCAAGCCGGTCGAACCGCCGCCTCCTAAGATCATCGAGTGGGAACCATCGAGGGGCTCTTCTCCCGATGTGGATTTGCCTGGCGCGCCTCCGTCTCTGTTCTCTATGTGTATCGAGCTTCTCTGCCAGAAGATCGATCACGTCGAGTCCTTGGAAGGGGTGCCGGAGGCCTTAAAGTGTTGCATTACGTCCAAGCTATACGAGCTTGGGAAGATCACTCCAAAGGCAGCCCAGATAATCATGGCAGGACCTCTCTCGCAGATCTTGCTCCCGGATTGCAGCAAAATCCCGGAGAAGGAGTTCACCGAGCTGATGGAGAACTCTTCCCTTGATGAAGTGCAGGTTTGTCTCCTTCCCTCTCTCTCTCCAAGCTTTTTTTTTTTTTAATTTCCAGGCTTTGGAGCTCGGGTTTTGTGGCCGAGCTCTCTCCGACCAAATGCTGCTGAGATTCGCGTTTCCAAAGCTGAGGAAGCTTCGGCTGCATGGGAACTATCGCGTGTCAGACTCGGGACTGCGCGCACTAATACAATCAGCCACCAGAGGTCTGAGAGACGTGGAGCTTGTCGAGTGCTGCTGTATTACCGAGTCGTCCGTCCAGGAGCTAGCAACCTTTCACGGGCCTTTCCTCCAGAGCCTTTCACTGGAAGGATGTGATGGGATTATTGGGAGAAAAGTGTTGCCTTCCCTTTTGAGGCTGCCTGAGCTCACGGTTCTTTCTCTCGCCAGCGTGAAAGAAGTCACCGACGAAGTGCTGAGTGAGCTCATGGTGGCTAGGGGGCTGAAACTGGAAGAGCTCAATATCTCGCATTGCAGGTAACCAACCGTCTTTGCTGCTTTTACTTCTCACTGAGATCCGCGGGATTGTTTTGTGCAGTGTTACGGACCACGGCATGGCGGCTGTCGCAGCTTGCGGTTCTACTTTGAAAAGCTTGCACTTAGAAGGCTTGGAGCTTACAGACGTCACCTTACACCATCTTACAGAAGGCTGTAAGACACTTTGTAAGTTATCGTTGGACGGAGGCGACTTCAGGTATCTTTGCTGCCCTTCTTCTCATCTCTTACTTACACAAGTTTTGTTTTGTTTTTTTTCTCAGTGATGAGGTACTGGCGGACTTTGTCGCGGCCGCTGGAAGCTCACTGCGCAACCTGTCCATCGCAAGCGTGAAAAAGGCACGTCGATCATTTATGAAGCGATCCAAGCTTCTCTAAACCTCACTGCGTCCTTTCTTTCTCAGGCTGGCGACCGGACGCTAGTGGCTCTTGCAAAGCACGCAAGCCGGACACTAGAAACACTAAATGCGTCCTTTTGCCGCAGGGCGACCGAGGACGGGTTTGGATTCCTGGCGGACTCCTGTCCCAATCTCGTGGAGCTCGGGCTCTTTGGTTGCACCCAGGTACTCGCTGCTGCTCGTCTTGAAAAACTCAGGCACGCGATTCCTTTTTCCTTGCAGGTCACGAAGAGATTTATAAACGGGCACTCGAACAAGGCGTTGAAACTGGTCGGGGAGCAGGGTGGAACGCTCTCGTGGCACATGAACATCCGCGAGGTATGACTTGTACATAGGCGGATTTAGTGAAATCTAGGAAGCCCAATGTTCTTGGCTGGAAGGAGTCATCAAATCAAGTTACCGAGAGATGGTCGAATTCAAGCTAAAAAAGTGAGGCTTGGTAGTTCTAGAAGAGTTTTAATCAAAAGAATGTTCCATAGAATAATTTTGTCTATGTTTATGTACAAACAAGTTCCAAGAACAAGAACAAAACTTTTCAAGCTCCAAGAACAAGAACAAAAAACCTTTCAAACCCGTGGACTGGGAAGCTGCGTGGTACTCCCCAAGTCTCGCCGGCTCAAAATTCTTCCCAGGCTCCGCAATCGCTCCATCGTCGTCGCAGCCACAACCGGCGACTTGGGCTCGGGCTGCTGCTCCTTATTCACATCGATCACCGAGTGGAAGGACGATCGAGCAGACGACAAACCATCGGCAGCACCGGTGCTCGAGCCATCCTCCTCCATTCGAGGGATGATGATAACCACTGGAGCAGCCGGATGAGAGGAGGAGCCTTGCAGCTCCGCTAGATCCTCCGAGGAAAGAGAAGAAGAAGAAGCGACTTGGATAGGACTCGCTGGAGCGTTGTCTCGTGAGCTCTCGCTCTCGCTGATGGTGATAGTAGCAGTCGCAGTCGCAGTAGCAGTAGCAGCTCCAGCGCTGGAACTCGCATCCGGATTGTCCACGACTGGGCTCCGGCAGATCGGGCACGTCGCGTGCGACTGAAACCACATATCGATGCAGCCGGCGTGGAAGGCATGGTTGCATTTCGGGAGGAGCCTTCCTCGCTCGCCATCTTCAAACTCGGAGAGGCAGACCGCGCACTCTGTCGTTGCCCCCACATATCCTTCTTTGCCGTAGACGAAAGCTGGTAGCAGCGAATCGATCACGCCTTGGTCCAGGCCTTTGTTGAGCAGATTCACGTGAGTTCCTGTCCCTGGCTGCCGCTGCCCCAGCGGAATTATCCCCGTGTACCGCCGCAACAGCACGCGGAGGCACAGATCCAGTGTGATGAAGAAGGCCACGCAGCCGAAGATCACCACGAATGCCGCTATGCCAATTGTGGCATTGATCCTCGCGGAGCTGTTTGGAGAGAAATCGCCCGGCGGCCCCCCTGTGGAACTCATTGCAGCACTCGAGCATCTGGTCGCAAGATAGCGCCCCGCCCTTGGATATATTGCGAGGAGAGCTTCCTCCAGAAACACCCTCCGAGCTTCCGTCTCCTGCTTCTTCACATCTTCCCTCGTTACCAGGGCCGGCTTACATGTTCATGCTGACTTGACCGAAAACTCGAGGAAAGTCAAATTCTGGAGGAAGTGTTTGCATTAGCGAGGAAGCGAAGGAAGAAGTCGTAGATCAAGCCGCTTACCTTCTGCACGTCGATACAAAAAGGAAAGTTTATATAGTCTTCGTGTTGAACGAGCCGCATGCGCCACACTTGTGGTAAAGCCAATGAAATTGGGCCTCTCCCTTCCGCTCGCAATCGTTGCAAAAGATAGTCTACAATTCCACAGCAAAGATGAGCTCTCGTGAGAAATGATTGGAAGATTGCACTGCACCTCTTTGCGGCCACGGTACTCCTCGGGAAGTTGCTCTGCCTCCATGAGAGCATCCAACAAGCCAAAATATAGCTGAAACTTGATCGATCAGTCGTAGCTCTAAACTTCACTTTAAATACTTACTCCCATGTCGCCCAATGTCTTGCAGCATATCGGGCACGTATAATGGTTGCTGCTGTAGGCCTACAAGAAGCATCGGCGTAAAAGGATACAAAAACGAGGAAAAGAGCACTTACCAAAAAGCATGACGAATGCATATAATGCCCGCATGGAAGGCTCTTCACGTCGGGCACCGACGAAAAAATCTGCTCGCAGCAGATAGGACAGTCCGTTTCTGTTCCTTTCTCCCTGCAGATGTGGCTCTGCTCCAGAGTCTTGGACATGCATCCGTTGCATACCAAGCAATGGAAAAACTCCTGGCCTAAACCAGATCCCACTCTGCAAATGTTGCAGAAAGGACAATGATAAATGCTCCTGCAAACTAAAGTTTTAGCCTGTCAAGTAGAATCTGTCATTGGACAAACCTTTTCGAGTCGTCGTCGAAAAACTTGCAGATGGGGCAGTAATACCGCGCCATGCAGAAACGATTGCACGACGGTGTGGTGCAGTTTGGCCCAACAGGCTGAACCTTTAGACACTGCATGCACAGCATCTCTGAGGTCTGGTACCTGGCAAGATCAGAAAAAAAATGCCTCGGCGATTGAAAATAAAGACAAGAAGCGTACCTGTCCATTGTATGGTCACTGGCTTCATCGTGGCAAAGCCTGCAAGTGAACAAGCTACCACAACAGGCAGCCCGAAGTTTGCAGTTCCTACGGTAGTGCTTGCAGCCAAAAACTTTGTTTTCTTCGTCAGCATAGCTTGGAGCCGGTTCCGAATCCGTCAATCGCTGATCGCGAAGCTTTTGCTGAGCAACCATCCAACGGCTGCTCGTGTAAAAGGTTTGATCAGTCGAAAGCGTAATTTAATGACTTGCTTACCATGTCATCAGGTTCTGCATGAGGTAAGCTTTGCGGCGAGGATCTAGTGACGCATCAGTAGATAGCTTTCGAACTGCGGCCTCCAGTTCTTCCTGGTTGAGCCTGAAAATTTCAGGCCAACCCGGCTTGAACGTTTCAGAGTCATCACGAGTGTCACCACCTGTATCCTTTCCTTCAGAAAAGTACTCGACCAAAGACTGTAGGCAGTCTTTTGTAGATACAGAAGTCTCTTTTGTAGGTCGTTGGCGCGACGTCGACGGCGCCGTCCACCAGGCACTCAACCAATCTTGAAACAAAGTGTTTCGAGTTGCCTGTTCCCATGTTTCCATCATCGAGTTACGCTCTTCTTCGGTCAAAACGGCTGTCACCCACGGTAGCATGGCTTGGATAACTTCTGCACCAGTCGATCCTATTATCCTGGCCATCACTTTGTCTTGCTCTTGGACTGAGAAGTGTTTGTCGAAAAGTGGCCAGAGCTCGGACTCTTCCCTGTCAACGTGCTTCCCGAGGCAAATGCGCATGGACTTGCACATGCGCTGCAGCTTTGCAGCAAGAAAGTGTTGGTGTGCTTCATCCCCTTCTGTTTTCTCCTGAGATTGGGTGACAAGGCTCGAAAATGTTGACAAAATCGCTGAAATCTCGTTGAAGAGATCCTCTTCCTGCCTGTGATCTATCATGTAAGAGTGGCTGACGTTGAGTAGAGCCTCCTTTGCCTCCAGTGCCGGGAAGACAATGGTGTCTTCGGCACTGCTGTGAGCACGATACAGGCCCCATAAGAAGTAGAACCTTCCTCTAAACTGTCCCAGGAACTCGTCGGTGCAGTCCAAGAGTCGCGCTGATTCTACGTCCAAATACTCCAGGTCTTTTCTTATTGCCTTGTGAAACTGGAAAATCTGGTCGATTGGTTTCAGTTGCTGCTTCCCTGTGGACCGCTTGCTTCCTTTCAAATCAGGCTCCAGCTGCAGTGACTTGGACAACAGACTCAATTCACTCCGGAAAAGCTTCGAAGGCCTGTCGGCTGCCAACTGACAGCTCCTTTTTCCTGAAACCTTTAGGCTCTCATTTTTTAAGAGATCCCAAACATGCGAATGGTTTTCGCAAGCCCACCCCGTCAGCAGAGCAACCAGGATGCTGTCACCCTGAGGTGCTGCAGAAAAAACGCATTGAATCTCGAGAAAAGCTTTAGAAAATAAAACAGACCTGCCAGTCTTATGTTAACAAGCATATCTTTCGCCTCCTTGGCAGTAACGCAGTTAACAATCCATGGAAGGACTCGCCTCAAGAAAACCAAAGGCATGGTTTTGAGGCTTTCATAAACCAACGTTCGCTGCTCGTCAATGCTGAAAAGCTTACTTGCAAGAGGTAAGAACTGTTCAAGAATGAATGAGAAACGACACAACCGAAGGAATCGTTACCTCAGTTTCTTCAATAGAGAAATGTGCTTCAACAGCATCAAGTAAAAGCTCAGCCTGGGTGATGACAGCAGTTGAGCTGCAGTTGTTTTTAAGAGTATTTTCAAGTACTCTCAAAGCCTCACTGCACACTTCGTCTTGTACAGCATGATCAAGTTTCTTGCCAATTGGAGGAAACACGAACTTATCCTCAGCTGCACTGTAAACACACATTCAGCTCTGTTATTCACCAAGCATGGAAAAACACACCTGTGAAAACTCCATACTTTACTTACAAACTCCATTCGCTCGCTCAAGGTTGCCAGTGACGTCAAATCCTTGATCTCCTCAGTTATGTTAAGAAGTTCGCGCTTTATAGCCTGATGCCAGTGAAGTAAATCGTTGAGTGGCGATCGCGTGATAAACCGGACGTCGGTTCCAGCTTGCTTCGCAGGTTTTGGAGTGGTCTTTGGAGCTCTGTTGGCCCCCAGCCTGAATTTACTGTGGTCCCGTTTAAACCATTCAGTAATTACCTACATGCATTCGTTCAAAACTGTGCAGTTGGGGTGTTACGTACCAAAATCTTACCTCCTGTAGAAGCTCTTCTGCTGGAACGATTTCCCGAAAGCAAAGTTCCATGTGTTTACATTCTTCCAAAGTCAAGGAGGAAGCAAGCCACGGAAGAAAGATCTCCATGAGCTTCACAGGAATATTGCCCATAAACTGCCAGACAAGGCTAGCTTGTTCTTCGCGATTATAGTACTGCATGAGCAGCGGAATGACCTGGAAAAGAAGTAGAAAAACCGTATAGAAACAATGGAAACACTTTGTCCAAAGTTACTTACCTGGCCTTCTTCTTTCGAAAGGTGCTGGCATACTGTTCTTTGCACTGCTTCCGTGCAAGAGATGATTTCCTGCCATGACGAATCGGTTTGATCCCCCAAATGTGTGGAGAGAAGCTGGGACATTTCGTTGAGTAGATCGTTCTCCACAACATGCTCCAAGCAATACGAGCGCGCGACGTTCTTGACGCGAGATTCTAGAGCCGGAAGAATCACCTGGAAAAGAAAAAAACGTATAGTCGACATTGACAATTCTCACACCTTAGCAATCACCTCATCTTCCGCCTGGCTGTGGTGCTCGTAGATTTCTCTCAAGAAATTGTACCTCTCCGCCAGGGATCTAAAATCCTGCCCGCTGCTCCTATCCATCGACATTGCCGTCTCGTGGATGCGCTCCAGCTCCAGACGAATAGCCTTGTGGAAATACACGATCACAAACATCGGCGGCAGCGATTCCCTGGAGAAAGATCTATCCTGCTGCTGAATCGCGCTCTCATCGCTGCCGGTGGCACCGTCGAGCTCCAGTGCCATCGCCAAGAACACTACCTGCGGGCTAGGTTAGAGGATTCCACGAATGAATGTCACCACAAGGCGAGCGTGTGGTCAATGTACCAAGAACACGTGGTCTGGGGATGACGTGGACTGCCAACCGGAAAAACGCCGCTCATGTCATTGGATCACTTTTGCCTCGCATCCATCGTGGCAGCGGTCTAGCCAGTGTAAAAGAAAGAGCAAAGAAAGAATTGAAAGGCCATATGGAAAAAAAATTTTAAAAGTGCTTTGGAGAAGGAGTGATCTTGGGGAGAAAGATCTTGGCTCGATCTTTCCAAAAACAAGTGCCTCAATATTTCTCAATGTTCGGTAGAGTTGACCACACCACATTCAATCATAGGTCATCAGTGACAAATGTAACAGCCTTGATAAGAAAGAACCATAGCTTACATCCATAACATTTTCTTTTTCAGAGAATCCACTTAATCTAAGTAACTCTTGCCTTTTTGTGTTGGCTGGTCATCCTTGCATCGTGCATACTGATCCAGTGATTGAGTTTCTTTTTTTTTCTCTTCATCTTCTATAGCAATAAAAACTGAATCACTTAAAAGTATATAGACTGGAGAGCCTTTCTTCAGCTTCGTAGAAATGTCACTCGCAGTCACAGTTCCAGACATGAACCATCTTGCAAACCGCCCCTGGAACGTCCCCACCGCCGGATCCGAAAGAAGCGGTGGCCGGTCAGCAACTTGAAACTACTCAGTTCTATCCAACGCCCGTGAATATCACTACACGTTACCACCCTGCTGATGGAGTTTGATGGAAACTGGTGTTTTGGACACTGTTATGAAGAACTGGATACACAAGATTCTTGGTATCTCTTCAGATATTCCCACGACTTGTAGCTTTTATGATGACCATACAAAAGTTGTTTTGTTCCTTACATGAGCAACATTCTAACGTCTTTGCAACACTTTCTTTGTGAGTCGTGTTCTTACCAACAATAATGTATATAAAGGTTGTAGTTGCTTTGTATCAAATAGCTCCATTTCATGGCTCCAGCTCTAGAGAAGATCTATGCTGTTGGAAAGTTGCTAGGCCCCAAGAATTTCCATCTCCCAAAGGTACCCAGCTTGATTCCTCCAGTCCCTCGCCATCCAGATAGCGCTTATGCATCCAGCAAGGCCCATGAATGGGCATACAAGTTCATGGATCCAAAAATGACAGCCGCGGATAAAAAGGCTTTGGAAGATTGGGAGATCCCACTGTTCGGAACTCCGGTAGTGCCGATTGGGTCCAGGAAAAGTGCTCTCACATGCTCATAGTACTGCTTGTGGGCTACATTACTGGACGACTTGGTTGACGGGGGGTTGCTTGAGACTGCTAGCATTCTTCAAGATTACTACTCCACAATCCTGAATCATCTACACAATCCTGAAGTCAAGATCCAGGCATCGGACAATCACCTTCCAGTGCCACTAAAGAGCTTGTTACTGAGATAAGATCATCCATAGTGTATGCTCATTTTGTAGCACAGTTTTGAGAGGTATGCACTCAGCAGAATGGCAAGCAGGCCCAAGTTGTCATCTGTCAAGCAGTATATCGAATGGAGAAGGTTTGAAGTCTTATTAGAGCCTATCTTCAGCTCCATAGAGATGGCGCTTGAAGTCGCAGTTCCGGACGTGGACATGGAATCAGAGGACTATCTAATTCTGCGAAATGCCGGGATTAACTATGTATCTATGCACAACGATATTCTCCCGTTTGCGAAGGAGTTCGTATGCAACAAACTGCTGAATCTTCCAGTGTTGCTGCTTCTTTCGGATCCAAAGGTGGAGACATTCCAGAGTGCAGCGGACAAGGTTTGCAATATGGTCATGGACACGAAGCAAGAATTCATGTACTACCACAACATTCTGATCGCTCAGGCAAGAGGTGAAGGTAAAGACGAGTTTGTGAAGTATCTTAAGTGTCTTCCTACTATTCTCTCCAACACGTTTACTATCACTACCCTCTGCCCGGTACCATCCAGGATTCATCACGGGTGACAAGTTTGACGGAAATTGGTGTTTGGACACTGTTATAAACCATAGAAGAACTGGCCGGTGATAGAATAGTTTCACGTAAGCTGGGAAACTAAAGAAACTAAGTCCCAAAAATATTCAAGTTTTGAGATCAAAAGGAGAATTGGCCTCTTTCAAAGATCGGCACATGGGACGTATGTGTTCTGGAAGCCCATTTGATCCATATCCTGCTATGTTACATGACGGTCGCATTAGTTGCGAAAGCTGGGCGCGTCACCTTGGCTTTGTTCTTGATTTCCCTCCATCGCCTGGAATGGCGCAGCTTGCGGACTCCCACGCGGACGCTGGGATTTTTCATCGGCTATCGACTCAACAAAATGCATTTTATATACTGTTTGCATACACAAAATAAAAAATTAAAGTCATCTTATAGGTTCTAGTAAACTATGAAGCCATAAGATGCTTGAAGTTGTTTATAAATGAATGAATGAATTTGTGCTTACGTGACCAACACTTTCTCAACATTCTAACATACTTTCGACTTCAAATGCCGATCGTCTGATCCTGGCAATCGGGCGCTTCATGAAGACGTCCTCGAGTTTCTTGATCTCGCCCTCTATCGCCTCGCTGAATTCCTCGATGCCGTCGTGGTCGTCGAGCGGCCAGAGATGGAGAATCCACAGCAGCATTGGTTCTTGCCCCAGCGATGATCGTCGACCTGGCGTTGCCCCCAGGCATTGCCGGTGTCCAGCTGCTCGGTTGTGAGCGCATCTCTTGTTGATGCGTATCTCTGGGCGAAGCTACACCTGTTGTTGACTTACCAAACTGACACCAAAATACAAACTAGATGCTTTCAGAGACTGCTATCCTGCTACAGACCTTAGGAACATTGCCTCGTGAACTCGCTGTTAAGGGTGTGCGGTTTATGGTCTTGATGCAGGGACATTCGCGAACAAGCTCAGAGTTGACGCAGTTCATTGATACAAGCTCGGATTCGTGTACCAACTAGACATTGTGAATGAAGGCGATGAATGAACTTGTTGCTTAGTAGCTGCCTTCAACTCGACCAAGAGCAGCGTTTGGTTGTCGTTCTTCAAAGACGCTAAGATCTTGTAGACAACCTGCTTCAGTTGTTCATAGTCTCTGGCCTGCAACGCCTTCTGAATCTGTCCACAATGGTAATCGTCTATGCTGTTTTTATCCACTCCATCCGAAGCAAGAATAAGGAAGTGGCAGCCTTTGGAAATCTCAAAGTTGACAATGTCCGGAACGGCACTCACGGCTTGTTCTTCTCGACTCAGCTGCGGATTGCTCTTGAATGACCAGTCTCCAATGCTGCGGGTCACCATGAGCGAATCGACATCGTCTTCCTTGCCAGCCAAAGTTATGCGTCCCTTCGAGCCCCTCTCCACATAGCCACCCGCCTTGACGACCCTGTCTAGCTCCCCAGGACACTTGCAGTCATGCTCCTGGCTGATATCCATCACGTACCCATCCACAAACAAGCAGCAGTAAGAATCGCCAACATTGCCAAGAAAAACCTGGCCGTCATCGGTAACCAGAGCCACGGTCGCTGTACTCCCACAGCAGTCAGCACCTGGAGCCCGTGAATCTGCCTCCATGAATACCTGATGCAAGCTCCTTGCATAGTTGCCGTCCCGGAAAGCCTGATTGCAATCCAGAATGGTGCTCATGCTGCCGGCGCAGAAGCGTGCCACTTGATCCCCGCCGTGTCCGTCATACACACCTATCAACGAGACGTTGCCCCCGGCGCATGCCGCTACAGAGTGAGCGTCCTCCATTGTGCTCCTGAATCCGTCGTCTTGGAAGCACAACACTCTGACGCGCCTGTCCTCCACAACCTCCATTCTGCCCTCTCGCCCTAATTCAGAGCCTTTTTACTCTGGTATCTTGGATCTGGAGCCAAGATCGAGCTCCCACAAACAGAAGTCATCACTGCCGTGGAGGAGTTGCTTGCCCTGCTTGCCGAGGAGGAGGTGGCACCGCACCAGGACCTGCTCGTCGTAGCGCTCGTGGTGACAGTGGCAGCGTCTTTGCAGCTCCAGCAGGTCTCCAAGGAGGAAGAACTCTTGCCATCGTTGATCACACGAAAAAACAAACGCGAACTTACTTGGATATGTTGGGTTTCGTTGTCTTCTTTGGAGTGTGGAGGTGTTATGGCAGTCACAAAAAACATGATCCGTCGGTAATATATCTTTGTGCTTTGCATATGGCAGATCCCAATATAAAAGTTTTTTAATGTTTCCAGTAATATATTAACTGAAGCACATATTCCACCACATGGACACAATCTTGCTGATTTCCTCAAAATCTTTGTTGTCCTCTAACATAAATTCTCTTTCGAACGTGATGATCCTATAACTACTCTAGTTATTGATTAACTAGTCTATCATGTATTTAATTCTTCATCTTTTCTCTTGTGGACTGCAGGATTTAACTGTTAGATTTGCTGTTATATGATTTTGTCCAGAAACACTTCCACTCATCCACAATGAGTCAAATGCCAAAGTATCGTCTTTGTCCTCCCCATGAAACTTTACCAAAATGCTGCTAACTTCTTTCACCAATGTGAACGTGCCGGAGTGGTTATCGGGCATGACTCGAAATCATGTGGGCTCTGCCCGCGCAGGTTCGAATCCTGCCGTTCACGTTTCCTGCGCTTCAAGATGAAGACCGAGAGCTATATTTTAGAAATCCTTGGTATCGCTGTTTAGGTCAATGTTGACAGAAGTATGGTTAAATTATTCCACAGAATCAAAACATACAGTGAAATTTTTTTTCACTCATACTCGATCTTGAAGCCTTTAAACTTGATAGGGTCCAGCCTCCCAACGCCCCTGGGCACCAGCGTCACGACAATATTCCTGGCATCTTTTATGCCCAGCTGGTCCAGCGTGTCGGATATTCCCAGCCGCAGGTCCGTGGTCCTCATGTGACCAGGCCCGCCGCGGCGGTCCCCAAAGTGCGGCACGTTGACGAACGTCCCAGCATATTCCGCTACGTTACACGACGTGTTCTCGTCCGCGCCCGGCAGGTTGATGTACACGTCGAATTTGGTCGCCCTATCGCAGTCGATCTCCACGCCCTGGATCACTAGAACTTCTTCCTCCTCGTCGTCCTCCTCCTCTTCCTTCTTGCCGATCCTCAGCTTCTCCTTGATCTTGGCGAGGTCCTCCTTGATCGGGCGCTTCACCTTGGATTTGAAGACGTCCTCGAGTTTCTTGACCCTGCCCTCCGTCGCCTCGCCGAATTCCTCGATGCCGTCGTCGTCGTCGTCGCCAGCGGCAGCGGCCACGGCAGGAGAATCCACCGCGGCATTGGAGACGAGATTTCTCGCCCCAGCGACGATCGTCGGCCTGGCGCTCGCCCAGGCATCGCCGGTGTCCTGGTAAGAATACCCTAGCTGCTCGGTCGTGAGCGCATCGCGGACTCTCACGCGGACGAGCTGCGAATTCTCATCGTAGAAGAGGAATTTCGCGTCGAGCCAGTCGGTGTCGGTGGGGTCTCTCCTCCTCCCGCCGGGCAGCGTCTTCCACACGACCCAGAGCCGATCGATGTTTCCATGGTGCGCGAAGAAGATCGGATCCCTGGCGGCCGAGTAGAGCGTCCCCATGTCCTCGCGATTGGGCGCCGCGGCGCTGCCAGTCCAGACGTGCACAGTGCCATGGGGGGCGTTTTCTAGGGTTCCTCCGCCAGGGGCATTGGCGTCGCCAGCGCGGTAGGCCTGCCCGAAGAACAAGCTCGGGGTCCTAGCGCCACTCACGATCTGCTGGAACATCAGGGCATTGTTCTCGGCGCGCTGGGTGGAATCCGGTGGGATCGGCCCACTGTCCTGGCCGGAGTAGTTCAGATCCACGAGCCGGGGAGGGAGATGCTGCTGGTTGCGCAGTGAATCGATCAGGGGCGCTTGATTGAGGTAGGCGGAGGGGATGACATTCGCGAGCGGCGATCCGGCGGCCTGGTTGTCCCAATTCCAGAATGGAAGCGCGAAGGTGTCATCGCCCAGGAGCTTGCCCAGGATCCTCTCGTGGAAGTAGAGGTACCAGCGATGCCAGGGGAGGAAGAGCCACGAGTCGTGGATCTGGAGCTCGCTCCGGCTGTTGGCCTGGCGGAAGGAATCGTTGCAGTAGGCGCAGTGGACGTTGGCTTGCTGGGAGAAGCGGCGGGGATCGCTGGCCGGGAGAGCGCGCATGAGCTGATAGGCGCGGTTGTAGCGCGCGATCTCGTCCGGGCGGAGGAGATGGGCGGGGCGGCGGAGGCGCGACGGAAGGCGGGTGTTGTACTGGAAGTCGACGATCGGGCTGGAGTTTGGCGGCGGGCAGCAATTCACTGGCGTCGCGCCGGGGGGGAGCTCTGCTGGCGAGCACGATGAGAAGCTGCCGAGCTCCACCGGATTGGCGAGCGCGCCTGCTACTGGGAGTGTGGCGGCTGCCCCTCCGCCGATTGATCCCAGGACGAACTCGCGGCGATTGACGTCGCTGGTTCTTCCGGATCTCCTCGCGTGTTCTTCTCCTTCGTGGACGCATTTGATCGTCGTCGTGCACAGCCTCTTCCCCGATCGGCCACCGAACTGGATCCGAGCTCGCCCAAGGCGGAGATCAGTGCGAGGATCCCGGTCGAGCGCACTGAGCAGTGAATTGGAGCTCGAACTGGTGGCGGCCGCCATGGATTCTACTGTTCTATTTTACTACTACCACTACTTTTGAGAGGGCGAGGAAAAGGGGAAAATGATGAGGGCTCCAATTGTTCCAATCCTCGAGATGTATACTCGATGATCGTACGGACTCGCTCCAAAAGTCGTACGAGTTGTCAGCAAAGTCGTGCTTGATCACGATCGATTTCACGCTACTCCAAGCTTTTTTACCAGCCTCTCCTCTACGATCATCCATGTTCTTCCAGATTTTAGCTGTTTTCTTACTGGAGCGCCAGTCAAAACGCACGAGCACAGGCGCAAACGCGTAGACGTAAAGTGGCAGTCTATCTGCCACGTTATGCATCTATATGTTATTCTGGAGGTGTCCAATTGGAAGCATGAGACCGATGGATGCAAAAATGCAAGTTGGATGATCGTTTTCGCGTCCGTGGCACGTCGCTCTAGCGCTCACTGGCCCGGTCTTATCTTCCTCGGCGGTTTGATGTCTCTGATTATGGTATGCCTCCATGGCATGTGTGACATGTATTGCGAGGGATGAGGTTGTTTCCTTGTTTGCAAGAATTATGTCGTCGCAGTCAATAAAGATACAATGGAAAGAATAAGGTGTAGAGTTTGAAAACATAGGGAAACAACTAAGAAAGAAAGCTTCTACTATATCATCAGTAAATATATTTTTTGTACGACTCCTCGATTCAGGGAAAATTACATTACCCAAGCCTTTTATGAGAATCCCTTTTATGGGAAAAATAAGGAGCTGTTATAGGGCTCCTCCCCTAAAGTTAGGGCAAGGATGGCAGAGAAAAGTCCGTTACCATTAGGGCTCACGCTCCGGAAGACTCCATCGCTGCTGGATCTCGTGTCGCGTTTGATCTCTCCAACGGTTGCTAGGGCTCCGGTTCCTGACAAGGTGAAAGCTTCCAACATCGCTGCTGTTTCAATCGAGATTGGGAGCTGGAAGGTAATGGCTTTTTGTGCTCTTAGAAAACTTTGAGCGATTTCTCATGAGAGTTGTGACCAGCGTAGTGCCGCAAATGAGGGAGAAATCGTCGCAAAGTTCTACTATGCAAAACGAAGGTTGATATGGGAAATTCTGGAGAGGGGGCTCATGAACAAGATGGAAATCCAATGGGGCGATGTCACAGGGTTGCATGCAAGTTTGTCAGAGGGAACGTTGATCATAGAGGTACCTCCCAATTCATATCAATTTCTCTATCCTTCCTTTTGCCCTTTTGCCCGTTTCTCATAGATATTTCCTTTAAAAGGTTTCCAAGCCCCCGGTGTTTTACACGGAGCATGATCCACAACCTCGGAAGCACACTGTATGGCATCCTGCAGAAGATTTTACGGGTGGCCAAGCAAGTGTTTGTAGGTTGGTCCTTTGTTTTTCCACCAAGTTTTGTGTCATATTAATCGAGCTGGCTCGTTTCTTTGCAGAGAGCACACTTTGCGATTCGCTTGTGGTGTCCTCAACAAGCACTTTGAGAGGCTTATGAAATATGATGAGCGATTGCGGAGCATTTCGACATTGCAAACTTTGAATCCCGACCAAGCTACTGATCACCAGCAAATGCCATTAGCTCTTCAAGAACAATCCCGGCCGTTAGTGCAACCCCAGCCTCATCAATTGCAACATTATCATCAACAGCAACATTGCCAGACCTTGCTACAGCAACAGCAGCAACTAGATCACCAAGCAAGCTGGCCAACTTATGCCCCACTTTTCTCTCCAGTCTCAGGTTCAGTTTTCCGATTCTCGTGATGTTTCTCCTGACCAGAGCCTCGCTTGCGCAGTGATGAATCTGCCATGCATCGACGAGAATCAAGCCATGGCAATGATGGACAACAGAACGATGATGAACAGCGGTGCAAGCTGCTGGTCAGACTACGATTTCGCCGCATCCGCCACTGCGCTCTCAGATTTCCTGGTCGAAGATCACGTCGCGGGCACGAGCCGGCAGAGCTCAAACCCACAGGTCCACCAAAGCCCAACCAAGGCGTGGCTGGGCGAAGCCGATCTTGAGAGCTTCATGATGTGCCCAACAGATCAAGATCACTTCGTGCCGGACCAAAATCAGACATATAGTCCGGCAAATCCTTTGACAACACAAGCAGCAGCAGCAGCAGCGGTGGAAGCAAACTTTCCACACCCGCAGATGCCGCCCGAGGAAGTTAGTGTGATTTCAAGAAAGTTTTCTGCAGGGGATTTGCTGGTCAACCTCCCGAGAGTTGCGTCGCTCCCCGAGTTCTTCAACGTCTTGTAGCAGTCAAAGAGAGGGTCAACGAATAAGTGGCCGATTTTTTATCGTTTAACATTACATTTAAATAATACAGTACCTGACAAGCTTGAAAGAACATAAGTCCATGGTCCATATAGTCAATGTACTAGAAGACCACAGGCAATCTACTAAAGGAGTCAATGCTTAATTGACTGACCATTGATTAGTCAACTAGGGCTGCTCTTCGAAGTGTATGGCATTTGCCGCCACCTTTCCTCTCTCCTGGGCATTAACTGCACCACATCGACTCAATAAATGCCGGGACAGGCAGACAGCGCAGCGCAGCTTGCTTAAACACACACACACACACACAAAGGGAGAGAGAGAGAGAGAGAGAGAGCGAGGCAGGGCTCTCTCGTTTCACACAAGAAAAGCGAGCCTTTTTTCAAGCTTTGTTCTTCCCAGCTATGGTGGCGATGGCGCAACAAGCCCTGGAGAAGGCGATGGATCGATAGCGGCGCCGGCGAATGGCGCGAGGGGGATGTAGATGTGAGGGAATAGGAACGCCGCTAGATTTCTAGCTAGAACAGGCAAAGGGATCGAGATATTTCGGACAGGATTGCTGGAGAGGGATCGATCGGTAGGATGAATCGTCGCGCGGCGGTGGCAGTGGCAGCGATCTTGTGCTGCTCGATCTTGCTGCTGCGCGCGTCGGCGAGCCTGCCGCCAGGGACCGAGTGTATCCCAATCTTGACGGAGCTGGAGCCGTGCTTGCCCTTCGTCCAGTACTCCGGGGAGAAGCCCACGGCGGTGTGCTGCTCGGTGCTGCGCGACGTCCACAACAAGAGCGCACCTTGCCTGTGTCGATTGATCGCCAGCGAGAAGAACCAGCCGCCCACGCCCGGGATCAATCTTACCCTCGCCTTCTTGCTGCCGGATGCGTGCCACTTGAAGGTCAATCCGGATCGATGCCCTGGTAGATTTCCCTTCCTTGCCCTCTCCTCGATCTTCTTCTTGGATTGGATCGTTTCTTGGAGTGGTTCCTCTCGATTTCCTCTCGAAATATCACTGATTCGATCAATGCAGCTCTTTTGCGCGGAGATCCTTCCTGGTCGACGCAGCCGGAGGGAGGTGAGTGGAAAGAATCCTCTCCAGCGTTTAATCCCGTGTTCTTCGCGCAGGGTCCAACAGCGGCACCGCCGACTTGAGCACTCCAGCGATCGATCTCAGCAGCTCGGCGGCGGCGGCGTCGTGGCAGCGGCGGCAGCGGTGGTGGAGCTCGGGATTCGCGGCGGCGGCGCTCGTCGTGCTTCGTGTCTAGGACATAGATTGGATTGGCGATAGAGAGAAGAGAGCATAGATTTGGTCCAAGGCTTTTGGGATGTGTGCCTTTGGAGCTTTGAAGAAATCTTTCCCCCTCTTTTTTTTTTGCCTTGTTCTACCAAGAACCATGTTAGGGTTTAACAAGCGCGAAATATTTTGCTAGGGCGATCGCGAGCGCCGACGCTGATCCACGCTCGAAGCAGCTCCAGTGAGGTATGCCGCGGTGGGAATTCCACTCCCAGCGCCAATGCACAAGCTGGTGATCCAGGCGCTGGATTCCGGGCGCCGGGGCGTCGAGTCGCTGACGCGCAGCCTCTCCTGGCCTGGAAATCTCGACGAGGAGGAGGAAGAATCGCCGCACAAGAAGCGCTTTCTTGGAATGTGGATCAAGAACAGCATCGTTAAGCGTAGTAGTAGCAGTTTAGAGAATTCTCCTTCTTTTCCCGACGATCGACCGCCCTGGGTGAAGCGACCGTCAGCAGCATCCCTGGCACTGGCGGATGAGGTTGCCGAGAAGTCCCTGGTTGGATCTTCGGGATTTATGAGACCGCTGGATCCAATGTGGGTGCTGAGCTCTGGATTTGGGCCGAGATGGGGGAGGCACCACAATGGCGTCGATCTCGCGGCTCCAATTGGAGAGCCAGTGCTCGCTGCCGACTCCGGAGAAGTAACTTATGCTGGATGGGAGCCTGGTGGCTATGGCAACCTTGTAGAGGTATGGAAAAAATTTCTTCTTTGTTCTTCCTGGTTTTGTTGTTCTTGGGGTGGAAAAACTTTCTCCTTGTTGCGAATTCTTTCCTTTCTTGCTCGTTTTCCTTGTTCTTGAGGATGGAAAAACACTCTTTTTTGGCCTTGCATTGCGAATTCTTCTTTCTTGTTCCACTGTTTACCTGCATTGGTTTCTCGTTTCATTCTAACTGTTTTTTTTTTTTTTTTCCTCTAGATTACGCACAGAGATGGATGGAAAACTTTGTACGCGCATAATAGCGAGATATTTACATGGGAGGGACGGCAAGTGAGGAGAGGAGAATGCATCGCGTCTGTGGGAGAGACCGGGCGAGCAACTGGTCCTCACTTGCACTGGGAGATCCGGGACAAGTTTGGCCATCCCGTGGATCCCTCCAAATACGTTAGCTTGTGAGTCTCGTCCACGATCTCTTCTCTTTCGTTTCTTCTTTTCTACTTCGAGCTACTTCACATTAGTCCAAAGCCTTCGGCGTTATTAATTGCTGTTAACAATCGCTCTTGGAGCTACAGGAAAGAAAAAAGACACAGAATTTATGAGAAGTTTTGGTGTCATACGAGCGAACGAACCTTTTCCTTAGTTTTGTATTCCGGAAGCAATAGGTGATTGAAGCACGTATGCGCGGTTGGAAGCCTCTCACAATCAGGTCCTGGAAATGAAAAGAGAAAAGTTTAAAACTGTGTGTTCTGGAAGGAAAAGCTTTTAGCTATAAACTACACCGTTTCGCGAGATGACGAACTGGAGATTCGAGAGGCCTTTGATGGGGGCACGATCGCTGCCAGTTGTGAAGAACAAAAGCTTTCTTTTTTGCTCCTCCGTGAAAGAATGGACAACCTGTAGATGGCGAATGAATTATTAACTGCGAAGGATGAGTTAAAACTTGTTACCTCCCAAAATTCCCGTATAATACGAGACTCTTTTGTGTAGCCATCGTCATACATGGCAACCTTCTCCCTGGAGTGAATCACACTTGAAAGAAGAACAAGAAGAAAAACAAGGGAAGCTTACAATGCCTCAAAATCAAGCCCGGGGCTGCCGCAAATTAGCTGCTCCAGCTCCACTGGCTGAAAGAGCTGAAAAAAACAAGACAGAAGAAGATGAGATTGTCTAGCAGCTAAACGATCGAAGCTTTCAAACTTACATCAAGGACTCGCCCCTTGCATAGCCGGCGAAATCCTTGAGAGAAACATTCGAACTGCCTCGCGATGGATTTTCCAAGGTAGTACTGCATCAAGAGAAGGTTGTTTACGCACAGAAATTGTGTTTAAGAGAATACACACTCACCTCAACACACAGCTTTACGTACTCGTCCCTGTTTTGCAAGTTAAGATCAATGTTCTCACCGCCTTCTTTCAGGTTCACCGTGGCTGTCCGCCCAAACATATCTATTTCCGAGATTTGGAACGTTCGTGAATACGTTTCCTGGAAACTCGATACAATTTTAAGGCACAAACAACGGTTTCTCGTCGCCTGCTTACCTCAACATCACCCGTGAATCTCAACAGATGCTCCAAACCCTTGGCAAGGTCAGGCTTCACCTGCAAAAACATGGTCTTTAGAGCTTTCCGAGGCCTGAGCTGCCAAACCTGACCCAAGTCGTCCAGAGCTAATGGTTTCCCCAGTAGTTTTTTGTACACTACGGTCGGGAAGTGTAGATCCAGGATATGACCATTGTAAATGGCCAGTCCCAGAAGAATTCCAACCAATTCAAACTCCGTGTCGAAATTTAGTTCGGACGGTGTTGCATTGAACCAGAAACATCGGGCTTCATCGCTGTACGAGAACATTCCATACTGCAGGTATTACGGAAGTTAGGACAAACTAAAACGGGCCATAAATACCTGTGGATTGAAAAGCTCGCGAACAAGAAGCTGGAAAAACTCTTTTTGTACCCCACCTTCGTCAATTCCCTCCTCCCCCACAAACACAACCTGCAAAGGATGCCTTTAAAAAAACAGGACCAGCTTGAAAGACTTGTGTCACCTTCAAAGGCTTTTTCAAATCACCTAACTGTTCTTGGATCTGTCAGAAGAAAACACGTATGGAAAGAATTGAAAAATCAGGACACCAAAGATCGAATCAAACTGCTACCTGCACAATTGTGTCCCGAACTAGAAAATCTCGCCTGACTCTCAGTATTAAATAGGGGCATGTCATGCCAATAAAAACCGACCGAAGAATCGCATCCTCAAACTCCTCCGTCATTTGAAATATCGAGTCCATCTGAAGAATTTTACTCTTGCTAGACGGGTCGAAAACAAACGGATACTGGCAAAATGAGAACTGCTGCCTGCGTACAAGACCACTCTATCAGTAGCTACAGTTGATTGAAACTATACAAACCTTGTTGGATCAACCCAGCGACTAAAATCGTCCTTGAGATTGAAGTCGTCGTTGTTTACAGCATCATTGTAGAAAGCCGAGTGGCCAATCCGGAGCGAAGATTCATTGACAGAGTCTTTTGTAATGTAAGTAGTCAAGGTAAAAGAAAAGCCAACCACGAAAATGTCCAAGGATACAGATGAATCCCAGAATTTCTACACCCGAGACGACCATTGTGTTTACTTGTTGAAACTCGTAAAGTTGTATGGTGATAAACTGCTGAATGACAACTACAAGCCGCTCTAATTGCTTTCCATCGTATCTGTGTGGAGAAACAACGTCAACGAAGGAATGAAAAGGAAAAGAACACATTACTCTTTCAAAGCTGAGAACAAACTGGCCCTGAAGCTCTGCGGTGCGTCCAAGACCAATCGCCACAGTCTCGAGAGAGTACCGTAGTAATCAGGCTCCATGAAAAGCCTATTCTGATAACACAAAGCCTCGTAAGTCATCACGCGAGAGACGTGACTGGAGTGAGTACCTCAAGCATGATAATAACAGCACGCAAAGATCCCGATGGCCAACTTCCATCTTTGAGAGAGCGAAGCAACGAAGCCAGCAATTGCTCGTTAGCTTCCATGATCGCGAGATTGACTTCCGGGGCTTCCTGGAAGATAAAAAAGTTTGAAGTCTCGAAAGCTGCGAGGCGACTGAGAAAGTGTACCAGCCTTAGTGCCGAAACGTAGAAGTCCTCGAGAAGCGATAGCTCCATTCCAGCCACTGTGGTCACAGCCAAGAAAAAAGAAGATGAAAAAACAAGAGGAAGCGTAGAAAAAAGATGGAAGGATCCTTCACCTAGGGAGCTACTAGAATCACTGTTTGGAGGAGTTTTCGAGAGGAAGCAAGTACTAACAACATCCACGGACGAGAACGCGAACTTGATCGTCTCGATGAGCTCCCGGTACTGCCTCGTCTCTCCGGCCTTTGCGATCGCATCCAGCAGAGACGCTGGATCCAGAGGAGGATCCACTGTGTGTCAGAAGGAATTTTTTTTTCAAGGATTTCAGATAGTGGAGGAGCGACTGGTTACCATTGCCATACGCGACCTTCAGCGCCAATGCTGCTGCTTCGTTCGCAAGCATCCCTCGCTCGCGAAACTCGTCGAAATACCTGCGACCAAGGCGAGGAATCCTCTTAGAAATCGCGCGGCGGCGACGCTGCTGCTTACTTCATCACATCCAGGCGGACGTTCTCCTTGCTGCTGCTGCTACTGGTGGTGGAGGCGTCCTCCATCGCCGGGCAATCGCGGAGAAGAAGAAGAAGCTCGGCGGCCTAGAAGAGGAGGCATCCCGTCCCTCCTCTGTTCATCACCAATACCCTATGACTTAGAACCAGGAATCGACCCCAAAACCCAGAGATATTCTTTTTAGAATATACTAAGGATATACTTTAAAGCAATGTCCTCCGGGTACGTGGAAGATTTTGCTACTCTCTTACCACCTTTGCTCATGCGAGAAGAGAGCGAGGAAGAGCTTCGATCTGATCGAAGATCAAGACGAGCAACATTGGAGATGGAGAACAGTGAAAACGTTGTCATTGCAAACATCTTGATCTCGTCCAGCAACAAGTCTTCCTCGACATTGTGCCTAGAAACAAAGGAACGAAGTTGCTTTATTTTTTCCATACTGATCCCAAACTGATGAAAGTCTCCTGGAATCCCGAGCAAGAGTATCCCCATCACGATGCCGTTGTCTTGTTCTGGGACACTAGTTCTTTTAACATGGCGACGGCTTGTACATCCAAACCAGCAAATCAATGGACTTGGGTGTGGCCTTGTTCGTTCTTGGCATCGGCTGGATCACACTATCACTCTTCATTGGGAGAATTCGATCGTCGAAGCAGCAGCTCCCTCCTCTTCCCCGTTTTTGGAGCGCTCTTCTCCCTCAAGGAGCCACTCCACCACCACTTCGCAAAGATCAGCAAGAAGTATGGGCCGATTGTCTACCTCGAGATTGGAATGGCCCCGGTCGTACCACAGGGATAACTGGCTTGTAAGCGTTCATAGCGACGTTGCTTTTTGATCCTTCGATGTTGGCTCTTCAACAAAATGGCTGCACAGGTTCTTAAGGCCCATGGTCTCGAGTTTGCAAGCCGGACGAACAACGAGTTCTTCCGGATCGTCAGTCACGCTTGGAACGATCTCATCTTGGCGCCCGTCGGTGATAAGTGGAAGATTATGAGGAGAATTTGCAGCACACACCTGTTTAACAACAGTATGCTCAAGGCAAGCTCAGGATTCCGGGAGTCGGAGATGAAGCATACAGTCAAGTCCATTATTCAGCAGTCCGGGGCAACGATCAAGCTGCAAGAGGTTTTCAGCGGTCTCTTGTCAATTTCGCTATGTTTGGTTCTTTTCAGCGAGCGGGGGCTGGAAGTTGTGGATCTCATCCGGAACATAGTCGCTCTAAGCTTGAACTTGAACATTGGACTGCTGTTTCCAGCACTCGACCCCTGGATCTTTATGGAGTCTACAAGAAACGCAACTCAGAGCTCATGCCTCGCCTGAAGCTCTTGCTGGAAGATCAATCGACAAGCATCGACGCAGGAAAGATCAAGCTGGGGAAGGGTTCGTCCCTCGAGACTTCACTGACGTTCTTATATCTCTCGAGGACAAGGATAAGTTGCCAGACATCTCCATTTTGGCACTGCTCTCGGTAGCTTCTAGATCATGGTCGTGATCTCTCTTTTCTTCCCTGTTGCGACAAGACATGGTTATCGCGGGGCTGGAAACCTCACTAGTGACGCTGGAGTGGACAATGGCGGAGCTCATAAACCATCCCCGAGTCATGTCCAAGGCTCAAGAGGAGATCGACAATGTTGTAGGGAGAGCTCGCGCTGTGCAAGAATCCGATCTTCCAAACCTTCCATACATCGAACCCATTGTCAAGGAATCACTGCGTCTCCACCCGGCCATCCCACTGGGAGCTCCTCGCATGAATCTCAAGCCCGTTAAGTTGGCCGGCTACACCATCCCTGGCGGCTGCAAGGTTTTCGTCAACATATGGGCCATTGGACGAGATTCCGCTCGCTGGTCCGACTCAGAGGCGTTCCAGCCGGAGCGTTTTCTCGGCTCCAGCGGCACCATCCCTGTCAATGGGCAGAACTTTGATTGGGATTGACATGGAAGAGCGGACGAGAAGTATGACGATGAAGCTCAATGCTGACTTGCTTGTGGGTCAATCAAAATATTAGTGTTGAGAGGTATATTCCATGTTTTATTTATATGTTGATACAAAGTTCCAATGGACAAGCTGGACATGCTAGGCACTTTGGGGCCAACACGATTGTCGTGACGCTTGTAAGCTAGGCTACAATATTTTTTATTTTCTTGCAATGTCTTGAGTCAACTGTTATTGGAGTTTGTAATTTAAAAACATAAGTTTTATAGTAACTAGATTCCATCACCGGCCAGTTCTTCTATGGTTTATAACAGTGTCCAAGCACCAATTCGCATCAAACTTCTCACCCGTTATGAAAGCTGGATGGTAACGGGCAGAGGAGTAGTGATAGTAAAGCGTGTTGGAAAGAACAGTAGGAAGACACTCAAGATACTTCACAAACGCGTGTTTACCTTCACCTCTTGCCTGAGTGATCAGAATGTTGTGGTAGTATACAAATTCTTGCTCCTTGTCCACGATCATCTTGCAACTCTTGTCCACTGCATTCTGGAATGACTCCACCTCCGGATCCGAAAGAAGCAGCAACACTGGAAGGTTCAGCAGTTTGTTGCATGCAAACTCCTTTGCAAACGAGAGAACATCATTGTACATAGATATATAGTCAATTCCAGCATCTCGCAGAATTAGATAGTCCTCTGATTCCAGTTCCGTGTCCGGAACTGCGACTTCAAGTGCCATCTCTATGAAGCTGAAGATAGGCTCTAAGAACACATCAAACCTTCTCCATTCGATATACTGCTTGACAGATTGAAACTTGGGCCTGCTTGCCATTCTGCTGAGTGCATACCTCTCAAACTGTGCTACAAAATGAGCATACACTGGAGGAAGCATGGATGATCTTATCTCAGTAACAAGCTCTTCAGTGGCCCTGTAAACTCGAAGTGGAAGGTGATCGTCCGATGCCTGGATCTTGAAATTAGGATTATGGAGGTGATTAAGGATTGTGGAATAGTAATCTTGAAGAATGGTACTTTCAACGAAGCCCTCATCAACCGAGTCGTCCACTAATAAGGCAAACATGCTATACTTTGAGCAAATGACAGCATTTCTCTTGGATCCAAATGGCACTACGAGGGTTGCAAACATTGGGATTTTCCAATCTTCCAAAGCCTTTCTATCAGCGGCTGTCATTTTTGGATCCATGAACTTGTATGCCCATTCATGGGCCTTGTTGGATGCATAGATGCTATCTGGATGGCAAGGGACTGAAGGAATGGAGCAAGGGATCTTTGGGAGGTGGAAATTCTTGAGGCCTAGCAACTTCTCAATAGCATAGATCTTGTCTAGAGCTAAAGCCATGGAATCGAGCTATCAGACTGAGAGAAAGTGGGAAAGCAAGAAGGGTTTTATATACTGGTCTTATGCCTCCAGCGGTGATTGTTAGAAAGTGTTACAATGATGTGGATGTTGCTTAGAAATTGTTTTCATTCACATGGTTTACTAGAACCCATAAGCTGACTTTAATTTTTATGTTTCATGTGCACATGATTGTTCTTGTTTCATATGGTTTTCTAGAATATACAAAGGATATTCATTTTTTAGAATATGCAAGGGATATTCGCTTACAAACTTTTACTCTAAAGGTAAAGTTAAACTTGTTTTTAAAATAATTACTTTTTGCCACCTGTTAGGGCTTTACAGAGTATATTCGAGCCCTATGTCCTAAAGAGAGGAGCGCGAGCTCGCGGCGATGGCAATCGGCGCCAGGAATCCCTATTTGATTTCTTCTCCCCCTCGCTCGGCCGGGTAAGCAAAAGAATTTGCGCTTCTTTCCTCACAATTCATTCCTCGACCAGGAGCATTCTCTCGTCCAAGCTTTCCTCCACCGCCATGGCTTTTCTTGGCCCTTGGAAACCAGCAAGGAGGAAGTCGCGGCACCGGATTGCCGCCGAGAACAACAATTCTCTCGCTTCTTCCTCCTCTTCCTCCTCGCAGGGATTTCGGATTAACGGCGGCAGTAGCACCGATAGCGAGAATGCGCTTAGCAGCTGGTGGCAAGAGGCGTTCGCGAGGATCGATTCCAGCGGAGGAACGAGCTTGCTCCAAATGCTGCACGAAGGAGCTCGAGCTTTCCAGGTATCGGTGGAGAGGAATGAGTCGCTCAGCAAGGGCTCGTGGCTCGTCAAGAAGTGGACAGGGTTTGGCTTCGATACCAAAGCTTGGATGAAGCTCCTCTCTTACCAGGTATGCTCGAAAGAAGATTTTTTTGCTTTTTCCTCCGACCTTTCGCTTTGTTTCTTTTCGTTAAACTTGCTTTGTTTTGCTTGTAAAAGGTCTCTGTTTACTCCTTGCTCCAAGCGGCCATGGAGATTGCAATGCGGGGAGATGGAAGGGATAGAGACGTTCACATCTTTGTCCAAAGAAGGTGATGGATGTCTCACAGTTTGGTTTTGCTTGATGTTTTTTTCTCTTGCAGTCTTTCGCACCAGTGCGCTCCGTTAGAAGAATCCATCAAAAAACTTTTATCGTCTCGGGATCCTTCCGCGGACTGGCTTTGGCAACAGCAGCTTCCGTTCATGGTTGCGAGCTACGTGAACATCCTGGAAAAGGATCCTCACTTCTCGGCAGTGACATCGACGTAAGTTTTATGTATTCTACTGTGTGTTTCTAAGTCGTTGGTTTGGTTTGTTCTTGGCAGTACAGCTTGTCCTTGTGAGGCTAGTGATGTTGCGCTGCTAAGATTGACCATCACTGCCTGTGGCGCAGCGATGAAACTGGGACCGGCAACAGTTTCGTGTGCTGCTTTCACAAGCACTCTGACGGACGAGATCGGACGATTGATGAACATGCAAACGGAGTTTGTTTCCATCACCGAGGTCTACAGCTTTTCCTGTAACTTGGGACTTCGTCGGGAGTTTCTGTCCTACTTTGGCTCCAGAGCTGCCAGCGGTCCCTTGGGTGGTGCAGACGAAAGGGCCTTCTGGGTTGATCTTTCGGAGCAGTTTTTGAGGAACGCTCTTACTCGAGAAGGCGTGCTAACAAAGCTCAGACCTTACGACACAGCGGAGGTAACGTGTTCATCTTAACAGTTGCTGGTGCTGATGTTTTATGGAAGGCAGGCACTGGAACGGGATTTGGCGACGTTTGGATTTTTTGCTGCGCTTGGTAGACGCGCCCGTGCTTTCTTGTCCAGAAAGCCGGAGTCACAACTCGATGAGCCTATCGCGAGCTTGCTCAGGTTTTACGCATTTTGTTGAGTCCATCTCTAAGTTTCATGTGTCCTTGTAGATATCTGGAAGGTGGATGTGTGCTCTTCTATCCACAGCTTTCGACTTTGACATACTATCAACTTTTTGTTGAGGTTCTCTTTCCGAATTGTTTCTTTCCTTTAGTTTGTCGTACTGAGTCATATTTTTTCATATTTTTTCATCTTAGGTGGTCTGTGAGGAACTTGAATGGCTTCCATTGCTTCCCGAAGCATCTCTACTCGGCAACAGCGGAGCATCGGACACGGTTGCTATCTACACTGTATTAAATGTTTGTTCGCGCTGGGTACCGGATTTTCTGAAATACAGCACCTGGGTTCAAGATCCTTCCGGCTCGAGAGTGGTCGACTTTCTCATCAAATGGTGATTTTTATCTTCTATAAACTTTCCGCGATCTAACCTACTTTGTGTGCTTTGTGATTAGCCAATCACGATTGATTGAATGCCGTGAAAGATACAATATCAGCTTGGATTCCTCAAGGTAAAATTTTCTTTTCTTTCACAAAATTGATAGCTGATGTACGCAGAGAATGCGTCGTGGAGGAGGATCGAGGTTTGCTAACAGCAAGTGGTGTTGTTACTGCACAGAAGCAACTTCAACTACTTGATGAGGCAAGGAGACAAAGAAGAGAACAATTGGGATTGCGTTTTTACTGTCGTGTTTTCCTCTATAGGATCTGCGAAACATGGAAGAATCGATCTGCAAGCTAGAAAGCTTGCTGCAGAGCTCGCAAAGTGGCAGCAGGGCTGACAAGCTCGAAGCTCTCGGGAAGGATTTGGAACGACTGCGGCGGCTGAAAAAGGAAGCTGAAGCTCTCGAGGCGTCTTTCAAAGCAAAAACAGACGTCGGGGTATGCTGGAAATTCTCGTACTTTGCAGGAAACTCATCTTCATTCACAGGGCTGCTTGGATGACGGCAGCATCGCTCCGGAGCTAAGCGAGAACGCAAAAACTTACAACGACGTCTTCAACAAATCCATCGAGAAGCTGAGGGAGGCGAGCTCGGATCTGTGGAGAGGCACGCAGCTGCTTAGCACAGACGTCGCGTCGGCGACTATTCTCTTGAAAAACGGCGCTCTCGGACAGCAACTGACCGAGCGAGAAAAGAAGATGCTGATGCGGACCTTCACGGATCTCGCCTCGGTGATACCAATCGGATTTCTCATGCTGCTACCTGTGAGTAGAAAAAGAGCTAGTTTTGCGTGATACGTTGATCGATTGAAAAACTTACTTTGATTCGTATCAGGTGACCGCGGTTGGCCACGCTGCAATGCTGGCCGCGATCCAAAAATACGTTCCAGCTCTGGTAAAACTCTAGAGCTCTATCCAAGTTTTTACTCTCCCAAGTTACTGATTCTTTTTATCGTTTTCTAGATACCGTCCGCTTACGCGCCGGAGCGCCTGGATTTGCTGAGACAGCTCGAAAGAGTCAAGCAACTTGAGGCTCAGTCGCAACAGCAAGCAGACAAGCGCGAGAAATCCGACTCGACTGACTGACCAGCAGCGAAATCCGTGACAAGAAGATGAAAAGCCTTTTTTTTAGTTCTCGAGATTCAGTCAAAACAAAAGGCGAGAAGCAAAAAAAAACTTGGGACGACAAGTTTCTACTCGCCCTTCTTGGAGATCACGTCCTGGATCATGTCGGCGGCGTCCTGGACAGTGACGATCTTCTCGGCACCCTCGTCGCCCAGGCTGATCTTGAAGGCCTCCTCCAGGTTCATCATGATCTCAACCTGTGTATCGATCAAGAACAACGGAAATAAAAGCTGGATGAGAATGGTGCTCGAAAGAATCAAAGAGAAGTTCTTCCAAGTTGGGAACTTCTCGAGAACCTGGAAGGAGAACTTACAGTGTCGAGCGAATCGGCCCCAAGATCCGTGAACTTGGAAGTGGGACTCACTTTGTCCTCTTCCACGGACAGCTGGGAAGCTATAACCTTTTGCACAGTAGCCAGAGTCTCAGGCTTGGCCTGGTAAGAACACGTAGAAAACACGAGAGAGAAAAAAATGGTAGCGTTAAAAGCCCAAATAATCCATGAATTCGATCGAGAGAAGGGAAGAGCTTGCTCACCGCGAGGCAGGAGACCTGGAGGCGCCGAAGAGAGCTCGTGGAGAGCACCACGGCCCGGGCCTTGAATCCCAGCGCAGTGCATGGTCTCAAATCCGCGCCGAGCGCCTGCGAAATCCAGAATCCACGGGGTAAGGCGATAGATCTCGGCGGCGCTGCATGAAATTTCACCTGGGCAGGGCAGAAGCTGGAGATTGCGGCGGCGGCGGCGGCGGAGGTAGCGGCCATGGGATTGACGAGGATTTGGCGACGATCTAAGGAGGCGCGCGTCCGCGAGAGATTATGAGAGAGTGAGTGACCATGCAAGCCAAGATCGCGTGTCTCACCTGGGGATGTAGATTTGCGCGAGCTCCTCCCGCGGGAGAGGCGAGAGAGAGAGAGAGAGAAGAGAGAGAAGAGAGGATGCGCTGCGCTGCTTGTGAAAACCCTGGGAGACGTCCGCCTTAAAACCCTCCTCCTTGCCGTTAATTTCTACGGTGGAGGATGCTCCAGCGCAAAATTAAGTTAAATTTCTTACTAAACTGATATGAGTTTGATAGTACTTTTTGTCCTAAAAGGTACGTCAGCCCTAATTTCTGCTGGTTGACAGCATTGGAATCTAAAGCAAAGGTCCTACTCACACACTCTACACCGCTAGCAAGATCACTCAGATCTTTTCTTTGAGCAAGGCGACGAGAAAGAAACCTGCTTTCTCTTCTCAAAGCCTCCACTCTTCTCCCTCCCAAGCATTCCCTCTTGAGGATATTTCGCTCGAGGTCTAGAGGTTCCGGAGGCTTGCGAAAATGCAAATCGAATGGCTCGTCTCCTCCACACCATGAGGATTCATTCTGGCAGCTGTGGTGATAGCAGGAGAGAAAAAGGAACAAGCGTGGACGGCAGGATTCGAACCTGCGCGGGCAGAGCCCACATGATTTCGAGTCATGCCCGATAACCACTCTGGCACGTTCACATTTCTGGGTATAGCTAGCAGCTGAAAAAAAGTTCCATGGATTTGCTTGGGGACAAAAAAAGATACGCTCATATCAGGGATAAAAAGTCCACAAGATAGATAAATAAATGTTTGTAAAAGTCATGGGGACCCGCAGGGCATCAGACCTGTATACATAGTTTCGTGGTTTGAGTATTTGTAAATACAAGTAAATACATGATAAAACTAAAAAGATTCGTGTTAGAGTGGTTATTTCATGTGGGCTTTGTCTAAACTACAAGATAGCAATGTGGATTCAGTATACTTTGACCATTGTTTCGTGGAATAGTCACCTAACCATATGAACATCGATTGGAAGCAAAGTCCTGGGCACAGCTTGAGGGAGTTTCTTTTCTTGCGGTCAATGGAATTTGAGATGGTGTACATTTGGATAGCTTGGATTGAGGGTGTAGACTTCACTCTACTCAAAGTATTTGCTGAATCGTCACCAGCTCTTCACAATTTGGGCTGATCATCACTCAAAGGAGGAAAAGGAGCTTACAGTTATTGTTTCTGTTCCTGTATGTAACTATACTTTGGAATACAAGTGGAGCATGGGTCATTATAACTTAGAAGGTAGACAAAGACAAAATCTTTGACTAAAATGAGGAAGTCAAGAAGAGAAATAAGCTCCTTAGACGTGGATTTCTGCCTCGAGTTTAACAGAGCAGGGATAATACGATGGAACATGTTGATCTCGCGAAAAAAATCGGTCTTCGCTTTCTTCAAGTTAGGCTGATATGTTGAATGTGGAGGGCGTCAAACTGAGCAACGTGACTTTTTTTGCCATTCTTGACGCATCTGAATTGGCTGCGGCCCAGTCCACAAGTATCCTTTAAGTTGTTTGCTAATCACCTTGCTGCATATGGCAGAAACTCAAATCAAAAATAAAAAATCAAATTTACCTTGATCTTGCTGTTGCTTCTCATGGGCAGGGCAGCAAAAGTACGGCTCCATAGCTCCCCTCTTGACCCGCTTGCATCTGTTCGTATTGACAAACCCAGAACACCGAACAGATTTCTCAAGAGGTAGCTCCTCATCCTCAAGTGCTGTTGCATAAGTCAGAAATTCAAACATGTCAAAAATAAAAGAAGAAAGTTCACCTTGATCTTGCTGCTGCTTCTCATGTGCAGGACAGCAGAAGTACGGCTCCTCAGCTCCCCGCTTGAAGTGCTTGCATCTGTTCATATTGACAAACCCAGAACACTGAACTGCCTTCTCAACAGCTAGTTCCTCAGGCTCAGGAAGCCTCAATTGATCAACAAATGCCAACGTTCCATCAAGTTCTGCAAAGTTGCGGAAACTCACATTTGCTGCAGCAACAATGAATGAAGTTAGCACGGATAAACACCTTTAGATAGAAAATAGCTTACCGCCCGCTAAGTCTGTATCCTGGTGACAAACATGTGGCAAAACGTAGGTATAAGACACACTGAAATCTACCAACAGTTCCTGGAACGCCAACCACTGAGGAAGGATCTCATTTTTCCATGCAATATGGCTCTGGCGTGCTAGCTTTCGTTTGGTTGATGACACTGAGATCTGTACTCCCTCCACTACCAGCACGTATTGCTCGCCACCTTTTTCCACCTGTAGCCACACTAAATCAACGGCCTTTTCATTGAAGTGTCGGGGGCAAAACAGAACCCCAGAGAGCAGCTCCGTCATAGTAGTAGCCACCAAAACTTCCAACTCATGCCCAGTGTCATACTCCTTCCAACAGGAGAAGAAGTGGCCAAGTATGCTTCCCTTTGCCTTCACTACATTCACCACCAAAGCCTCCACATTCCAGCCAAGCCTTGCAGAGTTGCGGGCTGAGAGAACGGCCGCATTTTTCCGAACGTCAAATGCCCATATACTTCGTGCATCAGGTAACCTAGACAAAGCTTTGGACCTATTCATAACTTCAGCTGCCAGCAAGTCTGCCAAGTATCTGGAAATGAGCTTCACTGTAATCTCCTTTGAAACGTCAATATAAGCGCATGACCACGGGACAGCCTTGAGCTCAGCAGGGGCAATTGCTCCCTCGGTAGCAATTCTCATGGCTAGCTCAAGCTGGGGTGCTTCCTCCAGTCCACCAACATACCTTATTATATCCCTGGTGTAGGATTCGATAAGCATGTCAAACGAAGCTGTTTGATTGGCCTGGACATACAGCTGAAGCAGCCGTGGAGTGAGCCCTGTGTGGTACACCATTGCCTGTGTGGTGCCGACACCGAACGGGGATTTTGCCAGCCAAGTCTTGAACTCCTCCACAGTGAAGGGCCCATTGAACTCCATCTGCAAAGGCTTCTTGTCTGTTAAGTGATATTCCATGGCGGATTCAGATGTTGTTGAAGCCACCTTGACTAGGACATGGAAGTAGCTCACGTCCTTAAGTGCACACTTGGACTCTATAACGTTCGGATAAACAACATGCTTCTCCCGTTTCGTATCCAAGCAATTCCACTCGTCCACCACAAACATCAGCTTGTGCTTTGAGTACCCAAAAATGCCTACCAACTCTAGAAGCGAGTTTGCAGATAACACCAGTTTTTGGGTTGATTCATCGTCCGCAAACGCGAGGAGGAGCGCCTCCTTCAAGACCGTTACAGGGTTTAGAGCGAACTGGTGTCCAACAATGTAGACAAGTCGTCGACCACCAGGCCTCCGGACAAGCATGTGTCCAGCGATAGCGGCCGCGAGAACCGTCTTGCCCGACCCCGATACTCCCGTGAAGAGCAGATTGCTGCGTCGTGGTAGCGACACAAAACGATTGTACACCTCTTTGGCCCTTTCACGGCCCAGGTAAGAGAACCAGCTCCCAGCACACCCCAGAGGCGAGCGGACAGACGGCCAAGGTAACTTCAGAAACAGGCTAGGGTCGCTCAAATCTTCCACTTCTAGTGTCTGGAAGCATTCCGTCAGACGTGTATAGGCCGCAGCTACCTCCTTCAATAGATGCCCTCGATCCATGGCCCTAAACCTAAAGTGCAGATACCGTTTATACTGTTCTGCCGTACTGCAATCCACTGCAAATGCCGTGACCCGGTTTCAAGGAATCTTTCCAGCACCCAACTCCAAAGTCATTGGATTGTGCACTTGATGGCTGCTGCTCACCTGATGAGGATGTTGGAGCTAAAATATGCTACGAATAAACCAGTTTTCTCAATTGAATGGATTATCAACCCACATTTTTTAATCAGGGACCAATCTGCCACTTTTCTCAGGCAACCAAGATTCTCTATAATGGTGTCACAGCATAATCACTTTGTGAGTGAGCAAGTGTGTGGGTGGAGACTCTGTTGGATGATGATTAAGACCTGGAAATTGCACTTCAGAATAGCCATGGAACCCTCACAGTGTCTTTGTGGCTCCGCAAACTTAACAGAGGTGGATAGCTGCTGACGAGGGAAGTCGCTCCTACTAAGTAAGCCACATGAAATACCTCATCTTTGCCTACCACCAGATCTTGTTAATGCACAGCGGGAAGTAGAGGGCGTGGATCCACTAGGCTCTCGCCTGCCTGATGAATGTAGATTGGGTTGGGGTTCTAGATGAGGTTTTGGCACAGCTTTGTCTCATATTGAAAGAACTCCTTGTATCTATTACCCTTCCATTGCCATTCCATTGGATCCCACTTAAGCTTGCAAGATCAAACATTGAACAGGCACAAGCTCGTTATTCAAGGAACCACAAGAAAAGGATCAATGATCATCCCTTTGGTGTTGGAGATTCTGTCAGGTGTCCTAGGAAGGAAGTGTTCTTCACGGTACGATGGGCCTTATTTGGTGATAGATCAAACAACTCAAGCTAAGATGGCAATTTTGGCTCAGCAAACAGAGAATGCAATGCCACGGACAGTGTTAGCCACAGAGTTACGATTCTCTAATTTAATATTCAACAGCAATGTTAGAAGTCCTGGAGAGCATTCAATCAGACCCATGTTTTCTCACTCTCCTTCGAGTACACAATGTTTATATCTAGTTATGTATGGGACATCGGTCTAGGAGTTGTGTGAGGACACACAAAATTTAAACGGGGGAGTGAGCGCTACATATGTAGCGGGCTAAGGTGTCCCGTTCGAATAGGTCCTGGTTTTGGTGGAGGTGAGGGGCAGGCACACAAGACATTGATGCTGTGCCTGTCCTTCATTCAATGGACCATGCTAAAGGTGCTGGACGAAAAACCCAGGGACCTGTTGGGAGCATGACGAGAGTCATCATGGCTCATGGCATCGATGCTTTCAGTGCAATGCTAGAGGCTTGGTTGGAAAGTGATGCAAATTGAGGAAAAAGTCTGATTTCTGAGGCATAGTAACTGAGCTGGACAAAAGAGCTGCTTCTCTGTTTGAACACCCGTGCGTAAGAGGAAACTGACTGTGGCTGGTGCTGTGGCAGGCTAGCATTTTCTCCTTGAGACATGGCAAGTAATGAGGCAAATGGGGTTCAGGACGAAGTGAGGAATGAGGGAGAGAAGCTCCAAGGGATGCAGGTTGTAAGCTCTTTGCCTCCAGGCCTGTCCGAAGAGCAGATTCCAGCGATAGTCTCTGACATCCCAGATAGCAGATGCTTTGGTCATGAGAAGAAAACTAAGTGTCTCCTTCAGCCATTATGTCGGATGATAATTACAAGGCAGTAAAAACTGCGAAGCATGCTTTTTATCGTGGTTTTCCTGAATACTACAAGGTGGTCAAATTAGGTTGACGGCCCGACAGCCTCGACCCGTTGGCCGTGAGCTCGGTGGAGTTCGCAACGAGCTTGCAGCTGTACAGCTCCAATGCAGCCGCGAAGGAAAGCCTCCAAGCTTCGTCATACTTCATCACTCCAAGCGAGAGAACTTCATATGTTTCCTTGGTTGTCCGCACTCGACGTTGTTTGTAAGGTGGTAGAACATATACCAAGATTACATTACTTACTCCATGGCCATGCTTTCCCTTGCCAGACGATCCACTACTCCTCGATAAATTCCCTGCCTAAAAGAGAAATAGTATCATAAAGAAGGAAGAAAGAAAGAAAAACTTACATGCTTTGCGATCAGCGTGCTAAATGAACCGTCCAGGGCATTTCTGAAAGAGAAAACCTCAGGAAAACAAAAAGTTGTCCAAATTTCTTACTTGTGCAATCCTTGCGGCACTAGCCGAATAACTTGGGTATAGTTTATAGCTTGTGTGCTTGTGGCTTGCCTAGATGGATTTTTTGAAGGAGAGATCACTGGAGGCCAAATTTCCTTAATGGCAATGGGATCAAGAGGCTCTAGGGACTCAGATGTTGAAGTGGAGAACACTTATTAACAATCAAAATTTACAATAAATAGAAATAAAATATATCTTCCTTGTCCACGATGATAGTGTCCTGGTCCTTGACATCTAGGCCCTTGTAGTTGACAACAAATTCCTGTTTCAAGCAACTGGCCAATCTACACACCTCGTTCTTGCTTGCAAAGATGACACTAAACGCACCTCCACCAGCGACCAGAGCCTCATGTCCCTTGATTGCCACCAATGTAGTTGTCAAGAAAGGCCCCCACAGGTGATACTGGAAAACAGTAACTTCATGTTGGTATCAAGTTTGTCTATGTCGCCCACCTTTCCAGAGAAAATTTCTATGGGCCTCTTGCGATTCACCGAGAACTCGTCATCTTCCCATCTGCTTGAGAAAGGACCATCCGGATCGTCTTTCTTAGAGCCTTCTTCATGACGATGGAAATCTCATGGTTCCAAAGGGACGAGCCACGACATGAAATAAGAAATAACTCGACTTGCAGTTGTTAAGCCACCTCGATCGCTTCCTTGCAAAAGCCGTAGCTCTTCAAGGATTCCTCCAAGAGCTTTCCAAGTCTGTAGCACTTCTCCTCCATGAAAGGAACGGTTTCTCCGAAAAGCCAGAAATTAAACTTGGATAACTAGTGTTAGCTCACCTCTGTGAACAGTCCACTGTGCCTCGGGCATGCGAACGATGGTTATCGCTTCCCCTTCGCCTAATTCACAACTTTTGATCTTGTGCTGAAAAGTAAGAAGTCAGGCCATACGTTCACCGGCGCACTCCAAGTGGTCCCTGCATACTAAATTCCTCAACTCCTAAACCGAATATTCACAGAAAACGTACGGACTAATTTTATTTTCCATTTAAAATAAAGTTTATAAGAATTATTTTGCAAAAAACACTTTAAGACCGAACTTTAATAGATGAAACTTACTTGTAGCAAATAGCGCATTCTGACCTGCGCCGTGTTATAAACGATGTACTCGTTGTACTCCAAGCTTCCCTGGACGAGCAAAAGAAGTAACACTCAAGCCATGCTTGGCTTAGTACCTGATGGTAAGCACCCGAAGTTAAAGGTTTCCCCATTGGTACTATCAAGCCGTCTGAAAGTTGCTTAAACTCGCTCTTGTGAGGTACTGTCCTCCCGAGGCCCTTGGTGCTATTGGTCAAATGATAAAAAAGCATTGAGAGTTTAGAGAGTATAACGCGTCAACTCACCTCAGTTTCCCTGGTGGAAGCGCACTAGCATTGTAGTTCCAGTGTAGCAGCTCGTTCATGTCACCAAGAGCAACCTGGAAGGAAATCGTGAAATCGTGAAAACGTTTCAAGCAAAAGAGATTGGAACTTTAATCTAGCAAAGGAAAACCTCGCACAGAAGCATTACTGCCGCGTTTTTACTCGCGCTAGCATTGCAGTAATTGGCACTCTTGGAGACCATGTCCGCAAAGTAAACGCCTTTCCCAAACATGTAGCCCGTGGATGGTGCTTCAGGCGGAGCGATTCGGAGTCCTGTTGAGACACGGACACACGAAAACCACGTCAAAAATTGTTAGCAAAAAGTGTTACTGCGCATACATACCTTGGGAGAGTATGCCGGTCCAGTTGCTCAGCCTCGAGCCATGCCACAGTAACATCCGATTGTGGTTGTCTTTGAACTGAGCGTCCAGATTCTCGCTGGTAAGAGCTCCCGGAAAGCTGAGTAAAACGTAGAACTTACTGGCTGAAAGCGTTCATCTTCTCCAGCTCTGCTGACTTTGAAGGCCTGGCAAATTTCGAGCTTGTATCCGGAATGAGTATGGCCGTGGGTGTTCATCAAGTAGCTTTCGATCTGTTAGAACGGAAAGAGTACTTGTGAGGAGAACGCCAGAGAAAGGATAGTGATTTTACCATTTCATATTCTTCGGTGTCAGTATTGAGAGGGTCCAGCTCGCATTTGAGACGTTTGTACTGTGCGTATGCGGGATCATCCTGGGGAGAAGCAAAAAACCTTAGAAAGTAGTGAACAAAACGTTCATACCTCGTTCCCACTCTTGAGGATCTTCGTTGCAACTTGAATCTCACCGAGTGCCTCAACCTGACACAAAAAAAGATGTTCGACTTAAAGAGGACAACATTTCCGCGATTCTCTCCGACCATTTCCAGCTTCGACTTGAGCTGCTCCTTCGTGCGGATTGTTTGGTCTCCTAGAAATTCCAGGTCACATAGAACTCTACCTAGAAAAAATCCGAGTTACTTATGGATCGGTGCCCAAAGTTATGTGGAATAATCGTGTAGAATTCACTGCAAAGCGAGACGTCATTAGCGAATTACTGGGAGGAAAGCTCTTACTTGCTTAGTTGCCGCAACAGTTCTGCATCTGGAGAGCTCAGTTCTAGCTGTGCTGCAATCTTCTTCAAAGCTTCATAACCCTTTCCGTAGAAAACAAAAGAAGTCAGTCGCTTCTTAACTCGGTAGCCAGAATATCACCTTAAGGATTGTAGCTTTGCTGAGTTTGCCGAGGGGCATCTTTTGGGCGTTGTATCCTGGGAATTTGACAAACTCGAGTTAGAAAAAGAGAAGTTCCAAGCTTAAGTCGAGCTAGAAAAAGAAAGCTTAAGTCGAGCTACAAGAAGAGAACTTCCAAGCGAAAGAGAGAAGGTCCAAGCTCACCGATCTCAGTCATCTCCTGTTTCATCATATTCAAGTCGCAAACAAGTGAAATCAGCCTGTGAACACGAGCGTCCAGTTTTGTAGAAGTGTTACTCTCGGCGACATCCTTCACAACAGTTTTCGACTTGAACGGAACAGTAAACAAGTGAAAAGCCTGCCTTGCTTTCGGAAGAGTCTTCGTAGTCCATCTCCAGCAAAGTATACTTCCCAGGTTGAGACACAAAGTTGTGCCGGTTGCTCCAGTGGTTCTTCGTCTTGTCCAGAAACTTACGCTCGAACTCTCGCACTGCTGGCTCTGTCGTGTCGTGCTTGCTCAGATTGGATGCGCTTGAGCCGACTCTACCCCATCGCGCAAACGTATAGTACGCAGTTCGATCATCAGACTCTTCAGAAAAAGAAAAGCGCAAGATCAGTCAGTGCATAGAAAAAGTCAAGAGACTACCTAAGACTTGCATCGCGTAGTACTTGTTGTTGTTGCTGGAAATGTTGGTCTGATTGAGCATTGCATCGTAGATGGTATCTCCCTGTTCAAGGATTTACACAAATCATCCATGAAGTAACTTGGAGAGAGCTTACAATTTCTAGGACATGGCAGCTGGATTTTAGCTCGTCCGGCAAACCATGGTCTAAAACCACACGCCCCTTCTTCACCGCGATCACATCCTGTTTGGCGGGAGCGGCCATAGCAAAGCTCCTTCTAACCGGCGGGAAGGCCGCGCGAGAGCAAGGCGCCAGCATCCTTGATCCTCGACCGCCCTAAAAATGCATGAAAGGTAAACCCTAAATTTTGAAAAGTATTCTAGCATATTCGAGCTTGGCATTACTTTTGCACGGGTTTAGGGTTCTTGGATTTTTTTTGTAATGGCGGGCTTGGCGATAGCGTATTGTGTTCCAGGTGTGGATGAGCGATGGCAGAATGCCGGCTCCGGGATGGGGAAGAAGGCGAATTTTCTGGCCGCTGGTCGCACTGGAATCGCCAGGAAGCGATGCGGATGTTTTTCGCTCAAGGCAAGAGCCGTGATCCAGATTGATGAGGAGGAGCAGAGAAATGGGGGCGAATTTCCGCTTGTGGAGCTGCCAATGCCGCCGCGAGAGGAGGAAGCTCCCGCGAGCTCTTCGCCAGGTCGGAGCATTACGGTGTCGTCGTCTGTGACTGATAGTGAGGATTCCAGCGATCGCTTTGTGATTCGCAACAATCGAGAGGTAAGAAATTACGATTGATTTCTTCTTTCTGGTCGATGATTGGGACTCCCCGCATGTAGATTTATCAAGAGAAAGCGTTTCTCGTGGGAGTCGAGATGAAAAGGCATCGCGCATTGTTTAGCATCGATGAGTCACTCAAGGAGCTCGAGCAGCTTGCCGACACAGCCGGACTGGCCGTGGTTGGATCCACATATCAAAAGTACGTGTCAAGTTTCCAAGCTTCGCTTTTACGAGGCTTTTACTTTTGTCCGGGTTCTTAAGGCTAGGTTATCCAAATCCGAGAACTTACATGGCGTCTGGGAAAGTTGCGGAGGTGAAGACCGCTGTCCAGGCTCTAGACGTTGAGACGGTGATCTTGGATGACGAAATATCGCCGGGGTAAGAATGGCAAGAACTTCAGGATCTCTCTATAACATCGTCTTCTCCATTCCAGGCAGCTAAGAAACTTAGAAAAGGCATTTGGTGATGACGTTCGGGTTTGTGACCGCACAGCTCTGATTCTCGACATCTTTAGCCAGAGAGCAGCGACGCGTGAAGCGGCTTTGCAGGTTGTGGTTTCACCGGATTTTGTGCTGTAACTTATTTTTTTATCTTTTTTCATTCTTCAAGGTAGAGCTGGCTCAACTTGAGTACCAGCTGCCGCGATTGACAAAACTTTGGACTCACCTTGAAAGACAAGCAGGAGGTATGGTGAAGGGTATGGGAGAGAAGCAGATTGAAGTTGATAAACGTATCCTTAGAACAAAGGCAAGCTCGGTGATTTCGCACACTGAAACTAAAGTTTGTGGCTTTTTAAGATTGCCGAGCTGAGGAAGAATCTCGAGTCGGTACGTGACCACAGGCAACAGTATAGAAACCGGAGAGCATCGGTTCCTATCCCTGTTATTTCTCTGGTACATATCTCTTGGCTCTTTTCTTGTAAGTTCATTAGAGATTCCACAGGTTGGCTATACAAATGCTGGCAAGAGCACACTTTTGAACAAGCTTAGTAATGCTGGTGTTCTAGCAGAAGATAAACTTTTTGCCACACTAGATCCTATTACGAGACGTGTACAGGTGAGCCTCATGTAAGCATTGTTCTTTTGTTGATTTTGTATCCTTTGCAGCTTCCGAATGGAAAGGAATGTTTGTTTACAGATACTGTGGGTTTTATCCAAAAGCTTCCGACACAACTTGTAAGTTCGTGACATATGAGCTTGCGTACTTAACTTTGTTTGTAGGTTGCCGCATTTCGTGCAACGTTAGAAGAGATCAGCGATTCGTCTTTGATCCTACATGTTGTAGATAGAAGGTTAGCCTTCATCTTTTGTTTGCTTTGTGTTTTGATTAGTGTTTGTTACAGTCATTCAATGGCACCTGAACAAACAAAAGCTGTTGACGAAGTTCTTGCTGAGCTAGATGTTCAACACATTCCTCGACTTTCAGTGTGGAATAAGGTAATTCTGTACATGTCTGCGAAGTTACTGATGGCGCTCACTTTTGTGTAAGATTGACAAAGCTGAGGATCCAGATGCCTTGAGAGCGGAAGCCAAACAACAAGGTGCAATCTGCGTATCAGCCTTAACCGGAGAAGGCATTCAAGAATTTTTTGACGCTGTGGAAACAAAACTCAAGGTTTACAAAGTTCATTCATTCAGAGAACTCAAAAATGTTTTTGCAGGATTTACTTGTGCGAGTGGAAGCCATTGTCCCGTATAGCAAGGGGGATCTCGTGGACATGATCCACAGGCGTGGTGTTGTGGAACATGAGGTAGTCTTCTGTTTCGTTGGGAATTAATCAAAACTTTGTGGTTTTGCAGGAGTACACAGATTCAGGAACACTAGTGAGAGCTCATGTTCCTCTTGCCCTGTCCAAACAGCTGCTCGAGTACCGTGATCAGGTCCCTTTTATGTAGTTTCAAGTGAAGCCAGTGTCTAATATGTACAGATGCTTCAAACTTTACATTTTAAATCCAGGTGAACTTCAATTTGGCATTACATGCAGCAAGAGCTTACCCTTGATTCCTACTTTCGCAGAGCTCTTGGCAAACGAAGTGATGGATTTCGAAGTCGCTACTCTTTGCTGCCATTCAGGAAAGCCGCTTGCCAAAGGTAGTGCCAAGCGCTGTGCCTGGCTTTTGCGAATAACTTTGTCAACAGATTTTCCGACTACGCTGGAGCTGCTCACGTCTACAGGAGGTACGGTTCTCCAAACACCAAGGAAGTAGGGGACGCAATTGCAGCGCTGGAGGGCGGTGATTCAGGTAGATTTTCCAGTTTAGTAACGTTGCGGACATTCCAGCGATTTCAAAGTTGTACAAGAAATATGGATGCGTTCTTGTCGTGGACAATACTTTTGGTACTCCCGTCCAGCTCAAGCCGCTAAAGCAGGTTGTCACTTGATTAGTGTCAAAGTTCTGAGAGTGGATAACTCTGCGACCAAGTTCCTTGGAGGTCATGGCAGGAGCACTTGTGCGATCAGTGACTAGTGCCGCAGGAATTGTAGCTCGCTGGCCTCACCATTCGATTCATGGCTCGTACTGCGAGGAATTCAAACTCTGAAAGTAAGTGAGCGACTCCACTTTTATCTAACTATCGTGTTTTCTCACTCTGGACTTCACAAGGATCTTGACTTATGCTTGTGAATCCATTTGTGCTTGCACGAGGTCCTTCGCCTCCATGACTTGATAATTTGTAAGGTGACGCCCTCCAGTTTGTAGGCGAACCCTAACTGGATAGGATTTGCTAAAACAAAAAAAGCTAGTTTTATATTAGATTATCCTGTGACTATTCAATTAGGGGTTGAAGGATGATCAACGTTGAAGAGAAGGCGGAAGGAGGAATTCAGTATGCCAGAGCGGAGAGGGATCACTTGGAGCACGTCGCGTTCATTGTGAGCAAATAAATCTATGAACGCGACCTACCTGACTTTTTGGCTTTCAGCACAAGATCAAGGGCTATGAATTAGGCGAAGGAGAAACGATAACCATCGTTCGCATGCACGAGGCACAGTGGACTGTGCACAGAGGTGAGCTAACACTAGAGATCCAAGTTTAATCTCTGGCTTTTCGCAGAAACGATTCCTTTCATGGAGGAGAATTGCTACAGACTTGGAAAGCTCTTGGAGGAATCCTTTCAGCGCTATGGGTTTTCCAAGGAAGCTGTCGAGGTGGCCTTTCAAATGCAAGTCGCCGGGTTATTTCTTATTTCATTTCGTGGCTCGTCCCTCTGGTCCTTGCAGGATGAACAGTGAGATTTCCATCTTCATACAGAAGGCTCTGGACATGAAAGACGATCCGGATGGTCCTTTCCCAAGCAGATGGGAAGATGACGAGTCCTCGGTGAATGGCAAGAGACCCATAGAAATTTTCTCTGAAAAGGTTTGCGACATAGACGAACATGATGCTGAGAATAATTCATGATGTTTTCCAGTATCACCTGTGGTGGCCTTTCTTGACAACTACATTGGTGGCGATCAAGGGAGATGAGGCTTTGGTCGCTGGTGGAGGTGCGTTTAGTGTCATCCTTGCAAGCAAGAACGAGGTGTGTATATTGGCCTTGTAGATAGCTCAACAAAGATGGTAATCTCTAGTTGCTTGAAACAGGAATTTGTTGTCAACTATAAGGGCCTAGATGTCAAGGACCAGGACACGATCATCGTGGACAAGGTATCTAGTTTATAGCTTGTATTACAGTTATGGATTGCTTGTGGTTTGCCTTATAGGTGGATCTTTTGAAGGAGCAAGTTATTCTGCTAGTGCCGCAAGGATTACACAAGTAAGAAATTTGGACAGCTTTTATTTTTCTGAAGGTTTTTGTCTCTTTCAGGAATGCCCTGGACAGTTCATTTACCAGGCTGATCGAAAAGCATGTAAGCTTTTCCTTTTTTCTTCCTTCTTCTGATACTATTTCTCTTGTAGCAAGGAAATTTATCGGCAATAGCTACGGGAGTAGTGGCCATGGATTGTCTGGCAAGGGAAAGCGTGGCCATGGCAATAAGCAAGTAATGTAATCTTGGTATATGTTGTTAGCAATGCTACCTTTGCACCATATGCACCAAGCAAGAAGTTCTCAGGGTCTCGGCTATCGCTTGTGACGACGAAGACGCTGCTCGATAGCGAATTGACTTGTTGGATTTCCTCAAGGAAGAGTTTCGGGAGTACTGCGCAGGCTCGTGAGCAGCGGCGAGTGGCGCTTCAAAGAGGTGCTTTAAAAAAAATATCTGAGTGATCTTCCTTCTCTTTTTCCTTCCATGCAATGATTCTTTTCACTCTTAAGGGTTCTTCACTCACAGGAGGGATTTTTTTTCTCTCATGGCCGCTGCAAAGTAAGCTTTTGTTTTGGTCCTTTGCTGAAAGATATTCTTTCTTCTTGAAGTGATGAACTGCTGGCGGCGCTGGAATGGAATGGTCGGCCCCAAGCGTCACATCTTTTCGCCGCCAGTGGCCATCAAAGATCTGGCTCCATGGCACCGAAGAAGTCCCCCAACCAAGGTATTTCCCAGCTCCAGCGGTTACCTCCTTCTTGAGTTCCAGCAAAACCATAGATGCCTCCAAAGCCTCCTTCGAAGTAAGGGAACAGCCGTGGAAATGGGCCTTGCGATGGATGCACGAAACTTGGAAGGTCTGGCTTTGAGGGCGATGGCAACTTCCAGTTTCATGACAGAGTCGAGCGTGGAGTTTTTGCCACCATGATCATGGAAGTTCCCACTCTCGTCCGGTATCGAGCTCGGAATTTTTGTGGTAAGACACAAGGACAAGACCAAGACCATCCTTGGACACGAGAGGCCATCGCCAGGAGCGTTTTACTACGCGGTTTTCTTCGCCGACTGCGAGCACCACTTGGTCAAAGTCACTCAAGGCACCACGCCGTGCATGGTTTTCAACTTGCTGGCCAAGAACTTGACAAGAGTTCCCGGTTTTTTGGAAGCTTGCTTGGCGACGCGATCGGCTCTCATGCATGGCTTCGAGAAAGACGATGCTCCAAAGAAGATGGTGATTCCATTGCAGCACCAATACTCGAAAACCGATCTAGATTTGATGAAACTCAAGGGCAGAGATAGCATGACTTTGGAGTTGCTTTGAAGCCATCGCAAGAATCCAGGCAGCTCCAGCGCTCATCAGCGACCAGCTTAAAAACGGCAAGGTTGAGTCGTTCTCGAGATACAGCACCAGCCTCGACGTCGACTTTAGCGGCTTGCATCTCCAAGATGACAATCATCACAAAAGTAGCTTGATCAGGGTGGACTTTAGAAGTTTGCGTCTGGATCCTCGGCGATCGTGAAAACAGTGGCTACGAAAATCATGCAGTGGTGGTCGTTTGGCCGACAGCAGTGACGTATACATGGTTTCGTGTGCGGCCTTGGATATGCTGGAGGAAAAGAAAGAAGTAGCGTTTCTCCAGCAGGTACTTGAGGGTCTACCGGAGGTGATCAAGGCTCATGACTGGAGCATTAGTGCTCGTGATCACATTCACAGGCTGCTAAAAGTTTGCGTAGGCATTGGAGGTAAAGACGAAGTCCTTAAAGCTCTGGAAGTTCTAGCAAGGAACTATGACGCAGCGGTTCCGAACAAGAAATTCTTACTTTCCGGGATTGGAAGCCTGGAGGCGGCGAAAGTGCTTGCTTTAGCAGTGAAGTCACATGGATGGAATGCTTATGCCACTGTCATCGTTGACAAGCTCCTTAGCGAGGAGCGTTTCGAAGACGAGGTGGAGAACTTTGTCCATCTTGCCTTGGAGCTCAAGAACTTGGATTGCTTGGCAGCTGCGTTTCATGTCGCTCGGAAGATTTGCTTGCTGTGCCACTTTATAAGTTCTCGGTCCGGGAGAAGCTCGAAGACTCCACGGGTGCTGGAATATGGTGTCTCAGGTTCTCGATCACTTTCTTCCGGAGTTCTTGGAGAATCTAAAGACTGGTGTTCTCTAGTCCTACAGCACGACAAGCTTGAACTCCAGGCAAAGCAAAGATTGTTTTCGATGGTCACGCAAAGGAACAATCTGGAAGAAGTTGCTCCGCCACTTCTCGTTGAAGTGGTGAGAGTTTTTGCATTGCTCGCCAATCCGGAGCTGCTGAATTCGTTCGTGGCCGCTTTGCTGCAGCAGGTGATAAGCAAAACGACGCGTGAACTGGAGGCAAGGTCCCTGCGGGATTTGCTCCGTAAGTGCCGATCATAAGATCCTGAAAGACGGAGGGTCCGTTTGTTCTTTACCAGGCTTTGCGAGATGGTCATGGACGTTTCCATCCACAATTCGGAAGAGTTTGAAGCCTTTCTGCTGGTGGACGAACTGAAGCTTCTCAACTCTCTTATCAAAGGCAATGCGGGCAGTGATCTTGTGGAAGCTCTCCTTCGAGTGGATGGAAACAAATGGACACTGCTCTTCTCGGTAGAGGGTTGCATGAATACGCTGGAAGGCAGCATTCGCACAACCGAGTCGTTCAGCTGTTCGTACGAACGAGTAAAGAGTGTGACCGACACTCTTTACTCGTTGCTCTTCAAGTGCCATGAAGGATTCCCCGCTTTGAAGCAAAACCCGGGAATCTTGGCATCCTTCACAAAGCTTTGCGAGATGATAACGTCCAGGCCACTCGAGGCTGAAAGATTTGGATGAGTGTCCTCGTTTGGCTTGGCAACGAGCAGCTTCTGGAAAAGTTGAAGGGGTCACACTTGGCTTGATCTTGAGAGAAGCTCTCGAGAAGGAAGATAACTGGATGATGCTGCCGGAGATGATGCTGGATCTCGCAAAGTCACGGGTGGAGAATTTGTCTCATATTAGATGCCCAGAGTTCACCTGGAGACGGTCTGCGCGAAAGTGTAATCTATCCGATCATCCTGACGTACGGACTTTTCTGGAAAGTTCACAGGAAGAGCTGAAGTACACTGGAAAGTTTAAGAGCATCCATGGAGCTCGAAAACTTGCACGCGAGATCAACAGCTTGAAAGAAGCTGGTTGCTTGGAAGCGTCTGCGACTGATGGTGGAAGTGGCCAGAAAGCCTTTGTCTTCATAAGAAAGACCCCAAGACTCTTTCCAGGAAGTATCATGATGCTCAGAAGGAGATCAAGGAGTGCAAAGCTAGAGATTGATTCCTTCATTGCTTAGCAAATCAACAATAAATTCGCAGAATTACGAACTTCTTATAATAATTCAATGGATAATCAACAAAAACCCTGAGACTGTGCAAAGTGGTCGCCACGGCTAGAAATCTAAACTTTTCCATGCCCAAAGCAAGGGATTAAAAATCCAGCTAAACTTGCAATAAACCAGATTATTTATTTTCACAAAGTTATTTTTACATTCAAGTGAACGTAGCCTTGAGCTGCCGAACCGCATTCTCATCAATAAAGAAGGTCTTGACGAGCACCTCGTCCAGGATGTCCGATCCAAACATGGAGCTTGCGATAGCCTGGAAGCCCGGTGACTGCGAATCCAGCATCACGATGGCCATGGCGGTGGTGTTACCAACGTTGAGCTGCCAGTGGATCAAACCCCGCGGGAAGATCATCACATCGCCTTTGGAGATGACCTTAGCAAAGAGCTGGTTCTGGGTGGTGACGAATCCGGCGTACAAGCTCCCTTCCACGACGTAGATGATCTCTGAGCCTCGCAGGTGCGTGTGTGGAGGGATGAGACCACCGGGAGCAAAGTCGAGCCTGGTGATCCCTGGAACTAGCAATGCTAAGAATTAGAAGAGTGACCTTTAAAGTATTTAAAGGACGGAAAGGCTTGGAGAAGGTTCCATGAAACACAGCAGTTGCGATGGATCCATCACTCTGTGTTGGACTGTGTCTATTGAAGGTTTCGTGTGTGCCACTACTTATTATGTCAATTGACAAAATCTTACTTGCGTCATTATTATTATTCTTATTATTTTTATTTTTGCATTAGAATATATGTACATTAAACTTTTTCTAATTTGAATTTTCTTAATTAAATTAGTATAAATAATGTGTTTAAAAACTATAACTTTGTTGTTATGAATTATCTTTAGAAAATAAGAAATGATATGTGCTTAAAATGTAAAAATAATTTATTTTGTATTCAAAGACTATTAACTTTTCCTCTTTCCACTACTTTGCTATATCTTTGGATAAAAAATTCATTTTATACAAAATATTAATGAAATTAAAGTGTAAAATAATGAAATAGTAAGTAAATATTATAATTAATATTTTTTATAAAGCCATATACTATCTTATTTCTAAAATTGTTTGGATCATTTAAAAAAGATTTTTTATAACTTAGAGTTTTGGTTTTGCACTTCTAAACAATATTTATTACCATTACTAAATTTACCCACACATAAAAAACTTAAAACTTATTCATAGTGATATATGATAAACATTATACAAAAAATATAAGAGAGGTTGTAACATGGGACAATATGAATGATATATTTATTAAAATAAAAAATTATTTAATTTAAATAGAGTTGTGAGGTCCAAGTGTACAGCTACAATATTGTATATTAATATTAGCATAGAGAGATTTTGGTAGTTGTCAGATTGATTTCAATCTAAACTACTCGTTTCTGTATATAAACTAGGGTTTTTGGGCTAATTAATATATATATTTTTTGTATTCCCTTTCTATATTCCATGCACTTACATTAATGGAGATGAGGGGCATTTTGGAGTGTCCCTCAAAAGTGCTTAAATTTGGGATTTTGGTTTAAATCTAACTTTTGCATCATTTAAATCTAATTTTTTTCATTTCTTTTCTTTTGTTCTTTCCTTTCAGGATTTTGGTTTAAATTTAGCTTTTGCATTGTCTAAATCTCCCCTTCTTTCTAACTTTTTTCGTTTTTCTTCTTTTGCTCTTTCTTTTTCATTCATCTTCATTGTAGAGCAATAGTCTCTTACTCCCTTGACTTTAGAGCAATAGTTAGTGCAATTGCTTGATACTATGCAATTGCAATTAAACAACTAAAGTCAATTGATGGTGGCAATCATGACATGTGGTATAACTCCTCATGCTCCTAGTGCCAATCCTTATGTTTAGCCAAAGTTCTTTCATGAAATCCTAGGGATGATGTGTTTTATTGATTTGATCACTTCATAATGATTGCCACATATCATTCTTGGGATGATGCTCGACATTTCCATGAGTTTTTCACATATCTCCAAGGGATGCTATTGTAATGGTACAATGGTTTAAGTATAACCACTCGTGAGGATTGAAAGATTCTTTTGGATGTATTCAAACGTGCATTCGAACATGCTGACAATTATGATTATGCTTTCCAACAATTGCATCATTTTCATCAAAGTCCATCCGAGTCTGTGATACAATTTGGCATTCATTTCCAAAGTCTCTTGCTTCGTGTGGAGCTAAATATATTAGAGTAGATCAAGCTAAAAATGTTGTGGCCAATACTTTGTCAAAATCTTGTAGGATTTGTGCATGCACTTACTCCAGCCACCTTTGATAATGCCTTTTGTTTGGCACAACATTATGAAACGTCACCTCTTCCATTTCTCACTGCACATCCTATAGCTCCACTTCCTGTGGAAGATGGTCTTGTTCCAATTGAAGTTGATATTGTTGTTTCTTGAGTTTATCTTCTATTGCTCGACCTGTTACCACATGTTACCATCTATATTTGTGTTATGTGGCAGAGTTAATTTTCATTCTTTATGGCAATAACCATATACATGCATGTGCACGGGATGAGGTAGACCTCGTTGTGCGTATGGGTAATTTTGAGCTTGCATTGCAATCATTGTAGGTGGTGTTGAGTTAAACTTTTGACCTCATTTTTGGCATAGATTAGTTGCAACATAATCATACGAAGTGTGACTTTGAGGTTTTTCCCTCTTGTCTCATACTTTCTTATATTTCATTCATTCTTCTCACTGTCGTACCTCTTTGTCCCTTTATTTTTACCTTTGCTTTTACTACTTTTTTCTCCCTATTACTTCCTTTTATGTTTCTATCTTGTTTCGCTCTTTCCTATTCTAATCCCTTTAATAGTCTTTGTGTTGTAGTGGTTGACTAGCTTATGGAGTATACTGATCTCTTTAAATTTGACTTATCACTTGGGGCTAAGATTTACTACATGTCATCCGATTCCAACTAAAGATGTTCGTCCAATCACCCAAAGAGGTCAAAATTCTACAAACAAATGTTAAGGAGATGTTGGAAAAGGGTGTTATTCGAAAGTTATGGAGTCTTTGGGCATATGAACCTCATCTTGTAATGAAGCTTGATAAGAGTATTTGTTTCTACATCGACTATCATCTGTTAAACGAAGTGAATGTGTACCCTCTTCCTCACACTACTAATCTATTGGATCGTTTGGGGAGAAGTCCTTGGTTCACCAAGCTCAATTTTACTTCTAGGTACTAACAAATATTGATGGTCGAAGAAGATATTTTTAAGATTGCTTTTCGTACATTGTTTGGTTTGTACGAGTTTTTGGTGATGCCATTTGGTTTAAATAATGCTCCAACGACTTTCCAATGGATGATGGATGAGTGTCACAAATGTGACTTCGGGTATCGAAACTTACCTGTCGGCTAGTCCTTTCGGATATTCTTTCCTTACTGCCACGATGGCAGGAGGTCGGTATTGCTGGACCCTTTATCAGCCCCTCTTGTTCAAGTGTTAGTAAACTAGACTTTGCATCTGTACTTGGCCGGATGAGCATAAGGACGGAATTCCTAAGTGTCTATTCAGCCAAGCATACTTGGCCTGGCTTTTTAGTTCTCTTTTGCTCTGTCTTGCACTGGCTTGACAAGAACCCTCGCGTATTGAGATTGGTCCCTCAATATCGCTGGATGATAGCTTACCGTGTCTGCCAAACACCCTCGCTATCATGCCCTTTGTGTTAGTCTCATTTCGGTCCCAAATGCTATTTATGGAAAGTGTCCAGATTTGCTCATTTGGCATATCTACGGAATGTAGAGATTATCCTGAACACAACGGTGTTCATCCCGTGCCCAAATTCGCAATCTAAGGACACTCCATATTTAGTAAGTTTCGAGCTTGTCCCAGAGACTAACTCCTGATACTAAGGGAGGCTTGGGGTGAAAGCCCAAAGCGTGTGTTCCTCAAGGGGGGGGGCTGTGGAGGGTTCCAAATGTATAGTAGGGATAGTGGGTAGGTCGGGCATGGCCGACCAACCTGAGGCATAGTCTAGCTCCCGCTTGCGTGCCTGTCTTTGTTCTGCGTCCGGCTTGGGTCTAAGCCCAAGTTCCATTCCATGCTAGTTGGTGGAGTACCCATATCCTCACGTTAGGCCACCGGTATGCCAAAATAGCGCCAGACTCCGTTTGGCTCCGTTTTGCGTGCTGGTCTTGGCATTGGGATGCTGGTTGCTCTAGGACTGTTCCAAGTCGCTCCGGGCTCCTGTCCCTTCGCTCCTTGGGCTTTATGCTTGGGAGTTGCTCCGTGGTTCGGTTCCGTCACTCCTTGGCTCCATGCTTGGGAGTTTGGCACCGTTCCTTCGTTCAGTGGCCCAAGGCCCTGAACCTCGGGTTCCTATGGACACGTGGCATGTGACACGTGGCATCTGTCACGTGGCACAAAGAGGGTTTAGGTTCCGTTTCGTGGTGTTATCCTATGGTAAATCACCATAGGATAAAGGGTCAAAACCACGTGCGCTACATTTGGTATCAGAGGATGAGTCTCAGCGAGTACTATACAATGAGATTGGGCAACTAGTCTTGTTGCATACGCAGAGATGAAAACGATGATCCGAGTGGGTACACGTTTGGTGCAAAGGGTTCACATTTGTTCCTTGGGGTATGGTTTTGGTTACCTTTTGTACCTAATAATGTGAGCTTGCTCTTGGGCTCATAGGATGGATTTGAGATGCTCCGTTAGTACGAGTTTGAGCTTGGGCTCGTGAGTGAGGCGCATTAGCAACTCAAGGATATGCTTTGAGTTGGTAGGATTAATGTTAACCTATCGGTGGTTCCATGAGTTGTTCCATGTACCGTGAGTGAAAGCAAACCTTCCCTGGGTTTGCTATGAGTGGTAAATAGGCTGGTCCGTAGCTGTTTAGCATGGTACTAGTGGATCCTTCCTAGGCATGAATACAAGTGGATCAATCAAAGACTATAGGGATTAGTCTATTGGTTCAAGTAGTCATTGCCGTGCTCTCTCATAAACTTTTCTTAGATTGAACTGAAGGTAGTGCGAAAGTAAGCTTGAGGTTTAGTCAAAGATGAGACCGAAAAGAGAGTTGTCAGGGACAGAGGATCAAATACGTAAATCATTTTCTTTTGGAGAGATGATTTGTAACGAGGTGTTAACTCATTGCTTGTGTTCACATCATGCAAACAAGAGTCCCTATCTTGATGCATGTTGAAGATGATGGTTTTACAATGGTGAGTTGTGGGATGGATAGCGGTGAAGTGCTAAACCATTTTGTCTAGGCTTGCTATTGGAAGACTTGGGTTGCAATGCTCAATTCTTTTCCGGGGAACCTTGCTATTGCTCCTTGAGTAGCTTGGTATTGGATTAGTGTTGAGTTTGGTCGAAAAGAGAGTGGCATGAGCTTGTCCGTGTTGTGAACAAAAGTTAGTGGTGTTAAGTGTTGTAAATCTCTATTGATGGAGTGTGATATTTATGTTACATTTTGTCGAATCGAGTTGACACTTGATACTCACATAAACCTTTGAAGTAATGACATTGGCATTGCTCGTGGTGTTGCTCAATTGATGATCAAGTCA